TTCATTAAAGATTTCTTAATGGGAAAATGCTGTAATAATTAAACAGAAAAGGAACAAATATTTTATATAGGAAAGACATCCCCTGCTTCTTTTCTTATCTAACTTTATTTATTTACAATATCTATATTCTGGTTTTCATTCCCCCACCCAGCTTCCATTCCCCACCCCACCCACCCCATAACAACCCTGTGAGAAAGATTCAGCTTTTATGCCGAAGGATGAACTTGATGTTGGACCACCCTAGTTGGAGTCAGCATTTAAACATCTACCTGCTTTTGTTTGTAGTTGATGTTTTTAAAAATTAATAACAATAGCAAGAGAGTTGCATAGACTGAGATCTGCTTGAAATAGATGACAGAAACTTTATATGTTCAATTACATTGTCTGAAGCAAAGAAGAGGCTTCAGCTATGCACTGTGGAACATGGAGCAAAAGTTCTTCCCTCTTTAGTGAGGCCCCCAACTACTATTACTTTGCCTTCAATTATCAATCCACTTGTGCTAAAACCTATAGCAGTACTGCAGGAGAATTGTTTGTACAATTTAACATCAAAGCAGCTCAAGACTAGCAGAGTGCATTAATTCTTGGAAGCCTGCCCAGGGCAAAATGTTAAAGAAAAAAATGTCTAAAAATTTCAATGTGTGGTTTATCAATTTTTTTTAATCACATACATGACAGGTCCTTGAGAGACAGCTGGGAGAGACCCACTCCTGTCCTCTGAGTGGCTGCCCATTGCCACATCTTCTGGAACAAAATTAAGACTAGTAAATGGCAAGTCTCAACCACAACTAGAATATCTTCAGGAAATGTATTCTTTAACCTATATGTTAAAGAATAGGATTTTTAAAAAGTTTTAGACAGATACAGAGAAAAGTTTCACTATTTACTAGCATTCATTTCCCACAAGTAACAAAGTGGATTTTCTAAATGTAGGACCAATGTTAGCATCCATTATAGGGGTGGGAATGCTAGAAATTCTGTAGTCTTCATCTACTTTTATTTTTTTTTTAAAAAAAATGTAGTGCCATGAAGAAAAGTGCTGCCCCAGTCAGCCACAGCCACTGTCATTGCATTAATCCACCTGCCCCTCCTACATTACGCCAGCATTTATGTCATTCAAACCACACTCTATTTGAGAAGTGCTTTTCTGCCCTGGATCAAGCTTGCCAAATTGTGCTTGTTCTTTCTTGCAATTGCAACACTTATGTTTGCTAATATCACTTCAAAGTAAGCCCCTGTTCTGATTTTATCTAGAATGCCTGATATCAAATTACATGTTCATTAAAAAAAAACTTTAAAGTTAATTGGAAGAAGTCCATTTTTGTAGTTGCTATCCAAGAAAATAGTGCACCACGAGCCCCATTTCTATTAGCAGAATGCCTTTAACCCAAAGGAGAATGGGAATCTGGAAAAGAAAAAAGTGAAACAAAAACATTCTTAATGAACATACAAAGGCGGAAAGCACTTTTTCTATATATGGTCAAATGGTTGCTTACCACTATATGCATCTGAACAAGATGCAGCAAAATCAGCATGTTAATAAGCACCATTTGTTTGATATTACAACTTTGAACAAATTTGGATAGTAATCAATCTAAGTTTTCCTGGGGCAGTTTAATATGCAGATTTTATACAAGGCATATAAATTTAAGAATGCACCTGTTAAAACAAGCAAAATCCCAAATTTAAATCTAATAGCATTCACAGGATTGTTATGTTCACAACAGTTCAGGTTCGTATGGTTCTGTTTTGTGAATGTAATATTGCTTTATACTATCAAGTATTGTATTTGTGTGCTTGATAACAACCAGCAATTCTTGCTAGGTTTAGTGCTAATCAAATGAGATTTGGCCAAAATTGAGCAGTTTAATCATTGTACTCGATCTACATATTTCTAATTACTATACTTGGGCAGTGGAAACACTTGTTCCACTTCAACACTTGTTGAATATTATTGTTTGTAAAGTTTTTATTTGTTTTCTTTTTCTTGCCATCAATCTTATATCGGTATTGTTTGGTGATTTGAATAGTATTAATCAGTATGGCATGTATTTTGTCAAATACAGTGATTGCAATTTTAGAGGCGATACCTTGGATGTGATTTTTTTGCATATAGAACACTGAATATAGAAAAAAAAGTATGTTGTTATGATGAAGTGTGCTTTTTAAATTCTGAAAGTCTGACAATGGACATCACCAGGAGCCCTTGTGGCACAGTGATTAGAATGCAGCATTGCAGGCAAACTGTCCACAGCCTGGAATTCAATCCTGATGGAGCTCAAGGTTGACTCAGCCTTCCATCATTCTGAGGTCGATAAAATGAGCACCCAGATTGTTGGGGGCAATATGCTGATATTGAACACCGCCCAGAGAGTGCTGTAAAACACTATGGGCTGGTGTATAAGTCTGCTATTGCTATTTGAGGGACTGCCTCTCCCCAATTAGATTTACCCATCCTGTCAGATCCAGCAGAAGCAGCAGGTTGCTGGTACAATCTGCTAGGGACTTACATTTAATGGGTCCCAGGAAAAGTTCCTTGTCTGCCCTGATGCCTGCCTTATGGAATATTGTCCCTTCCAATGTGATGTTAGCTCTATTCTTGTTGATCTTCCCTCAAGACCTGGCTATGTCATCAGGCCTGGTCATCAGGTGGTCCCAGAGGACTGGTGAGATTTTGAGATGGCTCCATTAATGCTGTTAACTTTTATTCTCTCTTAAGCCTTTTGAGTTTTAAAATTTTTATATGCTTATTGTTTTATCATTTTGCTGTACGTTGCCTAGAGTCACTTTTCTTTTCTTTTTTTTATTTTCAATTTACATAACAATAAATATTTTTAACAGTACTGTGTCATGTGCCTCTTACAGGTATTTACAAGTGTTTTCTTTTAAAAGGAAAACACATACAATTTTCATCCTGCGGTTGTGAGAATGCACACATTTTGGCATCTGTCATCAAGAGACATGCTGCTGATTTCCACTATCAGTTTTTAGACCAAATATCTTGAAATGGCAAGAGAGCTCTATAGTATATGTAAATTAATCTAGGATTACCAATTCTGGCTGCATAATTCTAGATGGCACTAGATGGCAGCAGGAAGTTATAAATGTTTTTGTAGTCTTGTTGCCATCTGGTGGATGTCTGCTACATACGCTAAAAAAACTTTGTTTAGTCCCAAATACTTTGATTGCTCAATAGGTCAGAAACTATTTGTTCATAGTTTGCCTTGACCCTTCAACTTGATAATTGTACTGAACAGGAATGAATCCATGCAGAGATTCAATAGATGCAGTTTCATAAGTCACCTAACATTTATGCTTGACAGATCTCTAAACAACATAGTTTTATTATTTATTTAATAGATTTTTTTATCCCAGCTTTATTACTTTATAAAGTAAAGTTTTGCTAACTCAGGGTATAAAACATGCATATTATTCCTTCCTCCTCCTACATTCTCCACAACAACTCTGTGAGATGGATTGGGCTGTGAGACAGTGACTAGCCCAAAGTAACAAAATTCCACAGGCACAAGGTAATGCAGTTATTCGTTCAAGCATCATTCTGATTCCTCCTTTAAAAGGGAATCTAAAGTGCACACTGCTAATGTAAAAAGATTTCAGTTGCTTTAACTGGCAGCTTCCTTTTCAGGTCAAAAGGATCCCAAAGTTAAATTTAACTTTTGTTCTGGTGAGGGATGAGATACCGGGAGATATCTATTAATCTTCATTAGGCAAATGCAGTTTAATCTCTTTTTTTTCAAACTTGTAGAAGAGAAATTGACAAGCAATTTAACATTCAGAAAAATATTTTATTATTTTTTCCTCTGAAACTCAGATGAATCACAACTGAGTGATACATAGCAGGCTGAGGCATGTGTTTCTGAACATGATACCATCTGGCATAGATGATGGATACACCATACACATCCTTTTGTATAATACTATTATTTTGGAGCACTATATTTAGTAGCATTAAAATTTCCATTAACAAATGAGAGAATGTATTCCAAATCCTGCTGCTTTACCAATTCTCTCTCCCTCAAAAGACATAATTTAAAAAAAAAACAATCATCATAACAGAGAGGCAATTACAATTGTTAAAACTGCAAATTAAACCCAATATTACTCAATAGTCCTACTCAGAATTCCAAGTACCAGGGCATAATGTATATGAAGAAACTGAGCACAGCCCTTGGAGAAGGGACAAATTGGGGGAAGAACATTTCTGAAACCTGGCATCCCCCAGAATTCCTTTTTTAAAATAAATGTTTATTGAAGAAAAATTTAACAAGATAAAACAATACAAATATTTAAAAAGAAAATAAGGAAAATAGTGAATACCTAAGCCAGAAAAAGACTTAGAAAAGAAAAAGGGAAAAATTATAAAGAAGCAGCTTCCAATCTTTTTAACAATGATTATAAATGCATTTATATTTTACCCTTTCTCTCTAAGGTTACATCATAACTTCCTTCTTGCCACAAACTACTCTTTCTAATCTCCAAATCCACAAATTATTTCATTTTTCTGTTTTTCAGAAAAAAGTTCCTAAGGGGTTTCCTGTCCCTGATATATGTTGTTGTTCTTTCTCTAGCCAATTTTGCCATCTCTGCTAGTTCTGTCATCTTCACTAACTGTTCCTCCACTGAGGTAGTCAGAACCTTTCCATTTTTGTGCATATAATAGACTTGCAGCATCCTCAAGAATTCTTATCTAGCTGATCCTACATTCCTTTACAGCTAATTTACTTCCTTCTGTTTATGGCCTCGCCTTGTAAATTATCTTCAGTGGCTTCTCCATAATACCAAAGGACATTATCTTTCCTCCCTTCTCTTTCTCCTTCTCCTCAGTTCTAGCTTTCCGTGACTGAATTTGTAAAATTTCTCCAGTTCTCACAACAGTACTGAACAATTACAATTACAGAAACACAGTTCTATTGATATTCTTTCATTATCTTCCCCTGGAAGAAAAGTATGGAGAAATCTGGAGAAGGGTCTTCATCAAGTGTTCCAATGACAGAAAGAAAAGCAGCTCAGACTTACCAAAGGAAAAAAAAGGCATGTGTTGTGATTGGTGACTCACTTCGCAGTGGAACAGAATCATCAATTGGTAGACCAGACACTACTGTATATTGAGGGGAGTATGCTGCCTCCTAGGTGCAAAGCAGAGGTGGGTTTCAGCAGGTTCTGACCAGTTCTGGAGAACCGGTAGCGGAAATTTTGAATAGTTCGGAGAACTGGTAGTAAAAATTCTGACTGGCCCCATCCCCATCTATTCTCTGCCTCCCAAGTCCCAGCTGATCAGGAGGAAATGGGGATTTTGCAGTAACCTTCCCCTGGAGTGGGGAGGGAATGGACATTTTACAGTATCCTTCCCCTGCCACACCCACCAAGCCACACCCACAGAACCGGTATTAAAAAAATTTGAAACCCACCACCAGTGCAAAGATCAAAGATGTGACAGAGAGACTTATAAAAATAATTAGGCTCACCGATTATTATCTCCTTCTCCTCTTTCATGTTGGGGCAAATGTTAATGAAGAGCCTGAAAACAGTATCAGGAGACTATGAGCAATGAAGTTTATAGGAGTACAGGTGGTTTTTTTATCTGTACTTCTGATGGAAGGTCAACACCCAGCGAAGGAATGGAGGATTTTAGAAGTCAACAGCTGTTTCAAGGGATGGTGCTGTTCAGATAACTTTGGATTTCTTCTGTTTATATTACCTACAGGAAGAGCTTTGGGCAAGCGAGGGGATAGTAATACAATGACTCGTCTTAATTCTCCCAGTTTTTTGTGACTGAAAGGCGTAAATGAAATGGTTTTAATTCAAGTCCTGGCTTTGAAATTCATCTTTTTGTCTGGACTTTAGTTTTTTCTGATAACATAAAATCATAAGCTATGTAGTGACTTACATTGTATGCTTCAATAAGAAGAATCAATGGTCAATTTGATTATGTCTCTAAATTGATTATATTGTTACATTATTGATAATTGATTTATAATATTGATTTATAATATTACGGAGATGTGGTTGGGCTAGGAGGGGGGGGTTCCCCTTGTTGAAATGTGCCCACCAGGCTTCCGAGCATTCCATCAGCCGAGGGTTCAGGGGAGGGGCGGGGGAGTAGTGGTTGTTATAAAGGAAAGTCTTGGTCCAAAGGAGGCCACTGTGCCTCAGATAGCCGGATGTGAGTCCCTCTTTGTGAAGTGGGGTCATGGGGTGCAGGTGGGCCTGCTGATCATGTACCTGGCTCCCTGCCACGTGGCGACAGCCCTGCCTGAGCTGCTCAACATGATAGCCAGGATGGTGGTTGATACCCCCAGACTTATGGTTATGGGGGATTTCAACCTGCCGTCCATCGGTGAAACGTCTGAGGCAGCTCAGGAGTTCATGGCTTCCATGACGGCCATGGACCTGACCCAGTTAGTTCATGGCCCTACACACATAGGGGGACACACTCTGGACTTGGTTTTCATCTCTGGCCAGTGGCTGAATGGTTTAGATATAGGGGATGTGGTGATTAAACCCTTGTCATGGTCTGACCATTCTCTCTCTTGACCTTCAAACCGCTACACCCCGCCGCAGGGAGGCGGAACCGACTAGGTGGTTCCGCCCCAGGCGCCTGATGGATCCTGATAGGTTCCAGACGGAGCTTGGGCCATTCCCTGAGGCTCTTGCTCACGACCCAGCTGAAGACCTGGTGGCTGCCTGGGATAGGGCGGCCGCTGGAGCTTTGGACCATGTCGTGCCTTTGCGGCCTCTGACCCGCCGCCGATCTCACTTAGCTCCCTGGTTTTCCGAGGAGCTGAGGGAGATGAAGCGCCGGAAAAGACGCCTAGAGAGCAGTTGGAGGGCTAGCCTTTCTGAATCTGACCAAACACTGGTAAGGTCTCATATTAAGATCTACCTAGTGGTGATAAAAATGGCAAAGTTTAATTATTTTTCCATTCTTATCGCGTCTGCAGATAACCGCCCAGCCGCCCTGTTCAGGGTGACCCACTCCCTGCTCCATCTGGGAGCGCGGGAGGACCCCTTGGAGGGCAGGGCTGAGGATTTTGTGCAGTAACTGCATGACAAAGTCACTCAAATTCAGGAAGGCCTGGACTCTGACTGGGCAGATACAGGCGGGGTGACAGAGACAGGTCTTGAGAGAGTTATCTGGGAGGAGTTTGACCCAGTGACCCCTGAAGACGTGGACAGGATTCTGGGTAGACTTAGCACAGCCACATGTTTATTGGACCCGTGTCCCTCCTGGTTGGTGCTGGCTTCCCGGGAGGTTACACGAGGCTGGCTCCAAGGGGTTGTTAATGCTTCTTTGAGAGAGGGCTACTTTCCCGCTGCCTTAAAAGAGGCGGTGGTGAAGCCTCTCCTCAAGAAGCCCTCCTTGGACCCGGCTGTTTTAGCAAATTATTGTCCAGTCTCCAACCTTCGCTTTCTGGCGAAGGTTGTTGAGAGTGTGATGGCACAACAGTTCCCCCAGTACCTGGATGAAGCGGTCTATCTCGATCCGTTCCAGTCAGGCTTCAGGCCTAGGCACAGCACAGAAATGGCATTGGTCGCATTGGTTGATGATCTCTGGAGGGCTCGAGACAGGGGCTGTTCCTCTGTCCTGGTCCTGTTAGACCTCTCAACGGCTTTTGATACCATCGACCATGGTATCATGCTGCACCGGTTGGAGGGGTTAGGGGTGGGGGGCACCGTGTTGCAGTGGTTCTCCTTCCTCTCTGACCGGTCGCAGTTTGTGTTGACGGGGGGCCAGAGGTCGACCCCGAGGCGCCTTGTATGTGGGGTGCCACAGGGGTCGGTCTTCTCGACCCTTCTGTTCAACATTTATGTGAAGCCGCTGGGTGAGATCATCCGTGGTTTCGGGGTGAAGTACCATCAGTACGCTGATGACACTCAGCTGTACATCTCCACCCCGGACCACCCCAATGATGCCCTTGACATGATGTCCCGGTGTCTGGAGGTCGTATGGATCTGGATGGGGAAAAACAAGCTCAACCCATCCAAGACCAAGTGGCTGTGGCTTCCGGTGTCCCGATATAGTCAGTTGGTGCCATCTCTGGCTATTGGGGGCGAGTCATTGGCCCCCACAGAGGGCTCGCAACTTGGGTGTCCTCCTGGATGCATGGCTATCTTTAGAAGAGTATGTGACAGCCGTGGCCAGGGGGGCTTTTTATCAGGTTCGCCTGATTCGCCAGTTGCTTCCTTTCTGGATCAGGACTCGTTACGCACGGTCACCCATGCCCTCATCACTTCCCGCCTGGACTACTGCAATGGTCTCTACATGGGGCTCCCCTTGAAGAGCACCCGGAGGCTCCAACTGGTCCAGAATGCAGCCGCGCGGGTGATTATGGGAGCGTCATGGCGCTACCATATAACATCTCTCCTGCGTGAGCTGCACTGGCTCCCGGTGGTCCTCAGGGTGTGATTCAAGATGTTGGTGACCACCTCCGTGGCTTAGGGCCGGGATATTTACGGGACCGCCTTCTGCCACCGAGAGCCTCCCACCAGCCAGTATGCTCCCACAGAGAGTGGCTCCTCCGGGTGCCGTCGGCCAAACAATGCCGACTGGCGGCCCCCAGGGGGAGAGCTTTCTCTGTGGGAGCACCTGCCCTCTGGAACGAGCTCCCCCCGGAGATACGGATGATTCCGGACTTACGTACTTTCCGTCGGGCCCTCAAAACCTTTTTATTTCATCAAGTCGGGCTGGCATAATCTCTCCAATTGTGTATTTTAATTTGGATTTTAATGGGGAATTTTAACTGTCAGGCCAAATTGTTTAATTCATTTTTAAATTGTTTTTATATTTTGTATCTGAAGTTTTTTACTTCTGGCTGTTCACCGCCCTGAGTCCTTCAGGAGAAGGGCGGTATATAAATTTAAATATTAAATAAAATAAAATAAAATTAATATGTTGTGTTTTTTATTGTTTTGCTTGCACTGGCCCTTAAGGTCTAAGTGTAGAGCATATAAAATACTGTTATTACTGCTACTATAATAGGCAATACTATAATAGGCAATAGTTTGCCTGTCTTTAGGGATACACAGACATGTAGGCATGACTGTCTTCCCCAAATCCCAAAGAACCTACATGAGAAAAGAAGAAGAGCAGAACACATAAGCAGACCTGCCAGTCTTCAGTCAAATTCAATGAAGCAAAATAATTGTGCATCTCAATAGAATGAAATGCTATCTCATAATTTAGGCCTTAAGAATGTTTGTCTCTCTATGAGTACCTTTGTCAGTTTTTTTACTCCTGGTGGTCACCTGGAGAAGACCCTGAACTTCCCTTAGCAAGATTACCAGAGGTGGCCTAAAGCAGGATTAGAATTCAGTCTCCTAGTTTCTAGCTTGATGCCCTAAATCACTACACACCAAATTGATTTGGTATGTCTTAAGAACCAGCATCAAGTAAAAAAGAATAATATTTTGTAGTAATAAACTCTCTTCTGTTAACTGGGGAGGGATATTCTAAAAGCGGGTGGGCGGGATTTAGAGAAAAGCTGCTACTTCAGTGACAAACACTGACTGAGTACTCATTATTGGGATATATCTCTTGATTTGAGCTAAAGGGAAATCTGTATTTAAACTGTATCAACCACTTCCAGCCCCAGTTAACTTTCAGTCATTATTTTATAGTTGTAGCAGTGTTGTCAATGGTATTTCCGCAATCTTTATTCTCATCAGAATTTATTATGACTCATAAATATAAAATAATTATACCTGTAAACATATACAGCCTTAGAAAAGGGGGAAGGGGGTTCAGACTTCAGGTTCTTTGACAGTGTGATTGGGAGAAATGAATATAGAAACTACTATATGGTATTAGAGTAGTGCAATGTGCTGTGAGCCCTCTACTGGTAATTTCTGTTCATAGAAAGCACAATAAATTTATATAGATAGATGAAAGAGAGGGAGGGAGGGAGGGGGGGGGAGAGAGAATTTTGTGTATGTGTGTGTGTATAAAATAATAATCTGCAGCCTTCATTCTAACTTACTCTATTCCTTATCAAGTCAGTTCCCTGTTTCACATCTTCACATAAATATGTAAAATGCTTATGCTCATTCTATTCATAAAATGCATCACTATATTATTATTTATGAACTTTTTAAACAATTACCATACATATCTCTAACAAAAAAGGGATACAGTGGTAAGGATAACAATAGAATACAGTGTAAGGATAAAAATAGTTAGTATAATTTAGTATGAGTACTAAAAGATACATATTTTTTCTAATGCATTTCATTATCAACAACTTTGTTCACAGCAATATTAAACCAGGGCTTCAAACCTTTGCTCCCATTCTTCTTTACTATTGCTATGTCCTTCTGATTAACCAGGGACCAAGAGAAGACTTTACTTCGCTGCTTTCTAATCCAAATTTTAACTTTGAAGTTCTTTCCATGCTACACAGGGCTATGCATTTTTAATGATGGTTCAGACTGCCATCAATTCATCATCGATGATAACAGCCTCCATCTCTTGGGACACATTAACTACGTGGAATTTTGTTCTACCCTCACCAGGCTATGAAGCTATGAAGCAAACCCTTATTTTGGATTAACTTAATATTCACTAAGAATGCCATCAAGTGAAGGGAACATTAGTCTGGCAATGCTAGACTTTCTAGTCAGGAAACAGGTACAACCTTTAGCCATCTCACCACACTACTGGGTAGTACAGGTACTAACCTTTAGCCATCTCACCACACTACTTAATCTCTCTTTCATTCTCTGCTCAGCCCTCTTACGAGCAGCACTTTTTGGGAGGTTATTTAATTATGGTGTAGCTATACCCCTATAAGTACTTTTCCTCTATTCTTTATGATATTGCCTTTCTCTCATCTCCAGCCCATAACTGAGGCAGGTTATTTAGCTGTTCCTATTTTTCAATAAATTTTCCCTTTCCTCCCCCAAACAATCTGGGTAAAACCTGATCAACACTTTCCTTAGTACTTACAGGTCTTATACAGTTCCTTATAAACAAGAGTTTGCCACTCAGATAAAAGAGAAGTAGATCTGCTTTTAAACTCTTTCTTGAAAGATAGATAGTCCTCTGCTACAAAGAGGGAAACAAAGCTAGGCGCTGCCAGTTCATCCTCTGTTGTTGCTACCGTAGTTCTGTTACCAGTAGATGTAAAATAAGCTTTCCACTGTTTAAACTGGTAAGGATTATAAAGGGCTACATTTTAAGCTATTAGTATTTCAGTGGCTGAATGGCATATTCCTTTCAATGGCCTCCCAGGTATTACCAGCCATAAGACCAAAACTGAGTTTCTTGGTCACTTGGTACAATAGGCCAGGAGTCCCCAACCTCCGGGCCGTGGACTGGTACCGATCCACAGCCTGTGAGGAACCGGGCCATACAAGCGGTGGGTGAGTGAATGAAACTTCATCTGTGCATGCACAGGATCTAGGTTGCATGTGAAAGCATCCCCTCCCAGTCTTTGTTAGACAATTTTTCTTCTGAAACTGGACCCCGGTGCCAGAAATATTGGAAACTACCGTGATAGATTATTCTAGCATTTGTTGAAGACATAGCTTGTTCTTTAGTGCCCTTCTCTTTTACTTTTATTCCTCCTTCATGCCTGTTACCTGTAAGCCAGTCTGTTTTGGAATAGGGATTTAATACCCCTCACAAGAATGCTAGACTTCTCTTCAGAAATAGTCTGGCTCATTGGCCACAGGCATGGAGGAGAGGTTGCACTGCATTGAGGCATTCCCTCTCATTTCATCACAAGCAGTCCTTCAACATTGCAATTTGATAGGGGTTTAACTCACCATTCAACGTAGCTGTAGACCATCATTTTAGAACACAAGATCCATGATCATAAATGGCAAATTGGTCACAAGCACAGATGAAGGATGGGCTCTGAGAATAACCTTGGGAGATAAGAAGAAGAGCCAAACACAGTAAGAGCAATAGTCCGATTAGAGAAATCTCAGCTCACAAAAGGAATGGGGGTGGAGAAAGTGTCCCAGAAGGGACCTTCCCTAGTTCTGTAGAAAATAAAGGCAGAGGAGTGGGGAAATACTTTCAGACTTGCAAGATACTGAAACCTTACAATAAAGGTAATGTTAGTATTTATGATTTTGGTTTCCTGTCTGGACTACATCAAAAGGCTGATAAGATTGCACCATAGGGTATGCTTCACTCATGCCGCCTTCAGTAGCTGCAATCTGTTAATTGGACAATTTGATAGGGTGGCTAAACATGCCATTTTAAACAACCATCTACACTTCTCCAACCCACATCATTCTACATTGGGAAAATTAATTTTTTTTTCTATTACCAGATAGGAGGAGAAACAAAGTCAGGGAACCTGCAGGATCATAATTTGTACATAGGAGTAGAACATAAGAATTTAATGACAACATGGATGCAAAACCTCAAAAAAGTAATTATGATAGAACAATGGAAAAAGTATGGGGAAAAACCAATAAAATTTACTCCAAGCTATAATTTGAGGGAAAATAGGTTCAAAATGTTGTACAGATTATATATAATTCCATCAATTATTATCAAGATGGACACATTATATAATAATAATGTTGGAAACTGCAAATTAACAAGGAACATTTACTCACATCTAATAGTAATGTAAAAAAACCCTCAAAACTATTGGAAGGAACTACATTGAAGCATTCAGAATTTTTAAAAATAAAACTTGAATTCAAACCACAATAAACCACTATTTATTAGGAATAATTCTAGGCAGCATAAACCAAACGTATTACAATGTACTAGGGTACATGCTGACAGAGCCATGAACAAATCAGATGCATATTGGAAAAGGAAAACTTTGCCAACAATACAAGAGTGAGAGACCACAATTTGAGAATATGCAGCAAAACTGACTGCATATAATCATAACAGAAGTTTAATCAAGTGTAAGGAAGAATTGCTCCATTATTTTTGATACATTACACAACAAGGCAAATTTAGATATTGGGAATATGTTTTTAGAAAAATAGTTAAGAGACTAATTAAAAATAACAGAAGAAGCAACTTAAATAGATATAAGCAATAATCTTCAGTGTTTAATGTTAAAGCTAGTATTTAAGTAACAGTAGTTACTTAAGAGATGAAAGGGATCCCTTAAGGAAGGGATGAAAAAGGAATAATGTATTGTTTCTGCTTACAATATTTTTTCTTAAACTTTATTTTTTTATCCTGCTTTTTGTATCTTTATTCTTCTGTGACTTCTGGTTAAACGTATGCAATATTTGGGGGGGGGGACAACAAAAATTAACAAAACCTTTTTTGTTAAAAGGTTAAAACATAAGAGACCCTGTTCATGATTAATCATAAAACTTCATAAAACTTCTAAATTATTTTTAAAAGAACATATTGCCACAAAATGTTAAAATTGTTGTGATGAATTGTGTTATCATGGAATATATCAAAGGAAAATATAGAAGGAAAATGGTCAGGTCTCTTATAGTGGTATGTGCTGCATATTATGCAATGTAGCTTGATGCCTCTGGGCTACAACATAGCGTACCAAAAATGAACTCTACAAGAATCTGTATTAAATATCAACTTGAGTAAGACTAAGAATTATAGTTATTTCATTTTTCCTCTCAAAATTGGCCAGAGCAGCACAGTTATATAGTAAGTAGTCCTTGATTTACAAATATTCATTTACTGACTGTTCAAAATTACAACAGCACTAAAAAAAGTGACTTATGACCATTTTTCACATGACCTTTGCCACATCCTCATGGTTACATGATCAAAATTTGGGCGCTTGGCAACTGGCATGTATTTATGACAGTTGCAGTGTCCTGGGGTCATGTGATCACTTTTTGCAACTTTCTGACAAGGAAAGTCAATGGGGAAGCCAGATTCACTTAGCCATGTTACTAACTTCACAACTCCAGTGATTCACTTAACAACTGTGGCAAGAAAGTTCATAAAAGGGGCAAAACTCACTTTATTTTATTTATTTTTATTTTATTTATTTGATTTGTATACCGCCCTACTCCCGAAGGACTCAGGGCGGTGAACAGCCAACAATAAAATACATAAATACACAAAATTTAAAAACCCGATAAAATCAAATTAAACTTTTTGGCCCAGACAAATTAAAATACCCCAATAATTTAAAAACAGATTAAAATTTACATATTTAAAAAGGGAAGAGATCAGGCCAAGCCCGCTTGATGGAATAAAAAGGTCTTCACAGCACGGTGGAAGGAGCGCAGATCCGGGATCCTCCGTATCTCCGGGGGGAGCTCATTCCAGATGGTAGGTGCCCCCACAGAGAAGGCTCTCCCCCTAGGGGCCGCCAGTCGACACTGTTTGGCTGATGGCACCTGGAGGAGTCCCTCTCTATGAGAGCGTACTGGCCGGTGGGAGGCTATTGGTGGTAGTAGGCGGTCCCGTAAATAACCAGGCCCTAAGCCACTTAACAACTGTCTTACTTAGCAGTGCAAATTTTGGCTCAGTTGTGGTTGTAAGTCGAGGACTATCTGTACGGAACAAACATTCTGCTATTGAACCCAGGAATGTGGAAAAAATAGAGAATGAAAACTTTAAGCACTGTTCTTTCAGAGTCAGTCCTACCATGCAGTGTAGGGAGTTAATCCTAGGCTGCAGATATGCTGTGACACAGAGTTTGCTGAGGAAGTCTTGACATACCAACATCTTGTGCAGGTAGTCTACTTACGACATTCATTTAGTGACCACTTAAAGTTACAACAGCACTGAAAAATGAGACTTATGACCATTTTTCACAGCTACAACCTTTGCAGCATTCCCCATGATCTTGTGATCAAAATTCAGATGCTTGGCCACTGGTTCATATTTATGACAGTTGCAGTGCCCTAGGGTCATGTGTATTTATTTATGTATTTATTTATGTATTTATTCTGTCATCGTTACGTAGTATATATTGGAGGTGGTGGTGACCCTTTGAAAGCTGTATGCAGCGAAATTTCATTTTAATGTATGCCGATTAGCGTACATTCAAAGTGACAATAAAGCAATTCTATTCTATTCTATTCTATTCTATTCTATTCTATTCTATTCTATTCTATTCTATTCTATTCTATTCCTCACCTTTTGCGGCCTTCTGACAAGCAAAGTCAATGGGGAAACCAGATTCACTTAACAACAAGGTTGCTAAGCTATCAACTGCAGTGATCCACTTAACAACTGTGGTAAGAAAAGTGGTAAAATGGGGCAAAACTCATTTGACCAATATCTCACTCAACAGCAGAAATTCTGGGCTCAATTTTGGTTGTAAGTCAAGGACTACCCGAACTTTACATCTGGTCCAGAAAGTTCAGTCCATTGAGCTACTCTGGCTAGGCAGGGAAAGGGCTATCATTTGGTTTCCTGCTTGTCTTGACAGTTCCCCCCCCCCCCCCCAAAAAAAGCCTCAGAGGTCCTTCAGGTTATCAGCCGAATATTTTCCCCTCACCCTGTAGCCACAACAGGTCTCTAGCCACCCCGGGGGAGGGGAATGGGATGACTTCTCACTGCGGTGAGCTACCATTTTCACAGCAGACTTGAACCCAAAGTAGCACTTCGCACCTCTTTTGGCAATCTCACGAGGGTGTAACTTGGGGAAGGGAGGAGCAAGCTTGGAACGGCAGTGGGACTTTCTCCTAGGTCAATTTAGGTCAAATCGGCCACCGCGCTGTGGCCTCGAAGAAACCGAGCGTGCGTGCGGGCGCAAGAAGAAAGCGAGGCAGAGGAAGGGAGGTGGGGGGAGAGAAAGAGCCCCAGAAACTCCAGAGGAAGTAGCGCTGCAAGGCAGCAGAGACTTCGGCAAAGGCCCGAGGAAGGGGGGGAGGGGGAAACTCCCCTCTTTTCTCCCGCCTCGCGCGCTCTCCTCCGCCCCCTCCCTCCCGCTTCCTCCCCGGGTGACGTTGCCCGCAGGAAAGTTCCCCGAATCAACAGCGCGCGCCCACCTTCAAGGAGAGCCGAAGTGTCTGCGGGTGGCGTCGCTTCGCACCTGGGAGCCGCAAAAAAAAGGAGCTAAAGGGGCCGGGAGGACCGAGGACCGGAGGGCTTTCTACCATCCCTTTGGGAGCGCGCAACCTGGCGCAGTCGGTGCAGCCAAGCGAATTCCCAGGTAAAGCAGGGGAGGCGGGCGTGTGTGTGTCTGTGTGTGTGTGTGGGGGGGGATCTGGCATTAGCAGAGGCGGCATCTCGGGAATAGGAGCCAAACCAAGCACACGGGCTGGAAGGAATCGGCGCACGCCTTGGTTCGGTTTTTCCCCTTGTCGGAGCACTACAAAACCCACGCAGTAAAATCAGCCTTCTGCCAAGGCTGGGCTTTAATATTCCGCGAGTTTTTAATCTCCCGTTTTCTAAAAACCAGCGGCAGGGAGTTCGTGGTGCAATCCTAGACGTGATTATTCAGAAATAATTATACCACGTTTCTTTTCTAGTTCAGCTTGGGGTGCTTCTTGGGAATAAACTCTTGTTAAGAACGGTTGGTGGGACATCTGGCGATTTTTTTTTAGATCTCCCATCATTTACAGTTAGCCTAGCCCGAGTTAGGGCTAAGAGATGCCAGATCTACTGTGATACCATTAGAGAATAGAATGGCAGCGGGCCTGAATTGGAAGGATTCTTATGGGTTATCTTTTAAGACCTGTTAAGGGGATGATTTGATGAATTTCTGCATTTAGGGGATGTTAAGGGGATGATTTAATGGATTCCTGCATTTAGCTGAGGTTGGACCTCAGGTAAATGCAGGAATCCATTAAATCATCCCCTTAACAGGTGTCTATCTACTGTAATCTTTTTTTCTAAAACTTTCAGTAAGGGGTCCCAAAGGTGACCTCCCAAAAGGTGCTTTTTCAAGAGATAACTGGACTTTCTGGTTTTTCTTTGAAGGCGTTTCGCTTCTCAACCAAAACTGAAGAAACTTCTTGGATGAGAAGCGAAACGTCTTCAAAGAAAAACCAGAAAGTCCAGTTGCCTCTTGAAAAAAGCACCTTTGGGACAACCGTGACTGAGAATCTCCATAGACTTTCAGTAAGAGGGTAGCAGCATTATTCTGGATCCATTGCTGAACAGCTCTTCCTATCAAGAAGTTTCTCCTAAACTTCTTGATAGGAAGCCTTCTTTTTCATATATTTCATTTAATTAATATTTAATCATTTAATTAATGTTGAATGCATAAGTGAAATAATTATTTCATTTAATTTCAACTCATTGGACTCTGTCCTGCTTACAAAAGAGAGCAGGTCCAGCCTGCATTTCACAGGAATAACAGCCCTTTAAATACTTATAGATTCCTATCATATCTTCTATCATTCCCCCCCCACCTTTTACAAACTAAACCTGTAGCTCTCTGCGCTGCATAGAACTTTGTTTTCAAGCCTCTTACTTCTTGGTATGTCTCATTTGAATCCACTCCCGTTTCTTTAAATTCCTTTTAATCTGTGGACCCAGTACTGGAAGCAATGTTTTAAGTGTGGTCTAACTAGTGTACGCAAAATTGCTTCACTGTAATGATTTTGATGCAGTGAGAGCCAGGTTGGTGTAATGGTTAAGGCACCAACCAGGAGATGGTGAGTTCTAGTCTTGCCTTCCTTCGGCACGAAGCTAGCTCTGTGAACTTGGTCCAGTTACTTTCTCTCAGCCATAGAAGGAGATAATGACAAGCCACTTCTGCAAATCTTGCCAAAAGAACTCTAGGGATTAATCCAGGCAGTCACCGAGTCAAAATATGACTTGGATTTTTTTAAAAAATGACTAGAAGGCATACATACATAGACACACACACAAATACTGAATTTAATGCAATGCTTTTGTTAATGCGGTCAAATATTGTTGAATTGTGCTACTTTCTTTCATGAGATGTCACGTTTTGACTGATGGTAGTTGATGGAGTCATGGTACTTTGAAAACTAAAGTTGCAAGATTATCTCCTAATCTTGGCAAAAACCATTTGATTGCCTAGTTTAACAGAGTTGCACATCCTCACAGAATTATAATCACAAATGTTTTTGTGAATGGCTTGGTTCACTATAGATTATGCAATAATTAAAGTGATTCATTTAGAAAAAAACATCAGGCTTCTCCTTGCAATACAATTGTACTGTGCAAAATAAAACAAACAAATGTATTAACTATGTAATAAACAAATATAAGACTCTTAATTCTCTGTGTGTTCCTCTGGGATTAAATCCCACTGACTTTTGTAGAGTTTACTTCTGTATAGTACTTTGCATTGGACATATCAAATATTTTATGTGATTTTATGCATAGTAATATATGTAGTTTTTAGTGGGTCACAGAAAGTAAATGTGTTCATAATTGCTTTTTTACTGGTTGGCCAGTACATATTTTCTTACAGATAAAACAATACTGTAGTTCTTTTCCAAGTTCAGTATTATTCTTTATAGATTTTGTGTGTGTGTGTGTGTGTGTGTGTGTGGAGAGAGAGAGAGAGAGAGAGAGAGAGAGAGAGAGAGAGAGAGAGAGAGAGAAAAGAGAGGGAGGGAGGGAGGAGAGGGAGAGGGAGAGGGAGAGGGAGAGGGGGAGAGAGTGTCAGAGATGATACAGACTCATCTACAGTTTCTATAAGTACTCGTATTAAAATATTAAGTTTAAAGCAACTTTTTCATTTTAGGTTTTAAACTCCTTACTGGTCCATGAGATTTGTAATCACAATAAATTTGTAATAACACAATGAATTTGTAATCACAATGAATTACTACAGCCCTACTATGTTAATCCATATAATTTTCACAATGATTCTTTCAGCAAACTGAGAGCCCATCAAATGCTGCACTGGGTTATGTTGCCAAATCCAATACTGTATCAATAAGAATCAAATTACCTAAAGTTAACAGATCTAAAATAAACTGCAGAATGTGGGTGTCAAATATAAATATGCATTTTATAGGAATTTTGTGAAAGTTTCCTATCCTTTTCAGCTATGTGCTCTTTCCCAAAATCTTGCTGGAGTGATTGGAGAATTGTCCCAAGTCTTACAATTTTTGAGGAAGAGCATGCAGCTGCAAGGGATAGAAAAGTTTCACAAAATTCTTATTAGATATAACTAAAAAGAAAAAACAAAATAAAAAAACCAAAAAATATATATATAAAGAAGTGACTTCTAACCTTCATCACAAGTATAGACAATTATAGTAATTTATCATTTCCTTTTAGAATACAACAAATGGTATCTTCTTTCCACATGCCATTTTCAATCTTCATTGAAGTCATTGGCTCTACTTTTCACAAAGCTATATTCAGTCTACCCTGTCTTCCTCCAGAAGAAAAACTATTATGAAATAAAATTAGGAATAACTCTATATTACCTGTTGATACATGTTTTTCATCTGAAAGCATCCTAGTAACATTTAGGTTTTGTGGCGTTTTCAGAGGCAAGATGGTCTACTCTGGGAGTAGACCATCCAAAATGCCTTTCTAATGACTTTTGGAAATGTCTATGTCTTCTGTGCCATTTGTTCTATTGAAATCGTAGTCAAAGTTAGGAAGTAAGATGGCTAGAGTCATAGAGTTGAAAAAGTTGGGATGAATATAATCAAATACATATTAGAGTCTGTTCAATGAAGTGGTAAAAAGTTTATTTCTTTACCACAGGGTTACCACAGGGATTATTCCATGCAAGCTAGCAGTACAGGTCTGTGCTTAGCATCTTGTTATGACCAGTTCCTAAAATTTGCATTTCCATTTTGACTTGGATGCTACTATTAGAACAATATTAGGAAGTATACGTTTAGCCCATGCTTGTCCAGTTAAATTGAATGAATTTTAGCTTGTGCAGCTTGACGGGTTTTGGAGATAAGATATCAGCTACATGTGCGTTTGACTCTTGCTCATCCTATTTAATGAGAGTAGCTAGTAGCGGACAAACTGAGTGGAATCTCATTGCAGGAAGAGGTGGTTCCTGAATGATAGAATCTGGGATAAAACTGTTGTTTGAACAAATCCTTTATTGTAGTATTCCATTCACTCTCAAAAATTCCACTTATAGTCTATGTTCTCAGTCATCCAGGTCATGGTTATCCCAAAGTTGCTTTTTCAAGAGGCAACTGGAATTTCTGTTTTTTCTTTGAAGGCATTTTACTTCTCATCTAGAGCTGAAGAAGCTTCTTGGATGAGAAGTGAAATGTCTTCAAAGAAAAACCATTGGTCACTGTATCACCAAATTTCATTGAATGCCCCATGCAAATCTCCCTCCTCCCACTGTAAACCCGAATCCTATTGTCCAGTGGCCTCTTGAAAAAGCACCTTTGGGATTCCACTTATAGATACAATTCTTACATACTTCGTGGCTTCTCAGCTCAAATTATGTTTTAATTAGAGCACACCTGGATTATTTCAATGCTCTGCACATAAAGCTGACTTTGAAGAATATTGGGAAAACTTAGTTTATCCCAAATCCAGGGCACAGAGAGCATATAAATCTTCTATTTGAAAAAGCTGCATTGGCATCCAATTTATTAACAGAAAAAACTCAAACTGTGGGTTATAGCATTAACGTTTTAGACCCAGGGCATTTGAACAGCTGTTATTTGCTGTATCAACCTGCCATTTAAATCATTATCATGCTATTTTAGGTCATCTTGGGAAAACCCGTTTCAGTCATCAACAACCATTTAGTTGGGACCAAAAAGAGTGGGGTTTTCCTCAGCTGCATCTAATCACAGCACAAACAATCTCTTTTTTTCATGTCATGTCCTCATGACATGTCACCCCTAGCCAATACCAGAGGCAGCTTAAAGCCATCCTTTGCTGTTCCAGTTTTAAAGTAACATTTTCCCTCTTTTCCCAACACAGTTTTGACCATGGAGATAGACTGACAGACCTCATCAGTGATCTGGTTACTGGTGTGTTGAGGCTGTCCAGCTGTTACAGTGTTAATGGAGTGATTTTACCTTGAAGCAGGGAACAAGTCATGACAGTTTTCCTGAGCGTGAAATCTGATATACTTCACTGATCATCCAGTCATTACCACAATCTGGTGATCCCTAGATGTCAGATCATCCTGGTATCTGCCAGCTTCTTTACTGCTCCTCCTGTTCCTAAATTGGCCAGTGGGTACCAAAATGATGATACCCAGGGCTCATTTGGTAGGAGAAAAGTGGGGAGAGAAAGACTTTTTCACTGCCAGGTCACTGTATCAACTGATTTCAATGAATGCCCCATGCAAATCTCCCTCCTCCCACTGTAAACCCAAATCCTATTGTATGCTTGTCATTTGTTCAACCAGACTATATTTACCTATGGAAATTTTTGTGTAAAAAAAGCCCAAGAGCAGCTGACAGACAGAGGGAGGCATACACTGTAATGGAAATCCATTCATTTAGAAAACATACATGGCTGCCCGTCATAAATAAACGTGTGACATGGTTGATTTATTTGTTAGGATTTTATCCCCTAACAAATTTATTCACCTTTATTTTTTGTCAAACCGAGACAGTCTGCATACCTCCTCCTGCCTCCTATTTTTGCCCACAATGACAATCTGTGACATGAGTTGTGCTGAGAGAGTGATGGATTAAAGCAGGGGTGTCAAACTCAAGGCCTGCGACCTATATCCGGCCCGCGGGGTGCTTAAATCTGGCCCACAGAGACAGCCTGGAAATAGCAAAGGACCGGCCCGCGGTGCCTCTGGCAGCCAAAACAGCGTGTGGGACCATGCGCCCCCCCCCCCACCCTTGTTTTGGCTGGCAGGGAGCTGCAGGAGGCATCTGTCCCATCTCCCCTCCGGCCAGCCCGCAAAGGAGAACTACAATGCTGATCCGGTCCTCAAAAAAATCCAGTTTGATACCCCTGGATTAAAGCCACCTAGCTGGCTTTTATGCTTAATGGAGAATTAGAATTCATGTAGTGAGTTCTCCTCTGTTAGAGGTTTCCAAATAAGATCGTCTGTCAGAAATGCTCCTGGGCATCATGCACTGCATTTTCAACTCTTAAGATTCTGTGATCCTAAATTTCCTATTCTGTATTTATTTAGTTAAAATCCATTTTAACTGAATTTAAAATGGTTAAAATCAATATTAAAAGAGCCAATTTGGTAAGCGGTTAAGGCATCAGGCTAGATACCAAGAGACTGTGAGTTCTAGTCCTACATGAGACACAAAGCCAGATCTTGGGCCGGTCCCTTTTTCAGCCCTAGGAAGGAGGAAATGGCAAACTATTTCTGAAATTTTGCCAAGTTCCAGCAGTTGCCTGGAGTCAACACTGAGTCAACACCTCCACCCCCCCACCCCACCCCAGAATTAATATTTCTGAACATCATTCCTTTATTCTATTGCTTTTTGAAATCTGTCTTTTGAGTAGTATTTTAAGTGTGAGTCATGTCAATATTTTAGGCAGATAGTTTAAATGAATTGTAGAGGTACAGATAGTCCTCGACTTATGACCACAATTGAACCCAAAATATCTGTTGTTAAGTGAAACATTTGTTAAGTGGAGTTTTGCCACAGTTGTTAAGTGAATCACTGAAATTGATAAATTAGTAAGCTGGTTGTTAAGTTTATCTGGCTTCCCCATTGACTTTGCTTGTCAGACTTTGCAAAGAGTGATCACATGGGACACTGCAAGGATCATAAGTATGAACCAGTTGCCAAGCACCTGAATGTTCTTCACATGATCATAGGGAAAAGTCGTAAGTGTGAAAAACATAAGTCATTTTTTTCAGTCCTGTTCCAACTTTGAACAGTTATTAAATGAACTGTTGTAAATCGAGGATTACTTTGCACCATGCAAAGACCAAATCCCCTCTGTCAAAATCAATGCTCATACCCATTTCTTTACAATGTGCCCTTCTTTGCTCTCACCTGCATCAGCCAGGTGGTGTTAGAGGTATAATGCAAATGCCATGAAGGTATGAGAAAAATTGTAGTCCTCACTGTAGACAAGCGGGGGAATGGGGGAAATTAACTGACTGTCAGGTTTCGATGCTATCCACTGTGCACAGAATAAGGTTGATGAACCAAAATACAAGGATGATAAACAATGTCAGCTGGATTTCGCTAACATTCTGATAATAACAAGTATTGTCATCCAATATTAAACATGAGATTTCAGCAACAGAACTCCAGTATGTGGTTCAGAAACACTATACAATCTTCTTTATTTTTCTACTGTTGATGCTTCAGGAATTCTATACTACTGTTTTTTTCTTCAAGACAAAGAGGGGAAAAGAAAACGTAACTCCCGGCCTGCACCAAGTTTTGAAGTTTTTGAATAATACACACAGATATAAAACAAAGTTTGCAGAATGATAAAGTAGCAACAGCAATAGCACTTAAACTTATATACCTCTTCATAGTACTTAGTACTAAGTACCTCTTCTAGTACATAGTACCTCTTCTAGTACATAGTACTAGAAAGCATAATACTGCTTTCTAACCATCATGCCACCACAATAAAGTAATTAAAGTAGAGATTTTAAGCAGGAACAGTGGACTGTTTCTGTCTGTCAGACTGTAGCAGGAGATTATACCCATAACATTTATAGTGCCAAAATTGCACAATGTATGAAATTATTTTGGCAATTAATAAGTTTCTTAAAGTGGTAGACAATGTTAACTCAACAATATAACTTTCTTAATACAAAAAAAAAAAAAAAAACCTGGGACAAAATATGAAAAAGTTACATCTCTTCAAGCTTTCATATATTGTTTATCTCTAACCAGCAAATTTCATTTGTGTGGAAAAGGAGAATGGCTTTTAAGTCTTCTCTGAGTTTTTGTTAGCCAGCAATTTTGCAAACCACACTGGCCAGCCATTCTGGAAATTGCAATCCAACTTATTTGAAAGATCTCATCTTTCTTGTCTCAAAATGCAAGCCTATTTCTTTTCAGCATGTCTCAGTGGAATCAAGTGCAGCAGTTGGAACCCTGCTTTTTAGAGCAAATAGACCAGATTTACGATGACATCTTTCCCATGGAAATTCGACATCTTTTAGCACAGTGGATTGAAAGCCAGGACTGGTAAGTTCGGACAATTTTTCTTTTCTCTTCTGCCTTGAATATTAGATGACTTCTGAATAAGCAGATATAGATCGCATTATATTTACAGTTGTAATGTTTCTCCTATTTACTGTTGTAATGTTTCTCAACGTTGGCAACTTGAAGATGTGTGGACTTCAACTCCCAGAATTCCTTAGTCAGAATTCCCCAACTTGCTGGTTGGGAATTCTGGGAGTTGAAGTCCACACATCTTCAAGCTGTCAAGTTTGAGAAACACTGTTGTATACAGATATAGCTTCCTGGGCAGGGAAAAAAGAACCCCTCTTCTTGGGAATATGTTTATTTTATTATCCAAGTAAAAATAAAATATTGTTGTTTTGCATCACAATCTGGGGCTGTACATGTTTAACCAGCATTAAACCAGTAAACATTCAATAGACATAACAAATAATTCAAAACCTACAGAATTAATAATACTATGATTTTACATAATTTCATATTCAGTAAGCTTACTCCATCAAGCATAATTTGGATATCCATATCTTTATGAATTAATGTTTTCTCTCTTTGTATATTTTTGTTGTTGTTATTGTTATAGCTATTTTGTTACCTACAAACAAAGTTCAGGGAATATATAAACCTATTTTAATGATTGGAATAATGCCATTCTATTATGATTATTGTCTTTGATACTGAAAGATACATGGAAATAAACCTGTCAAACTATAAAATATTTTGTTTTATAATATACATCATGAGGATTCTTTTTAGAGGAAGCGTATGGTAATTCTTTTTTTAAATACATTTGTATCCAGATTCAAAATTCTAAATAGTACATATCAGCAATTGTTAATTAATTCCAATGATTAATTTGAAATCAATTCTCTGTCCTTTCTTCACTCCTACACAGACAGAAGACAGTATATCGATAATATTCTCACATTTACGGTCAGATGTTAAATTACATAAGCATTTTATCAATTTTACATTTTAATTTTAGGACTACATACAATAACATTTAATTGAAAAGGTAAAAGGGGCTTACTTATATACTGACTATATGTACAAATATGTAAATATTACATCTTTAAATATACATGTGCTGTTTTAAAACTGAAGAGAGAGCTTTTAAAAAACTAAACTGAGAATTTTATTAGGTCTTTTAATCCTATATTTACCTATATAATTTTATTTTATTTTAACTTTACAATGTTATTGTTATAATAATATTCTGTATGTAATTTATATTATATACAGCATATTTTCTTGAGATAAAAACAGAATCTGTATAACCAATTTGTAGGCCTCCCATTTAGAGCCTAATATTTCTCTTGAACAAATGATTTTGAAAACATTACTATTTTTGATATATGTATTTTGTTCTTATCTATTTCCTCTTGCAAAGGGAGTCTGCATATAGCAATGAGTCTACAGCAGTTATGCTGTTGCATAACTTATTCATAAAACTGGATGAGCATTTAGAGCGTGTTTGTCAGGAGAAGAACCTCCTTTTGATACATAACCTAAAGAAAGTCAGGAAAATTCTTCAGGTGAGTTTAAGAAAGAATCACAAAGAAATCTCCTGCACCAACTATGGTGTCAGTTCTGTTATATAAAGTTTTGTGTAAGGATATTTATACCAACCAGAGCTCAGGAATTATTGGATGCATTGATTTTAAACATTTGATCAAACAACACACTGAATTTTAATCTATTCATTTTCAGCATGATGTTTATAATCAAACGTGAGTAGAAAAAGAAATCAGATAAATGGCAAAAAAGTACTCCAGAATATAGAAAAGACAGACATGTAGAAAAGCTATAATAGAGTCATTATGTTTTGGAGGAGTGTGGGGGGCGTGAGGGAGAAGTACAATGCTGAAAAAGATTCAGGCACACCAGAGAGAAATTGATTTTGCACATCATGGTAAATACACACATAACTGAATATATAATTTGAGTAAAAATCTTATCTCTGCCACCCTTTGTCTGTAACAAAGCCCTGCTGCTGTTCCCAAATTAAGCTCATTGTCACTTCATACTCTTTTGATCAGAATTCTAACAAACTCCTTCTCAATTAATGAACAAATCCCTCCTGTTAATGTTCTGTGTTTGTTTTTGTAATCTTTCTGAAATCTTCTGCAACCTTTGTATAGGGAACAATAATGGCCTTTTTCCAATTGTCAGGCAAAGTTAATCTTCACACACATTAAAAAAAAAGTTTCATATCCACTCCATAAACGAACCTCATCTATATTGTAAAATTTCTGTGGCTACACTACAACTCACCCTTTTTTCAATATTCTATCATCATCATTTATTACTTCCTTTTTATCAGGCTTTGACTTGGTCACTGACATTTATGGCATAGCATCCATTCCAATTTCTTACTGCAACACACCACATTATAGTGTTTATATAATGGATATGTACAGTATATACTCTATTAATAATGAAGAATGCATAGTTTGTTTCAGAAAGTATGCATGTTTGCAGCTCCCTTTAGATTTCAAAATGTAAATTTCCTTATTTTGAAACTGAAACACACAGGTTGCCTTATTATTAAATATTGCTTTGCCCCCATAGCATTCAGTAGATGTTATGATTATGTCACACACATGACATTGTTGCATAATAATGCAAATCAAACAATTACAAGGAGTTAATCTCACTTTCTCTTCCATAAATTAGAGACGTAACTACATTAAAATCCAGTGCTGTAAAGCACTGTGAAGTCTATGTGCTATTGCTATATTTTGTGCCTGTCAAGGACCTTTGTATTAGTCAAATTCTGATATGGGAGAAATGGTAGAGTGGAAGGTTAGGAAAAGAGAGGATAAAAGAAAACATATATAAAGATTTAAAGGAAAGCCAGAAATTAACATTTCAGTGATGCACACAACAATCACCCAAATTCATTGGTAAAATGTCCCAACTGTACTCCCTTAAAGGATTTAATATCTTGTGAGCTTCATGTAAGCATTTTTATGAAAGACTAAGCGGGTAAGAAACTTATTGCAGCATGCGGAAACAATGATGGTGAAAACTTCAGATATTGAATGTCTATCTGCCTTTTGTTAGAGAACCAAATACAAGTTTGAAAGAAACAGCACAGACAATATGGGGAAAATAAAGAAGTGATGGAAAAGACTATGGATATGCAGAGAAATGTTACTGTATACAAATATAATTGACTTCATATATGCAATTATATATATTACATATATATCAAGAATGGACATGAATTTTCTGTAATGAGTCCATGGCTGTTCTGTATATGGCCAATTTTTCCTATTAGGATATGGATTAGATCTTTCTTATGTTTCTTTAACTTTATTTTTCAGGCAAAATACCAAAGTAACCCTCTACATATAGCACTGATTATTTCAAACTGTTTAAGAGAAGAAAGAAGAGTATTGGCTTCCGCAAGTATGCCAGTTCAGGTAATTTTGTGATGATGATCTAGAGGAGGAGGAGATAGAATGAATGTCCATCAAATTTGCAAAGCTTCAATATCCTAATACTTCAGAAGACTGGCTCAAGGTTCAAAGGAACATTGGTCCTAAATTCATCAAATACTGTTCAGCAGTGAGAAATATAAGATTTGCCTTATAAAGAAATGTCCCCGCCCACACACAGCTCAAAATAGGGAATGTTTAGCTCAGCAATAGTACTTATGAGAAAGATCTACAAGGATCTCAGATTGAGTTCAAGACAATAGTGTATTGCACTTCCAAAAATAGGCAATGCAATCTCAGCTTCAGCCTTGTGGTAGTTCTGTTTTGATAGAGTACTGATCAAACTGCACCTGAAAAGTTGTGTCCAGTTTTGGTTACCACAGTACAACAGGGTTGCTGAAGAGTTGGAAATAGAAAACCTGAGCAAATAATGACAGGTGTCTGTGCCGTAGATCAACTGACTTTTCATGGAATATTTGTATTTTCCCTGTGTCCTTTTTTTTTTAAGTTGAAAGACGAGAAGATGCACTGCTGATCTTCATTTTAAGTTTTTCCTTTGAAGTAAATGCTGTACTTTGTAGAGGTCTTGGATTCCTAAACATACTTGATTTGTCATTGAATACTCATCATTTTTAAAACTGTCCTTTGGGCTGTTTATAGATAAACAATTAATATACCTGTGGCAGTCCAAATATCTCCATTTACCAGGAATATTTTTTGGTAAGTGATTTCCACATCAGTGCTTTGCCTTTGAAAAAGCTGAAGAAATGGGAACTATTACCAAAAGTCAGTTGGCCTTATGGAATTTAGTCCGTCCCCTCTCACTAAAACTTTCCATTAAATAATCTGTGCTAAGTGGGATAGTATTAATAGACTGACCTGTCAAAATTCCTTTTCTAGGGACCTCTAGAAAAGTCACTACAAAACTACTTGGGTTCAGAAAGGCAAAGAAAAATCGAACTCAAAGGTTCTGAAATTAAGAACAGTACACAGGCAAGTTGTTAACATTTTCTGCATTTAATATTTGATACATCAAAGATCTAAGTAAGTCCTCCCTTAACAACTGTTCAAAGTTGCAACGGACACCACCACCCCACCCCAAAAGGTGCTTACATCCCAGTTCTGGAGTTACGACAGTGGAACACCCACCCTGTGGTCACCCAGTTTCCAGCAAAAAACAGCCATAGGAATGCATTGACTCAGCAACTGACCACTTCATTTGCTTAACAACCATCACAAAAAAAAAAGGTTGTAAAATCAGGTTGGTCGTATCGGTGCCTCAGTTTATGACCATCATGACTTAGGACTGAAATTTGGGCTGCATTACAGTTATAAATTGAGGATTAACTATAGTGGTACCAAAAAAAAGGTATATGGATTAAGTATGATGATAATTTAAAACTAGATTCACAGGTACAGAAGAGTGAGATGATATATGATAGAAATTGGACTGTTGCCCTTTTTAAGGTACAGTACAAGTGAGACATACCTCATTTGAATGTTCCCATTGAGAGCTTTGACCTGAAAATATTGTTGTTAATTTATTAGGGGTAGAAGGTTTCTCTGCAACTATATCCCAGTACCTGAGAATGCTGTCCACTAATTTTGTTTCACTGATACTCTTGGGACCTAGCAAATTAATCCAAGTCTGGGAAGGCTTCTTTGGAATTATGAACCCCTGTAAAATCCTTTTAAATGCACAATATTGCCCTCTTTAATTCAGCTGGTTGAAAAACCTCATTGAAACTATGGTGTGAGCTGTACTTTTTGATTAAACACAAAAGAGAAATTTAAAACTGCAGTTCTGTTCATACTTAACTAAGCCTAAGCACCAGTGAACAAATTGCAGCTTGCTTCTGAATAGAAATGCATAGATGCACTATATATCTACAGCTTGCGATACAGCATGATACACTTAGTGTACATTTACAGTGTTTTGCTGAATAAACTAAAATTGGTTGGCTGGATAAAAATTAATCCACTTTTTGTCTTAGTATGATTTGTAATCCCAGCTACTTTTCCCACTAAGGAAGCAGATAGCAATTGTAGCATTTCCATTTCATTTCAGAGAAACTAAAGCTTTTTAGAGAATGTCATTATTGTTTGCTATATGCTATGAATTATATTAGATCACTTACTACTCAATGCATTTAATCTGAAAACAGCTGACAGAACAAGACGTCAAATATCTAGAAGATTTGCAAGAGGAGTTTGACTTCAGATTTAAAACTATATGCAACATAGGTAAGTTTCCCACGCAATGCTATGAAGGAAAAATTGTGATTTTCAATCTTGCATACTTGTAAAAATTGGCTGTTAGTTTTATACTTAGGCTATAGATTTTCATTGAACATCCACAGTCCTCTTTTTGGAGTGAGGGGCAGGATTTCATTAAGACTCAGACTGCTATTGATACATACTCCAGGCAAAATAAATTCCAAGTAAAATATGCCTAACTTCTTAGCCTAATGTATTCTTTAGGGCGCAAGGCTACATCCAGCAAAATATTAATCCAGCTAAGATTGTGCCCCTCTGCATTTTAACCTGGAGATAAGTATCCCTAAAGTTGCATATAATTGCATATAGTGGTATGTATTTATGTATGAAGATACACCTTCACGTTCTATCATATACTGCCCAAATATAAAAGATTCTAGGTTGTGGCTAGAAGAGAAAATGTGAATTTGCAGCTGTAACAATCCTAAGCATTTTTTAAAATTAAAATAAAATGGCAGGAAAATACAGGGTTATTTAAGAGTTTCATGTAGTTTGTCTTTTACGATGGATGGTTCAATCCAACTAAAGTTAATGAATTGTTAATGATAAAACAGCAATGGGTTCATTTCTCTGAATCACCCCATTTAGAAGCAGAGATAAACTTTCCATATTTGTATACTCCAAAATGCATACAGCCTAGGACTGTGGTGGTGAACCTATGGCACACGTGCCACCGTAGCCATATCAGTGGATACGTGAGCTCAGGTCCGGCGTGCATGCATGCAAGCTCAGCTCCGGCATGCATGTGTGCGCTGGCCAGCTGATTTTGGGCCTTCTGGGTCCAGTTGAAGTCTAGTTTGCCAACTTCTGGTGGGACTGGAAGGCCCGTTTTTTGCTGTCCCCAGCCTCCAGAGCCTCCTTGGAGTCAGGGGGGGGGGCAAAAATGGCCTTTCCCACCCCCACCCCCACTCCGGGGGGGGGTAGGGAAGGCTGTTTTCACCCTCCCCAGACTGCTAGAAAGGCTCTGGAGTCAGGTAAGAGAAAAAAACGGGCCTACCAGACCATCGCATGCCAGGAATGGGGTGAACGAGGAGGGGTCGCACACACACATGCGCTGGGGCAGGGCGCATAGAATTATGGGTGCGGGGATGCATGAGTGCAACCCCTCCGCCCCCCTCCTCCTGGCACGCGATGGCAAAAAGGTTAGCCATCACTGGCCTAGGAGAACCATAATAGGTTTTGTTCCTTCAGAAATTCAGCTATGGGAGAAAAAGGACTTTGGGCAGGAAAAAGTCCTTAACAATTTTCTTTTAAGGTCTTCTTAAATGTCCTCTCAAACCTGGTTTTATTTATCACTGAGGAAAAGAGGCAGAGCTTTCAGACCAAATAACAGTTATTGGCTAGTTATTATTGGGAAAAAAGTCATTTAGTTTTAAAATCCAAAAAACTAGGCTAAGAATTCAGAATATTGATAAGGTATTGATTTTGGTTAATGTTCACTCCTTTTTTAAAACAAACTTGGACAAAGTAAGACATAATACATTAGATAGCACACCGGAATGTACTTATAAACTTACTGAGAGATACATGTTTATGTTTATCTAACATTGGTTGCAAGCAAAGTAAAAGTGTAATAGGAAAAAAAAATAAAAACATGCTGCCTTAAAACTACTTGCAAATGCTATTTTGATGGGTTTCCCCGCTCTTATGCTTTGTACATATTCTATATATCTCCTTTTAGAACAGAATGACAAAATTAGTCCTGTCATGAAGCAGGAAATGTTGATGTTGCAGGAAATGCTCAATACCATAGACTACAAGAGAAAGGTTGGTTCAGTTGTTTGTCATTTATATACTTTGCTGATTTAAGAGCATTATGGAAGGTCTTTTTTCTACTTACAAATTAAGAACTAATTCCAAATTATCAAAAAAAAAAAAGCCAATAAAACTACTTATTCTCAAAACTGGGCCATAGTTTTATGAACTTCTTAGTTTTTCATTATTTTATCTCTGGGCGACCTCCAGTAAGAACTGAAAATGCTCAAATCCTCTCATAGAGGAACAGGGGAGGGAGGGAGGATATAGCAGAGGTCTCCACACACTGAAGCAAGGCCTAATTTCTTTCCATCTAATAGCCACTATGGTCATGTCAACATTTAGACCAGTGTTTCTCAATCTTGGCAAGTTTAAGATGGATAGAGTTAAGATGGGTGGACCTTCCCAGAATTTCCCAGCCAGTCTTGGGAGTTGAAGTCCGCCAGTCTTAAACTTGCCAAAATTGAGAAACACTGATTTAGATATACTGTACATATTGTATTATACTGTATTACTATTTGATAGCTATAATACAATGAATCTTAGACAGAACACATACATTAAATGTTTAATTGCTACACAAAGTAAGTGTAGAATTTAAAAGATATAGAATTAATAGACACTTCAGAAGCAAAAGCAAACTTTTTTGGGTTGGGGCTATCCTTTCCCAAAATTGTTTTTGATCTTCAAAGGCATCAGAAGGATATAATGATGATCAGGTCATGTTGCTACAGTGGGCAAAGCTGCTTTTTTTTTTTTTTTTTTTTTTTTGCTTGGTTGGAAACATTTTCAAGGATGGGGGCAGGGATTTTTTTTGCAGAAAATAGATAAGGTGATCCCTTCAGAGCAGAGCTGTCAAACTCGCGGGTTGTGGGCCAGATGCGCCATGTGCTGGCCACGCCCATGCCTGGTTTAGCGAAGGGGGAAAATTTGTGATATGTCATGTTACACTGCCATGACGATGCGAGTTTGACATCCCTGCTTCAGAGCCTAACCTACCTCTTCCACTGCTTAAACTCAAAAAGTAAAGAACAATATTTGCTGCTGAATTTCAGCAGCCTAATACTGGAGTGGTAGATACTTTCAACAGAAGATTTCCCAAACATTATATTTTTCCAAATGTTCTGTTTAGCAATGTCAATGTCATTGTTTTGAAATCTTCCATGTATATTTGCTTCGAATGTTTAGGTTGAGATTTTGTCCAAGCTAAAGCTTTTTTCAAAAGGTATGTGTATTTTAAAATGTATGCACGTGTTCATTTCAAACATTTAATACAGACAGCAGTCAATTTTAGACATTACAAGGAAAATGTTACCTGATCTTTCTTACTTTCAATGTTGCTGAACAGAATACTTGGTAAATGAGAGTATCAGTTACAGTTAGTAGTCTGTTGTTTCAAAAGGTTAGGTCGTGAGAATCAAGATACTCAATTAATAAGTTGTACACAATACAATTTGGCAAGTTAAAACCTCAAAATAAAACTTGAGAAGTGGTGTTATCTGGAGAGACAAAAAAACAGCCAACCCTCTTCCCCACCCAAGGAAGCAAAACAGACAAGACCCTCCCGTCACTCTAACCCAAGGCTGGAGTTTTTGAAGGCCAGTAAAGTGAGAGCCATACAGATCTCTGGATTCAGTTAGTCTCTCAGCAATGTTTGTGGTGAATGGTCTGACTGGGCAGCACTTTCTGACTGGTTTATTTTATATGTAATAAAAAACAACCCATCCATGTTCCTTCTTGGGATGGTGGGGCATCACATACAGATCTGTGGAAGGCTTGTCTTTTCCCGTATGTGTCTCCTTTCAAAGCAGTTAAAGTTTAAAATAAAGTTAAAGATGCAGAAGCAATACTTAAAGAAGCAGCTTTGGTTTGTGGCTGCTCCTGTACTCAGGTTGCTTTCTTGGAAAACGAATGGTTTCTTAAACTAACCACTGTTTTGATGCTGGATGGTGATAAATTAACCAGCAGCAAACTATGTATATAAATGAAGCTAAAGAATATCACAGCTTAGATTGTTACACAAATCAGATCGCTGATTCTCCATTTATGAATTCTGTCTTACTGTTTCTAACTACCGCACCTATCTTGTTCTTTATAGGAAGTTCTCAGTAAAATGGCACAAATAGTAAGGGAGGTTGATGCCTTGGTGAATAACATATTAATAGAAGAGTTATTGGACTGGAAGAGACGGCAACAAATCGCTTGCATTGGAGGCCCTCTACACAGTGGGCTTGATCAGCTGCAAAACTGGTAAAGTGTTGTCGCTAGTTTATCTCTATAGTGCAACAGGAAGTGTGATGCTGTGTGGTTTTTCCATCTCAGTTTAGTCAATAAAAAAATTATTCTGAGAGATTAACAAAAATTATCGTTAAGCAATTTCTAAGAATCTGAAGAGTCAGAAACAGAGATCGTTTAAAGAGGCATTAGTTGGCAACAAATAAAGCTTCTTTAAATGATCTCTGATTCTGACTCTTCCAATTCTTAGAAATTGTTTAGCAGTAAAATAAAAGTAAAAGGCCCGAGATTGAATCATATAATGTTTTCATACCAAATTGTGAAGCAATTGTGAGGCTATTAGCCAACTGTGAAATCTCTCTGCTATGATGATTTGATAGCCCAACAAGCAGCACACTTTCTAATGGGAAGTGGGGAGGGAACTGAATTTATAGCTCATGTTTGTATGGAAAGTTCTAGAAACATATGACAAAAGTAGTTCAAAATTACTTTGGGTGGCAAACAGCAATTATATAAAATTATGGTGATACAGAATAATAATCTAGTTGACTCTGTGACTAATAATAATAATAATAATTAACAACAATAACCATAACCAAAGTCCTGCATGGACAGCACTTGAAAAACATTGAAGGAAAGTGTGATAACAACTTGACATGGGCATGGCTTAAGAGAGGAACCATCAAGAAAGAAATGGAAGGTTTAATACTTGCTGCTCAAGAACAAGCACTATAAACTAATGCCATGAAAGCGAAGATACAAAAATCCACTGACAATCCAAACTGCGAACTTTGCAACGACAAACTTGAAACTGTTTCACACTTAATATGTGAGTGCAGCAAAATCGCGCAAACTGATTACAAAGCTAGACATGATTGAGTTACTAAATTACTCCGCTGGTCATTATGTAAAAAATAAGACATACCTGTATCTAAAATGTCATGGGAGCACAAAGTGGAAAAAGTTATCGAAAATGAGACAGTGAAGATCTTGTGGGACTTTAGAATACAGACAGATCATCATTTGGAACATAAAATGCCAGATATCACAATTGTTGAGGGCCGAAGTATACAGTTTATTGATATTGCTGTACCAGGAAAAATCACAAAATATCGCAACTACACGACTACAGATGAAACATGTAACAGTGATACCCATTGTCATCGGGGCACTTAGTACCATGTCCAAGAATTTTACAAAACACATCAAGAAATCGCAGCTTCCTACAATAACACCAGCGGAACTGCAAAAAACTACTCGGAACATCATATATTTTAAGAAGATACTTGGTTGATACCTAGGACGCTGGCAGCAACCAGTAGCACCAGTCATTCATATTTGTGACACACTTTTAAATGTTCAGTTGACTGAGTTTCATGTGTAATGAATAAAAAAGATAATAATAATAATAATAATAATAATAATAATAATAATAATAATAATAATAATAATAATAATAATAATAATAATAGAACTGGGTGAAGTTGAAATTAAACGAGGCATTTTCCAGGGCGATTCCCTTTCACCCCTACTTTTTATACTCTCAATGCTACCACTGACAATCGTTTTGAAGAAGATGAACTGTGGATACGAACTTGTAAAGAAAGGACTGAAAATCTCGCACTTGATGTACATGGATGATTTGAAGCTGTTTGGTAAAACAAAAGCTGAACTGAATTTATTAATTGAAAACACAAAAGAATTCAGCCAAGACATTGGTATGCAGCTTGGAATTGACAAATGTGCAACAATAGCAACCAAAGCAGGCAAGATCATAAAAGAGGATGGAATAGAACTAGAGAATGAAGAAATGATAAAGGCAGTAAAATCAGAAGAAGGCTACAAGTACTTGGGGATTTTAGAAGCCTCTGACTTAATGCATAATAAAGTCAAGGAATTAACTTCAGCCAAGTACATTCGGCGAATTCGTAAGATATTAATGTCCAAATTGAGTGGAGGAAACATCATAAAAGCCATAAATACCTGGGCTATACCTGTGATTAGATACTCCGCAGGAATAATTGACTGGACCCAGATGGAGTTAGACAATTTGGACAGAAAAACAAGGAAGCTTATGACAATGAATCATGCCTTGCACCCTAAAAGTGATGTTGACCGATTATATTTACCAAGAGCAGAGGGTGGTCGAGGACTCCTACAAGTAAAGCAGACTGTGGAAGAAGAAAAATGCAGCTTGAATGATTACATCCAGAAAATTGAAGAACCAATGATTAAGGAAGTAAATAAAGGAGGCCTTTTAAAGACAACTAAAACAAAAGCAGAATATAAGAAAGAAGTAATTGAGCAGCGAGCTGAAAATTGGAAACACAAAGCTCTGCATGGCCAATACTTGAAAAGTATTGAAGGCAAAGCTGACCAGAAACTAACTTGGAACTGGTTAAGATCAGGAGTACTGAAAAAAGAAACTGAAAGCTTTATTTTGGCAGCTCAAGAACAAGCCCTAGCCACAAACTGTATGAAGGCAAAAATTCAACATGTTACCACCAACAGCAAATGCCGCCTCTGCAATGAGAAAGATGAGACAGTCGACCACCTGATCAGTGGGTGCAGCAAAATTTCACAAACTGACTACCTACAACGCCATGACCGTGTTGCTAAAATCATTCACTGGAAATTGTGTCAGAAGTTTGGATTTGAGTACAGCAAAAACCACTGGGAACATCAGGTTGAGAAAGTTTTAGAGAATGAAAAACTCAAGATCTTGTGGGACTTTAGGATTCAGACTGACAGGCACTTGGTCCACAACACACCTGACATAACAATAGTTGAAAAGAAAAAAGTATGGTTCATTGACATTGCAATACCTGGTGATGCACGAATTGAAGATAAGCAGCAAGAAAAAATCACAAAGTACCGGGACTTACAAATTGAAGTTGAGCGACTGTGGAAAAAGAAATCGAGTGTTGTCCCGATTGTAATTGGAGCCCTCGGAGCAATACCCAAAGGGCTACCCCGCTATTTAGAAATTCTAAATCTGCCGGACTTGAACATTTTGACTCTACAAAAAACCACCTTACTCGGAACAGCTTACATCCTCCGACGATACCTTAACAGTTCCTAGGTCCTTAGTTAGGACTCGAGCTGCTGAGCTATTAACCAGCCTCAAAGGCTGTGAATCTCACTAAAGATTAACCAATAAATAATAATAATAATAATAATAATAATAATAATAATAATAATAATAATAATAATAATAATAATAATGCCAAATCCCATCTAATCATCTGGTTGATTGTGTGATAAACCATAATAATAATATTGCATAGGCAAGTGAGGCTTAAGGACCCCATTATCCAGATAAGCTCAAGGTCTGGGAGAAAAATTCAGAGGGCAGGAACAGCAACAAAAACAGCAACAGCAACAAAAAGCATGTTTCCTGGTCCCATTACATGACATGTTTTAACCATGAACCCAGAGAGTGCTGTTTTAAGGAACAATCACTTGTTCTCTCTGGAACTAGATTGCAGAACAAATGCAATTCAGCTTTCTATTTCTAGACTACATTTGTAGTTCCGACAGTAGAGAGTAGTTGCACACTGCAGTTTCGGTGCAAACTAGATAGACAACACTTTTGTGATAGCTCTTCCAACTAAATTTTACGGTATTGGCATTGCCTTGGGAAATACATCTGGCTGGCAGACAAGACATTTCTGGATTTTTAACAATGCACTTAGGAAATAATGCCCACTTTTTACATTTTCATGTATCATCTTAACCTTTTGAAGTCTTTCAAAAGGTTAATACTACACAATTAAAGCACATACGCACATATAAATTAATAGCTTCCTATAACACTGTCAGTTGACATTCATAATTTCATTAGGTCTTCAGAATAAAAGCAGATCTCTTCTTGAAGGATTGGTTAGGGAAAGTCTGCTGTAGGTTAAGAATTGAGCAAAATTGACTTGCTTTCAGAATTGTGCCTGTGATAAAAGAGAATTAAGACTGTTTTCATCTGAAGCAGAGAATTGCTGGACATAAGTTGTTGTGAATTCTTTTCTAAGCATAGATGGGAGAGCAAGTCTAGTTTTATCATTAGCCATAAGAAGAATTCTAATTCAGTAGCTGATTTTCTGTCATGAAAGAACAGAAAATTGCTTGCTAAAGAGTGGCCTTTTTTTTCATACCAGGAAGGAAAACGGTACTTTTGTGGTATTCTCTGTGGCAGGTGTCAAAATAACACTGTTGACCTTGAACATCATGTAGCTTTTCATTGGGGGAGGGGAGGCACCGTTAAAGTAAAGAATCTTCTGGGTTAGCCCCAGTCAAAGTTTAATGACTTGAATCTTTTTTGTGTTTATTTAGTTTCACACTGTTGACTGAGAGTCTTTTTCAAATAAGAAGGCAGCTGGAGAAGCTGAATGAACTTTTGATAAAACTCACCTACGAAGGAGACCCCATTCCATTACAAAGACCTCATTTGTTGGAAAGAATAAATGCTTTACTTTACAGTCTTTTCCAAAGGTATATAAGTTAATTTTCATTTTCAATTGAAGCTGTACCAGAAACTATTATTTAACACCCTTTCATCTCAGCCATGGAGATATTTAATTGTGCAAGAAAATTTCTGAAAACTGGGTTGGATAAAGTAAACAATTTTTTTTTATGCTAACTTGAAGAAATGAAGCTGCTTGCAATCTTGCAATATTTCACCAGGATTGTTTGTGGACACTTATTTCCTTTCTCATTAGTTCATTTATAGTGGAGAGACAGCCTTCCATGCCAACTCATCCTCAGAGGCCTTTGGTTCTTAAAACGATGATACAGTTTACCGTTAAACTTCGGTGAGTAAAGGTTGCTGCTTGCCATTTATTTGATTGGTTTAATGTTTTGGCATATTTCTTAAAACCTCTCATGTGCCCTAAACCACATTCCTAAACAGGTGCAACAGTTTGCTTTTGGAAGGAAATTTTTTTTAGATAACTCTTAAGCCTCCAAATGCAAAAACTCGGGAAGTGAAAGTTAAAACGAGCTTTTCAAGCAAGCCAAATCATTTCCCCTCTTGCTTTAACTAATATCATTGTCCCTATTATATTCCATTTCTGTACTTTTCTACTTGTTGGTATGCATTTATATTTTCATCAGCATTTACCCGATGTTACTGATAGTTAAGATTAGTAATATTTATGTTATTTCTATTCAAAACCAGAGTGGAATGGGGGAAGAGGGGAAAAATTTTCAGGTGGCATTTTTGGCTATAATACAGTCATTAACTAGGGCCTCCATGGATACATCCTACTTTAATTCAGCAATTGTTCTGGGTTTAGGGGACCTAGCAGGATCCCTTCTAGCTCCTATACAATTTACTTTAAATAAGCCTACTAATTCAGAAACGTATTTCTTTCCTCTCTACTCCCTGGGAATAGAGATGAGACTCCCTTCCCATCTATAGACCCCCAATAATTATTTCCTTACTGATTTCACATTGTCAACCAGCAGCCACCAGATGTTTTCCCTTATCTCTATTTGTTTCTCATAGTCCCTCTGAGGATTCTGTTTCCTTTGGTTTGACTTCTTTCACTTACAGATTTACGCAACTAGAATCCTAGCATCCAAATTCATTTCCTTATTTTCTTGACAACCCTTGACATTAACATTAACACCAACATTAACTTCTTTCCTTATTCCCCAACTCTGCCACAACCAGCTAGGTTGCATATACTTGGTGGCCAATCCACCAGTAACAATGTCAATCTGGTTGTCATTATATACACAGACTGCCTAATTTGCTTTCAGTGTTAATCGCCATGTTGTCTGAGCAATGCCTGAGATGTTGTTTATGGAGAGCAGTATTTTGCCATATTAAATTCCACACTTTTAACTTTCTAGGCTACTAATTAAATTGCCGGAGCTGAACTACCAGATTAAAGTGAAAGCTACTATTGACAAGTACGTAAGTTTTTTTAAAAATAGATCATTATAATATTTAGTAAAAATTCTCAAGATATTTTGAAAATGTTTGACACTAATGAAATCCAACTAGATTTGCTTCAGATTTTTAAATGATCAGAATAACACTTTTATTTCAATTTACATTTAACAAAGCATATTTTGAAAAAAGATGGTTTAGCTTTGTATGCAAATCCCAATATTACCGTATCTCTCTTCTAAATATTGTTCAGGCTTCTAATGTTGTTTTGTTCCTGAAATATTTTCTTCAGAGCCCATTGTAGTTTTTTCTTGCCAAAATGAAAGATGAATTGCCAATGTAACTTATTTCATTATTTAATCAAATTTGGACACCATCATCTCCCTCCTTATGCATCTACAAATAATTAGACACTTTCTGTTAAGGCATAAAAATGGATTTGTAGAGACTTAATAAAATAAGACAAGGGAGTGATAGAAATGTAATAGGATGGCATTGCTAATTTATTTGTTTATCATTACAATCCAACATTTCTCGGGGGTTAACACAATTTAGAAAAAGAAGTTTAAAACATTCATGGTAAGAAGAAAATCAGCATAAAAGGAAAACATGATAAAGAGCATGATTAATAAAAGAACAAGTCAACAACATAAGTGTAATTGGCAACTGAATCATCAGACACAGACTCATGAAAGTCTTTCCACTGCTTTGAGCCATTGTTGTTGCTCCACAACAAAACAAGACAGTTTTGATTGAAGTTCTCTTTATGTTGTTTGCGGTGTGAACCTGCAAATCAGAGATGTCAGCATTCTAAAGCATAAAGTTGAAAAGCCAAAGAATGCCCTTGAAGTTCATCCCGATAACTAGAAGAAGCTGATGACAGGTTTTAGTTAGACTTACGATAACTATAATAACTATAGTAATAAAATGCTGATGTTGTTAGAAGACTTAAATATGCAATGTTTGAATAAACTTCCACAGCTTATTTTTGATATTGAATCTCCGGCAACTAGCTAAGAGTTCAACAGTGGTAATGGCATGGGTATTGCTAGGGAAATTCCTTAGAGTTCTATTGTAAACGTGATTCTGCCTTCAGTAATTTTGAGTATCTAAACCGGAAGATCATTCTGGGAAATATCATCATATGATTCAGAGTTCTGTGCTGGCAAAATGCTGATGAGCTACTAAACTTGAACTTGGATAGCAGATGCCCTTTATGAGTATCTGCTCATAAATAGAGCCAGTTCCAAAGCTCTATTTTGGGTAGAGCAGGTGTCCAACATTGGCAACTTTAAGACTTGTGGACCAACTCCCAGAATTCCTCAACCATCATGGGTTGAAGTCCACAAGTCTTAAAGTTGCCAAGATTGGATACCCCTGCATAGAGTTGCATTCTCCCAGAAGGAATTGGGGAAGGCTTCTAGACTGAGATTTCTCACTTTGCCCTCCTACATTGAGGCATTGACAGGGGTGGGCTCCTGGGGGTTCGGCAAGGTTCGGGCAATCCTCTATCCAAGGATCGCTGGGGTTTGGTGAACCCCCAAATGCCATACCTGGCTGGCCATGCCCACCCCACCCCTCCACTCCCAGGAGTGCCCATGTGGTCCAGTCATCATTCCAGTAAGTGCAGGGGCCACGCGGAGGGTCTGGGAAGGCAAAGAACGGGCCTACCGGAGATTCCGGAAGTCTGGAAACAGGCCTGTTTCTGGCCTCCGGAGGGCTCCAGACCCCGGGGGAAGCAGTTTTCATCCTCCCGGAAGCCGACCCATGGGCACTGACCCAGAGAATCTTTTATCCATGTCAGTTTGTGCCCCAGAATCTCTTAGTAACTCTGAATCCATCCCAACCATATACTCCACTGAGATGATTGACATCTCTATTGGCTTTTTAAACAAATTTTAAAAGCATAGCTTCTGTAATGGGATTTGATTTGATTATTTTAAAAGGCTTTAAATGCATGATTTTTTTCAATTGGTGAAGATTTATTTTTTTTAATCTATTTGCTTTCACTTATATTGTATGTTTTTATTGTAAATCCCCAAGAGATTTCAGTAGCTGGTATATAGCAAGTTTAGGAAATCATTCAGTTGATTAAGGAAAGACATTTTGTATGTTTGAAGACTGGCACAAGATTAACTTGCTTTGTTTGTTTCTTTTAAACCCAGGAATGCCTCTACTATAAGGTATGAAAATATAAACGATGGAGTTTTAAGTATAAACACACTTTGCTTCTTATTATTTTACCTGCGGTTCTCAACCTTACTGGGATATGTTTTCTAGCAACCGCAGATTTGTTCTGTGTGGGACTCATATAAAAGCAATGAACATGGATGAGTCTGCAAACGGGAACCTTTCAGTGGAATTTCGACATTTGGTAAATCCTTTTTTTTTTTTTTTTTTTTTTTTGGCACAGGAATTGGAAATCCTTGCTTGCTTCTCAGCATTTATGGATATGGCATTCCTGTTAATTGTGTACTGAGAGTTTCCTTTGAACTTGGTATAACTTAATTAGAAGCTGTGTACTGATCGAATCCCTGCCACTGCCAATTAGGGTCAAACTGTACCCGACAACTAGATGCATGTTTGCATCTAACTTTTATAGATCTCTAGCATTAACTGAGGGATGGGTGTGGATAATTCATAAGATCAGAGCAAATATGGCAATGGACCTGCACTTTTTTCTCAGTATTAGCACAAGAGAAAAACAGCAGCATAGATTCTTTTAATTATCATCTCCTGCCACTCAGATAGTCTTATTAATATTATTATTAAAGTATATTAAATAGAAATACAAATTTAATTGTGAAGTGTAGCTTGGGGCTTACTAATCAGAAAGGAACAAGTATTTCTCTAAAAAGGCATTTCTCTAACAAACACTCTTGTTATCTTAAAGTCTGTGTTGAGTCTTCATGTGGTTCGGCATGTATAAAGTTGTAACTTTTCTAGAAATTGTGAACGAGGGGGAAAAATTGTTGTTTTTTTATTTTTGGGAAAAACACAAAAATTGGAAATATAAGTAAAATATACTTTACTTATACTTTAAAATTCTCTGTAGATATAAATGCATAATAGATGTTGCTATTAATGTCTACCTCTGTTTGAGAGCTCAGCGATATGAGGAAGAACAGGAGCAAATCCACCTACTTTTAAATTAAAAGTAAACAAGGAAAACAAATTTATGAACGGGGCCAAATTCTTCTTTTCTTGAGAAAACGTTACTGCCCCTCAAAAGTAAAAATGCATCCTTAAATACAAAGACAAAGATGCATTTCCTCCTTTGAAGGGTAAAAATTTATTCTCTCAAATATAGAGAGATTCACTGAGTTGCATAGAACGTATCTTCTCTGTGTGCAGGAATTGTTATCTTCTGAGTAGAAATCATAATTCATAGCATTTAGACACCGTTTTGGGGACAAAAAATTCACAGCAATATAGAAACACTTTTCTTTATTATTTAAAAACACTTTTCTTTATTATTATTACAGTGATCTCTGAATCACTGTAAGAAAACCAAAACAGTATTTGACAGAAATATAATTTGTTTCAAATTTATGTACAGAGTAGAATTTTTTTTTAAAAAAAGATTTTATTGTCACTAGCTGAACATGCTTTATTTAGACCACATATCTTAAACTATGAACTCACTTCTCATCTATTCTTTCATAGTAATGTAGTTCGTTGGAATATAATAAATCTACTCTATATATACACATTCCTGTATGACTTTTACTCAAAGAATCAGTTGATATATTTCTCATTATGATGAGAAAGTCCAGGATATGATGAGTTGTTTTTTTTTTTTAGAAAAGTAGGTTAACAAAACTCCTGCTCTGTACTTAATAACAGAATTACTATTCAGCTTGTCACAAGCAGTTTCAAGACTTTCGCTTCAGTTTTATTTTAGCTGTATGTGCTATATTCTTTTTTCCCCCTTTTCTCTCTTTTTATTCTATCCAAGTGTCAACTGTCTCTCCCTCTCTCCATCCCCACACTACCCTTATCTTTCTAGTTACCTTCTTCATAAGGAAGTGGTCAATTTACTCTTTACTTACATTGTATAGAACAAGTAATAACCTTTTCATTGCACTTTTTGTTTTTTTCCAGTTTTTGGAAACAACAACAATAAAAGAGACAAAAGAACCCTCCCTACCTCCTTGGCACTTTTCTATTTATTTCCTATACTCTCAAAGTATGAGGCATGTTCCTTTAAACTTTTGTTAACAGTTAGGATAGACTTGCCCTTTGTAGTCCACAGATGCTTAGTTGGGAGATGCCGAAAAGGCTCCCTTAGAAGGAAGGACCACTTGTCATAAACTTTTTTTTTGCTATGGATTTTTATTAAGTTGTTCCAAATATTGAGCAAAGATGGTATCTATGGAGAATTATTTTTATGCACTCAAAAAGCACAGCTATGAACCATAAAATTATAGGTAGTCCTCAACTTACAACAATTCATTTAGTGACCCTTTGAAAAAAGTAATTTATGACCGTTTTTCACACTTATGACTGTTGCGGCATTCCCATAGTCAACGTGATCAAAATTCAGATGCTTGGGAACTGGTTCATATTTATGACAGTTGCAGTGTCCTGGAAATGAGATCCCCTTTTGTGACCTTCTGATAAGCAAAGTCAACGGGGAAGCCAGATTCACTTAATAACCGTGTTACTAACTGAACTGCAGTGATTCATTTAACAACAGTGACAAAAAAGATTGTAAAATGGGGCAAAATTCACTTAAGAACTGACTTGCTTAGCAACAGAAATTTTGGGCTCAATTGTGATTGTAAGTCAAGGACTACCTGTGGATACAGAGGTCTTCAGCACAGAGATCCCCCAGTGTTATTATCTTGTTAGTAATAGATTTTTATTGGTTATTAAGAACAAAATATTATACATGGGAAGGAAGTGTATGTAAACATCATAAAGCAACTGAATAAAAGCAAGCAGACAAATTAATAATCATAGCAAAATATAGTATGAGAGATGTTGATGTACGTTTCATTTTTTAGAAGTAGCTGAATTAGGTCACTTGAAAACAATGAAATAAATCAGTTTAGCCATCAATAGCCCGTATCATTTTACTTTAATATTTATTGGTAAATGTTGAATCTCATCATTAAACATTTCTGTGAATAAATGTTTTGCATATTGATGTTGGTCTTATCTTTTAATTCTTTTAGCAGCCAAAAGAAATGAAAGCAAGTGGTACAAACAAAGGAAACGAGGTAGGAAGAAATAATGGTTTGAGCTCTAGCATAGCATAATTCCATTACCTCATGTTAGATCGAAGAAAGTAATACTATATAGCATTTAAGACATAAATGTTAATCCTTTCTAAGGCCTATTACCTAAGAACAACAAAATAATACTGCAATATTTGAAACATAAATGCTAATCTTTCCTAAGGCCTATTATCTAAGCGGGAACTACCTAAAATGGATAAATTGATTCCAAACACATATAATGGCACAATGTTTTACTATTTATTTATTTTATTAAATTTCTATACCGCCCTTCTCCCGAAGGACTCAGGGCGGTAAATAGCCAGAAAATAAAACACAGAAATAAAAAATTTAAAATAAATTAAAATGAATTAAATAATTTAGGCTGAATTTTAAAATACCCCATAATTAAACAGATTAAAATTTATGTTTAAAATTTAAATTTAAAAAAGGAGAAGATTTAGGCCAGGCCAGCTTGATGAAATAAAAACGTTTTAAGCGCGTGACGGAAGGTGTGAAGATCCGGGATCCGGGATTTGTTATAATGTATTATGTATTTGTCCACAGACAGGTAAATCTGTCTTAATGATGAACCTCCTGAATACTAAACTCAACCCCCCCCCTATTTTTGAAGAGAAAAATTGTACAAATGGAGCCTAAGAATCTGAATAACCAGTTTTTAAATAACAAAGTCACCCTAAAATGTTATTGTTAAAATGTTTATTGTGCTCAATTCATTTTCCCCCATTAAAGTTTAATTAAAGAAAATAGCTTTGTGGCTCCCTCTTCTGGTCTTTTTTGTCATCTGTAATTTACCAAATGAAAATACAAAATAATATCTGTAATACACACATTTGAGTTTGAAATTAATGTATAACAATATGCAATGACCACAGTCCCTTTGTCGAGTGAGGTGGGCTACATATAAATGTAATAAATTTACAAATAAATAAATGTACTGTTGTGCTCAGCTTCAGCTCCACTTCCGTGATTTGAGGATATGAACAAGATTTTTGCAATGGCGCAGCCCTTGAATTTCCCTGACCATTATGCTTTAGCAAAATATTTAAATATTTTGCAAATGTCATGAGGCAGAGATACTCTCAATCTTAAGAGTTCCAATCCATGTCATTTTAAAACTATTATTCCTCTTTTCAGATTCCTCAAGTGGTAACTGAAGAACTACATTCAATCACTTTTGAAACACAGATCTGCTTATGTGGGCTGACTATAGATTTGGAAGTAAGTGTTTTTGAACTAAGCTGAATGAATGGGAAAACATTTGAATTAGAAATAATGCACACTACTCACTAGAAGTTTATGCTAATGGACTATATTCAGCTAATCAAATAAGACTATTTTGAAGACATCTGTGCCTCTCTCAGGTAACCTGTAATCTGTCCCTTCAGTTAAATAGATAGAAAAAGAGGCTTATCTAATTGAATATAATTGCTGTTTTTTTTAAAAAAAAAACAAATTCTACATAATTATTTGCTGAAGCCTGATTCTTAATTGTTGGTCAATAGACCAATACAGGGGTAGGCTTCAAAAATTTTAGCAAGGGGTTCTCTGCCCAGTTGGTGGGTGGGTGTGCCTAGTCGGCCTCCTGCACCATGGCATGGGGGGCGTTTTTGCCCTCTCTGGACTCCAGAGGCTTTCCTCGAGCCTCCGGGAGGCCGAAAACGGCCTTCCCAGGCTCCGGAGGCTCTCTGGCCTTCCCGAACTTCTGGTAGGCCCATTTTTTGCCCTCCTTGAGCCCTGCACATACCTGCATCCAAAACAAGCCACATGGGGACTCCTGGGAGGGGCGGGGTGGGCGGGGCCAACCAGGAGTGGGATTTGGGGGTTCTCAGAACTGCACAGAATCTTAGCTAGAGGTTCTCCCAAACCCTTGCGAACCCCCACAGCCCACCCCTGGACCAATATGATTAATTTTGTTCTATCAATGGGCAACTCTGCCTGCCTGAGCCAAGTCAACTAAGCAAAATTGATTCATAATTAGTTATACTTTTGAGAGGTAAACAATACCTGCAACATTTTCTTTTTTCTGTTTGAAGATTAAACATGCAAACCATTATTTGCAGTAAAACTCATGAAAACTTTGCCTATTATCATTGTCAACAAAGCATCAGATTAGATGAGTCATTGATCAGATTCAATGAAGCTCTTTATAATGTAGATAAGGTGCTGTAGATAATGTAGAAGATACTGCCATAATAGTTAATATTTCATGACAATAAAATCCCTGACTTTGTCAGTTACAATTTTATTACAAAGTAAAGAATCATGTACAGGTGAAACTCGAAAAATTAGAATATCATGCAAAAGTTCATTTATTTCAGTAATGCAACTTAAAAGGTGAAACTAATATATGAGATAGACTCATTACATGCAAAGCAAGATAGTTCAAGCCTCGATTTGTCATAATTTTGATGATTATGGCTTACAGCTTATGAAAACCCCAAATTCACAATCTCAGAAAATTAGAATATTGTGAAAAGGTTCAATATTTTAGGCTCAAAATGTCCCACTCTAATCAGCTAAGTAAGCCATAACACCTGCAAAGGGTTCCTGAGCCTTTAAATGGTCTCTCAGTCTGGTTCAGTAGGAATCACAATCATGGGAAAGACTGCTGACCTGACAGTTGTGCAGAAAACCATCATTGACACCCTCCATAAGGAGGGAGAGCCTCAAAAGGTAATTGCAAAAGAAGTTGGATGTTCCCAAAGTGCTATATCAAAGCACATTAATAGAAAGTTATGTGGAAGGGAAAAGTGTGAAAGAAAAAGGTGCACAAGCAGCAGGGATGACCGCAGCCTGGAGAGGATTGTCAGGAAAAGGCCATTCAAAAGTGTTGGGGACTTTCACAAGGAGTGGACTGAGGCTGGAGTCAGTGCATCAAGAGCCACCACACACAGACGGATCCTGGACATGGGCTTCAAATGCCGTATTCCTCTTGTCAAGCCGCTCCTGAACAACAACGTCAGAAGCGTCTTACCTGGGCTAAAGAAAAAAAGAACTGGTCTGTTGCTCAGTGGTCCAAAGTCCTCTTTTCTGATGAGAGCAACTTTTGCACCTCATTTGGAAACCAAGGACCCAGAGTCTGGAGGAAGAATGGAAGGACACACACTGCAAGATGCTTGAAGTCCAGGGTGAAGTTTCCACAGTCTGTGTTGATTTGGGGAGCCATGTCATCTGCTGGTGTTGGTCCACTGTGCTTCATTAAGTCCAGGGTCAACGCAGCCGTCTACCAGGAGATTTTGGAGTACTTCATGCTTCCTTCTGCAGACGAGCTTTATGGGGATGCTGACTTCATTTTCCAGCAGGACTTGGCACCTGCCCACACTGCCAAAAGTACCAAAACCTGGTTCAATGACCATGGGATTACTGTGCTTGATTGGCCAGCAAACTCGCCTGACGTGAACCCCATAGAGAATCTATGGGGCATTGCCAAGAGAAAGATGAGAGACATGAGACAGAATAATGCAGAAGAGCTGAAGGCCGCTATTGAAGCATCCTGGTCTTCCATAACACTTCAGCAGTGCCACAGGCTGATAGCATCCATGCCACGCCGCATTGAGGCAGTAATTGATGCAAAAGGGGCCCAAACCAAGTACTGAGTACATATGCATGCTTATACTTTTCAGAGGTCCGATATTGTTCTATGTACAATCCTTGTTTTATTGATTTCATGTAATATTCTAATTTTCTGAGATTGTGAATTTGGGGTTTTCATGTGCTGTAAGCCATAATCATCAAACTTATGAATCAAGGCTTGAACTATCTCGCTTTGCATGTAATGAGTCTATCTCATATATTAGTTTCACCTTTTAAGTTGCATTACTGAAATAAATGAACTTTTGCACAATATTCTAATTTTTCGAGTTTCACCTGTATTTGCCAACAGTGTGGTGCTCGAACAAGTAAGTACCTGTTTTAGGTGCTGGAAGGTACATGTAATGAAAATATTTATTTTTTTGGAGCCAATATAGGAGGTATTATAAAATAGCATGAACAGATCTTAGATGGTTCTCATTTCTTGCTTTTTTTTGCATGTGTGACTTCTGATACTTAGTGACTTAGATTCTCTGCTGGGAATGTCTACTTGAAAACCAACTGCTGAAGGGGTTGAAGAGTTCAGTAAGAATTCTGTGCTCTGTGCAGACTTGCTCCTTCAGCTAAGTTTGCCCTTTACTTCTTCTTTTTCATCCCATATTGAAAACAAAAACTGAAAATGAAATAGCTAACAAAATTAACTGCATTAGTTGTAAGTTCTCAGCAGAAAAACAATCCATTTGCATTGTTTTTAACAGTTTTCTAATTTATTTAGAATGCAAAATTTGCTTATGAGGTAAATTAGGTTACGTTTTGCATAACCTCTTAAGTATAACCCAGCAAGGAAAAAAAACTGGGTTTTTTATATCCATTTTCGATGTTCAATCCTTGCAAAAATTTGAAAGAGCATATTCTCAGCATATTCTCCTTTCTAACGTTACAATACTTCTCGCAATGCAGTTGTTGTAGAACTGCAACCTATTCCCTGGGCTATTAAATCTTGCTCTGTTCTGTGTCTACATTGATTCCTTCATCTATCTTTCTCAACAGACGAGCTGTTTACCAGTGGTGATGATTTCTAATGTCAGCCAATTGCCTAATGCTTGGGCTTCCGTCATCTGGTACAACTTGTCCACAAGTGAACTCCAGGTACATTTTGCATAGCCAATTATCTTTTTCATAAAATGAGTATAAAAGCAAGTAAGCCCCCTTAGGCTTCTTTCGTGTGATGTACAGGTAGTCCTGGACTTACAACAGTTCATTTAGTGACAGTTCAAAGTTACAATGGCACTAAAAAAAAGTGACTTAAGACCATTTTTGTCACGACATTTGTAGCATCCCCATGGTCATGTGATCAAAATCCAGATGCTTGGCAACTGATTAATACGACCATTGCTGTGTCTCAAGGTCATGCGATCCCCTTTTGCAACCTTTTGAGAAGCAAAATCAATGGGGAAGCCAGATTCACTTAACAACCATGTTACTAACTTATCAACTATGGTGATTCACTTAACAATTGTGGCAAGAAAGGTCATAAAGGGGTGGCAAAACTCATTTAACAAATGTCTTTCTTAACAACAGAAAATTTGGATTCAGTTGTGGTCATAAGTCGAGGACTATCTGTAGTTCATTGATCAGCAGAAAATGTTTATATGCCTTTCTGCTAATTTTTTTCTGAGGAGATTTCTCTCGGTCAAAGTATTTTTTGCAAATGGAAATAATTGTTCCATTTACAAAATCTGTATGAATGTTTATGCTCCACATTTTTAAAATAGGCGTGTTTTAATAGATGTCTCATGTCTCTTTATGTTCTTGTTTATTTATCCTCATATTACTGCATGCCTTTTCTCTAATATAGGTATTTTTGTAGGCTATTTTTCAACCCTTTGGAGAAGTGCAAATGTTCTAATTGTCTTTTGCTTTTTCTTGTTTGTAAAACGAAAATATGAATTTAAAGGTGTTTATAAAAGTGCATGTTCTCTTTTAGGGCTGCAGAATACCCAGTAAAGCAATTGGCTTACTATTGCATACTTCCTAACTGAAATTAGTAAAGCAAAATAAAAATTAGTACACCCAGTACAAGAAGAATTATGGACTTAAAAGCACCATAGAGCTACAGCTTTGTCTGTGCATACAGACAAAGATATTTAACATTTTACAATAAAACTGAATTATAATGGCATGTTTTGCCTGCAAAAAGACTCAATTTTTTAAAATTTCTGAAGGGCAAAACATCATCATATTATTTGGAACCTACTAATATCCTTATTTTAATGATGCTACTGCATATGTTCTTGATGGTTTCCTTCCAGAGTCTCTAAAAATTAAGTACTTAGGACTTTTGACCTTACTTTTAAAGCCTTGAATTTTCACAATATTTAAATATAATTATTATTCTTTCCATTTCTACCTCTATCTTTGGACCCTCAGAGTCTCCCAGCAGTTTATAGTAATACACAAAAACTGGAAGTGGAGCTAATCAAAGTCTGTATTAATTTTTATTTGGCTGCAGAACTTGGCTTTCTTTAATAATCCAATCCCTGTTACTTTGAGTCAACTCTTAGAAGTCCTGAGCTGGCAGTTTTCATCATATGTTGGCCGTGGTCTGAATTCGGATCAACTTGGTATGCTGGCAGAAAAGCTAACAGGTAGGAACCGAGAATGTGCTTTGCCTTATCAGACTAATTTCCCATCCATGGTTTGACATGGACATGAGAGTTTCAATTAGGGTAGTAGAAAAGAGTCTTTGCTTTGAAGTTCCAGTTAAGAAAACAGGTTTGTCTTTTAAAACTATCATGACTTCATTTGAAAACAAGTGATTTTTTTGGAAAGACGTCACTCCCACTTTTTTCTATTTATATTTTAGGGCAACAGATTACTTCTGGTGATTATCAACTTTCGTGGTCAAAATTCTGTAAGGTACTGTATGTCATTAATATATCTCATTTTCAAAATGTTACTTTCCTACTTGCTTATTACATAATCTTCGTCCTGCAGTATCACAGGATCTTTCTATAAGGGTCTATTTTTTTCTTTAGAACCTTCTGTAAGATTGTATCCTTTTCTTTCCATAAGGTTCTTTCTTGTCTCAGGTAAAGGTATCCTTCATGTGAAATTTCTATAAGTAACCTTAATGTTAAAGTGTGCTCTCCCTATTGCAAATAGAATGGTTAGTGGGTCAACCTTGCTTCACTAGTGTGAATGGGTGGCTGTACTATTTGGAAAAGAAACTACTTGTTAAGTGCTACAAAGCAAGGGAGAATTTTTAAATGCATTGACAATGTTTTAAAAAAGGAACAGTGGAAAAGTTAAGGCTGACACTGTTTATATCTTTTCTCTTAAAAAATACTGGAAACGCCTGTTTCTGTTTAGGATTTTTTTTATTCAAAAGACAATTATGAGATAATATAGTAGAAATGATTTGGATATTTTGGAGTATTTGGAACAATATAATGAAAAACAAGCTGCACTGATACTATAAGATGGAGAAAAGGCCTTTGGCAATTTGAATTGGACTTTTTTTAAAATGGGTAACATTAATTTAAATTTCTCAGAAAGCATAAATAATTGTTAATCAAAAACTAACAAAATCTTAGATTCAAAAAGGGTCAAGACAAGAACTGGTAAAAATATGTTTTGCTGAAGCGTGAATTGGTTCTGTCTGTGGGGAATGAAACTGAAATTCTGAAGAAAGAGCGTAAAATAAATTATGCCTTGCAAAAAATCAAAATATTCTTAAACAACTCAGTGAAAAACAGGCAAAAATATTGACTTATAAAGTTCATTGCCCTCATTGTGTATATACTAATACTTAAGAGTATTCAACCAGGTGAGTTTGAGTTCTTACTAGGAAAAGGCATATGTATTTTAAAAGGCATAATGGAGACCTCTTAGAGTAATACCCAAGACTGGAATACAGCTATTAAAGATTACAGTTATTAAAAAATACAACTATTAAGGAACACTTGTACAGAACTAATGTCACTGTTTTAAAAAGAGAGAAAATTCTGATCATTATATCTGACTCAGGTACTAGATGCTAGTTAGAATAGATAAAACTGATCTGTAAGCACCTTGAAGACAATACGTTAAGTACCAGGGCTCGTTTGAGAGCCTTGCCAGAACAAACTTATTTCATTTTTTAATAATTCCCTTAATGGATTTAGAATTATAGGTAGCCCTTGTAATTTAACCTTACAACCACAATTGGGCCCAAAATTTCTGTTGCCAAGCAAGGCAATTGTTAAGTGAACTTTGCTCCATTTTATGACCTTTCTTGCCACAGATGTTAATGGAATCATTGTAGTTGTTAAGTTAATTACACGGTTGTTAAATGAATCTGGCTTCCCCATTCACTTTGCTTGTCAGAAGGTTGCAAAAGATGATTGCATGACTCCAAGACATTGCAACCATCATAAATACATGCCAGTTGCCAAGCAACCGAATTTTGAACATATGATTATTAGGATGCTGCAATGGTTGTATGTGTGAAAAACAGTCATAAGTCACTTTTTTGCAGTGCCATTGTAATTTTGAATGGTCACTAAATGAATGGTTGTAAATCAAGGACTATCTGTATGTAGATATATTATATCTTGAATTCAGGAAGGCTTCTTTCATGATAATAAAGGAATACATAGCTCTCTCAAAAATCATTCTGAAAGAGTACAGTTTTTGCCTATTGGCTGCTTGCTTGTTCAAAGTTATAATGGTGCTGAAAAAGGAATCTTACAATAGATCTTCAAAGTTGCGGCTTTGCAGCATCCGTGCAGTCAACTTGATTTCAACGTAAGTGCTTTGCAACTGGTGACCATTTACGATTCATTGCTGACTTCTAACAAGCAAAGTCAATGGGGAAGCTGGCAGGAAGTCGCAAGTGAGTCCTGTGATGTCACACTTAATAACCCACAATGATTTGCCTAACAAGTTCAGGTTGTCAGTCCCAATTGCAGTTGGTAAGTAAGGACTAACTTTACTCAGCATTAGTTCCTCTTTAGATTGAAAAAGGTAGTAGAGCACCAGTGCTGGGTGCTTTATTCTTCAAGGTTTTTATAAATGACTTGAATGATGTGTACTTATTGATATGTTACTTAAATATATTGCTTCATTTATACTGTACCCAAATTCGTTTTAAAAACAGGAACACTTGCCTGGTAAATCGTTTACATTTTGGGCATGGCTTGAAGCAATCTTGGATCTGATTAAAAAACATGTTCTTCCTCTTTGGATTGACGGGTAAGCAGCATTTTTGCAAAATTAAAGCTGTGGGGAAAGCTTTGCTTGTGCAAAAAAAAAGAGGTAAGTATAATTGATATTCAGCAAATCCATAGGGAAGAATTAGTTGGTCGAATTCTGGTTCTCTTACCTTTATCCAATTTGCACTTAGCAGAATTCTGTGATCAGAACCCCAAATGTAATATTCTTGATATTCTGCTGCAGAAATAATTCAATAATACATGCACTCAACTCCACTACATATTGCTTGCACAGTCAAGGTAAGGAATGAAGATCGTTAGATGCATATATCTTATTTTCAAGATACATTGTGGAAGGTGTGAGCAAAATGCTTAACTGAATAATTAATCAATAATTAATAATAATGATTCCAATTAGCATATGACTTGAAAGAATCACTATTATTAATCCGTATTTATTTTTTTAAAGAGGATTGGGAGACATTAATGATGGTGGGAAATGCAATGGCAGAAGAAGGGATATTGGGGAAGAGGTTTGTAGCTTCCTGACTATATATTGCTTCTTTGAAGCTTTTATTCTACCTGCAGAAAGAAGCAGATTCTCCTTCAAATTCAAACACAAGTTGAACCTTGTGACTTTGTGCCCGTATCAATGCAGTTTCCTTGGCAGCAGTATAGAAGAAGTAATTTCTTGCTGCTTCTTCCAGGATGTTTTGTTGTTGTTAACCTCCCAATGTAGCCTGCAAACTGGGAAATTCTTGATGGTTTCTCATCTGAGTAATAATCAGATTCAACCCTGTTTAGGTGTTTTTTTCCCTAGATCAGCCAAAAATAGTTAAATGTCACCTGCTCATCCACCGGACAAAATACCACTCCTGTATTTGTGTCAGAGTGGCAATTGAAAAATAAATTCCTTCCTCCAGTGTGCCACTTCTCTAATCATATGTGGTCTTTTGTTCTTTTGTTAGACTACAAGGCTGATTAATCCTGTAGAACTTTCGTTTTGGTCTGCCAACCAGAAATTATCTGGGATTATCATATAACATTTTCCCAGGTGAATTCCACAGTCCTTTTTTACAGGTATGCATCCACATAGTGTTGTACTTTCACATCCTGTTTGCAGGTGTATAATGGGTTTTGTGAACAAAGAAAAGGAGCGAGCTTTGCTGAAAGACAAGAAACCTGGGACGTTTTTGCTGAGGTTTAGTGAAAGCAATTTAGGAGGGATTACGTTTACCTGGGTATCCCAGTCTGAAAATGGTAAGTTCTGTACTGCTAAAATACATAACGCTTCACTTTATCTTCATCTTTCCTTTATGATTCCTTAAACCCTTTGTGGGTAGGTACAAGAGAACTCTGATCCTTTGATTTGACATGCTGAACTACTGATGCTTGATTCGATTTGGCAGTATTTGTAGATTTGGCATTTTATTTTCCAAGTTGTGCTCTGTCCTTTTTGTTTGTTTGTTTATAAAATCTGCGAACCTATCCCCTTATTAATTTGATTGCCATATACATATGCATATAGTACTCCTTATAAGTCTATCCTCTTATTAACAACTCTGTTATCTTCGCAGGGGAAATGAAATTTCACTCTGTTGAACCATATAACAAAGGCCGCTTAACTGCCCTGCCATTTGCAGATATATTACGAGATTACAAAGTTATTTTGGCAGATAACATTCCTGAAAACCCATTGCAGTATCTTTATCCCAATATCCCCAAAGACAAAGCTTTTGGAAAGCACTACAGCTCTCAGCCTAATGAAGGTCAGAAATTATTCTGAATGTCTCCCCTTCCCTTAATTGAGCTAAATGTGTGAAGTGACCTCCTCCTAGATACCCAGAATCTCTTACACTTTTTAGTCTTGATCCAGATTTAATGTGCATCATATTTTACATTTAGTATCAAGACCTACAGAAGGAGGAACCAAAGGTTATGTCCCCTCTGTCTTCATTCCAGTCTCCAAAATGTGAGTAATCATTCTATTTGTTTCAGTTGTTATTTCCTAAAGTAATTAATATAGGAAACTTAGCAAACTCTGCTGCGGGATGATGTTGTTCTTTAACTGAGATGTTAAAACATACTGAGAAACCCGAACTTTTTTTTAAAAAAATAATTTGATTGAGAGAAAGGGGGTGATGGGATGAAAGGAAAGGCATTGCAAACATGTGAGAAAATAAAAGTAAGGTGTTACAAAGTATATCATGTTTCACTCACTAAATGTAATTGTCTTTTTTTTAAAGTCTGAATAATTCCACAGATCCACCTTCTCCATCAGATCTTCTTCCCATGTCACCAAGTGTTTATGCTGTTTTGAGAGAACACTTGAGCCCTTCTGTAATGGAAACTGCTGTACGTTACACAGGTTTTGTTTATTTTTATTTTATTAATAGAATAGAATAGAATAGAATAGAATAGAATAGAATAGAATAGAATTGAATTGAATTGAATTGAATTGAATTGAATTGAATTGAATTGAATTGAATTGAATTCTTTATTGGCCAAGTGTGATTGGACACATAAGGAATCTATCTTGGTGCATAAGCTCTCAGTGTACATAAAGAAAAGATACATTCGTCAAGAATCATAAGGTGCAACACTTAATGATAGTCAAAGGATACTAAATGAGCAATCAAATCATACTAGAAAACTAAATAAAACAATATAAATTGTAAAGATACAAGCAACATGGTTATAATCATAAGTGGGAAGAGATAGGTACTAGGAAGGATGAGAAGAAGAATAGTAATAGTAAATACATAATAGTAATTAGTAAATAATTTGACAGTGTTGTGGGAATTAGTTGTTTAGCAGAGTGATGGCATTCAGGGAAAAACTGTCCTTGTGTCTGATTGTTCTGGTGTGCAGTGCCGTATAGTGTCATTTTGAGGGTAGAAGTTGAAACAATTTATGCCCAGGATGTGAGGGGTCTGTAGATATTTTCACAGCCCTCTTTTTGACTTGTGCAGTATACAGGTCCTCAATGGAAGGCAGGTTGGTAGCAATTGTTTTTTCTGCAGTTCTAATTATCCTCTGAAGTCTGTGTCTGTCTTGTTTGGTTGCAGAGCCAAACCAGACAGTTATAGAGGTGCAGATGACAGACTCAATAATTCCTCTGTAGAACTGAATCAGCAGCTCTTTGGGTAGTTCGAGCGTTCTGAGTTGGTGCAGAAAGAACATTCTTTGTTGTGCTTTTTTGATGACGTTTTTGATGTTAGGTGTCCATTTTAGGTCTTGAGATATGATAGAACCTAGAAACTTGAAGGTCTCTACTGTTGATACTGTGTTGTCTAGTATTGTAAGAGGTGGTGGTATAGGAAGGTTTCTCCTAAAATCTACCACCATTTCTATGATTTTACAAGCAGGTACTGAAAAAATGACTGTTTGATTCATGACAAATAATAAGCTATCTGAATTATCAGAGCTTATTGTTATAACTGTTTAATAAAAGAGTGTTGATTTGCAAAGGCTACTATTTCTTTAGTTTGATTCTTCATACATTCCTAAGCTTTTGCTGCTGAGAATATCTTTATTGGGAGAGTAATAGCAACTTGAATATACAGAACTTAAAACAGTCAGTTCAGGAAAGTGAAAACCATTTTATAAACAAGTAAATGCAACTGAAAGTGGAAATATAGCAGAAGGCACATTTGCAAAGGCAGACACTCAGGTTATATCACAATCATTTTGGGCTGTCGCAACTCAAATTATTTCAGACCAGTTTAAGGACATTGATGGTTCAGTACAATTATTGAAGCTTTCCCCAAAGATTTACAGCATTAGATTAATATTTCAGGTAGATTCCTTAAAAATGAGATGCTGAAACTATTCAAAAGCTTAGAAGCTTAGAACCTGGGCTAAAGACAGAGATAAAACAGATAGATAATAGATAAAACTAAAAATAGATAAAACTAGATAAAATATATTTGTTAAAAATTGGAATGTATTATTTTTTTAAAAAACCCAATTCTTCAAAGATAAATACTCTTTGGGAGAAAACATTGCTTTTATTTCTGAAATTCATTTCCCTTATTTTTTTAACCTGTTAGTTTATTAGTGACTCAAAATTGAAACAATACCATTTGTAATTCTTGCCAGACCTTTACTTCTTACAGATTTCAAATACTTTTTCACTACGTTCATTTCCTTCTCTGGAAGCTAATAAGATGGGCATGTACAACATAATTCTGAATGCAGTAATAGCAATTTGAAATGTTTACGGAAGTTGTTTACTCAAAACATATTTTAGCCCAAATGCTTAGCTACCTACTTTTTCAGACAACCTCTCTGCCAGAGCTACTTTGTTTTGCACAGCTGGCACCCTTTACGTCCTTCTTTGTTTTCTGCTTACCGTAAGTTCTACAGATGCAGATACAAATATTGTGCCCTTTGGTACCCTTCCACTTTTTTCACAAAGCATCTCAATATGCTATGAAATGTTGAAACTGACATAAGTAAATGGCATCCACCAATGTTATTTTATAGCCCATGGAGTAGACACTTCAGATTTGATGTACAAGTTAACCTATTTTTGCAAGTGTCCTGTGGTTACAGCCATTCTTTTAGTAATTGTTCAAAGTTATGAAGGGTCTGAACCAGGGAGATTTACTACTCGTTTTTGAAGTTGTGGTTATTGTAGCATCCCTACAGTTACCTGACCATGATTTGGACCCTTGGCCATCAGCTCTCAATTATGATTGCAACTTCCTGCAGTCATGTGATCATTTATGACCTTTCCTGCCAGTTTTCCACGAAGTCAATGGGGAAGTTGGCCGGAAGTTGCAAGTCATTCCTGATCATGCCACTTTTTCTCCCAAGGACCTCCTATCTGTGGCACTTGCTCAGCCTCCTTATCACCCACCTGTAGCAACTACTGGCCCACTCACACTCTGTAGGACCCACTTGGCCATAGTTCTTGCCTATCAGCTTACTTATCTGGGATTCCTATGTCTTCCCACATTGCGGTCACATAAGGTTCTCATTTAATGACTTATGTGGTCTTTGGGTTATGACAGCAACAAAAACTGTGGGATTGCTATTACTAAGTGGTGCACTCATGTGATATCGAGTTTTATAACTGTACTGCTTAGCAATGGAAATTCCAGTCTCATTTGTTATCACAACCCAAAGTTATCTAAAAATGGCATGGACATAATTACTGGTACCCCGATTTATTCTGTAGATATTTCTCAAGCACACTGTTTTGAGGCAATAACTGCAATCAGAGTACTTTCTGTTAACTGTGAATAAAACATCCATACTTCTCAACTGGCAATTTGTCCCTTTTTTCTTGAACAAATTGTTCTGGTTAGTTTTTAGATTCCTTCTCCCAAATGTGAGTTTCAGCACTTTCTATGGATACTCTCTTGGATTCAGATCCAAACTCATAGCAGGCCACTTCAGAAAAGACAAATATTTGCTTTTTAACCATTTTTGGTTTTCTTAAGATATATGGTTTAGATCAGGGGTCTCCAACCTTGGCAACTTTAAGACTGGTGGACAAGTCTTAAAGTTGCCAAGGTTGGAGATCCCTGGTTTAGATCATTATCCTGCCTGAGGACTGTGATCTGCAACTGACCCAGAGCTTTCTGGGGGCATTATGTTCCACTCCAGAATGCCTTGATAATCTTCTGGTTTTCTTGTGCCCTGCTCAGATTCAAGGCACTCAGTCCTGGAGTCAGCAAAGCAACCCCATAACATTAGGGAGCCTCTTCCATGTTTTACAACAAGGATGGTGTTTTTGTCCTTAAAGGCATTGTTTTTTTCTTCTGTGAACATAGAGCTGCTGTGACCTACCTAAAAGATCCACTTTTGTTTCATCTGCCCAAAGTCTGTGGAAGGACTGTGGCTTGTCAACATGCATTTTATCCAACTCCAGTCTGGCCTTTGTGTGTCTGTCTTTCAGAAGTGAGGTCTTTCTGGATCTTCTATTATGAAGGCCAATTTCACTCAGATAGTATTGGATGGTACCACTCAATATTGTTGTATAGGTAGTCCTCAACTTACAACAGTTCATTTAGTGACCATTCAACATTACAATGGCACTGATAAAGGTGACTTACGACCGTTTTTCAGTTACAACCTATGCAGCATCCCCATGATCATGTGATCAGAATTCAGATGCCTGACAACTGGTTTGTATGTATGACAGTTGCAGTGTCCCGGGGTCATGTGATCCCTTTTGAACCTGTTGTCAAGCAAAGTCAATGAGGAAGCCAGATTCACATAAAAACCAAGTTACTAGCTTATCAACTGCAGGGATTCACTTAACAGCTGAGGCAAGAAAGGTCGTAAAATGGGGCAAAACTCATTTAACAAATGTCTCACTTAGCAACAGAAATTTTGGATTCAATTGAGGTCATAAGTCGAGGACTACCCATACCTTGATCTTAGTGGCCAGCCAGGATCTGTTCTGAAGTTTTCCTTAGTTCTTTCTCCTGCCATTCAAACTATCTTTCTGTTGATATCGGGGTCAATTTTTCTCTTGCAGCCACATCCAGGGAGGCTGACTATAGTCCCATGGACCTTAAACTTATTGATATTTGCATCCAAGATCACAGGAACATAAAGCTGTTTGGAGGTCGTTTTGTAGCCTTTCCCTTTACCATGCTTGGCTATTATCTTCCTCCTCAGACATCTCCCTACTTTCATTTTCCTGTCCATGTTCACTATGCTGTACACAATGACACAAAATGCCTGGGCTTTTTTCTCCATTCAGATAAACTGAATGACTGATATGAGATTGAAGACATCTGTGATACTAATTAAAATAAATAGCTTCTTTTGAGAAGTCATTAAAATCCAATGTCTCTTAACTTCTAAGGAGTACCAATCATTATGTCCATGGCATTTTCATTTTTTAAAATTAGTTATGAGAATAAATTGAGTCCTATTGGCATTTTAATTATTTTCAAGAAGCTGCAGTTCATATTACATTTAAGAAAAAAATACCTATTAATTCCAATAAACTTATATTTTTGTTCTCTTGTAGTTGAATTCTCCGTATGCAGCTGAGTGACTTTCAGATACTGAAGATTTTAAAACGCAGATGAACAAGTTTGTGTGCATTAATATGTGTTTATAAGAGAATGTTCTTAATTTCCCTGTACTGTAAATATATTTTTCTAAGAGATATACAGAATTATCATCTTGATTGTAACTCTTAATTTGCTTAAACAAATATTTGATTTGGTTCAGATAATGGTTTGACATGGCTAGAATGAACCTCATATACTGTACTATTCAAACTTTCATTGATATAACTATGTTGAATTTGCACATCATACAAAGTCTGTTAATTTAATCTGATTTATCTTGATAAATCAGATTAATATTGATAATTAGTATTGATAATTATATTAACCAAAATTTACGGTCAATTTTGTTCCATGGACCTATCCACTTGTGGCTTATTCAGTCAAGATATTTTTCATTTCCAAAATTTAGATATTAGAGAAATTGATTTATTCAAACCTGAAAATAAAAACATTACTTCATGTGTGAAGAATAGGAAGTGAGATACCCAAGTTTATTAAGTGCAAGATTAATGCAGTATTTTCATAGTTTAATAGTTTAGGTCAGATGCTTAATCCAATCCACACACAACAAAATTATGATTTTTCAATATTTATTAGTTCAATTTATTAGTTCAATTAGTTCAGTATATCCTAATTTTTGTGATATTTCAATATGCTTTTATACCAAATTGTTTACAAGTGACAAAGTTTCAAGACAGCATATTATGGAAATTCAACAGCAGTGTGATTGAAAGTGAAACACATCATATTGTCGATTTTTATTTAAAGCCAGGTTACTGAAATAACAAAATTCAATTAATAGTCAGCTGAAATCCAGAGCAGCCTCTGGATTATCTAGTTTCCTTAGAAAGTGATGTTCCAAATCAGGAAATGAAATACTTTCCAGTGTTTTAAATTTGTATAGCATGCTACATGATTATGCTATATTTTTCCAATGCTGTTGCACAAAACTCTGATTTTATATAAATACTTTCTAACTTTATTTATTGAGTTATTTGTTTGCTTGCTTGCTTGCTTATGATGTTTATAAGATCTCTCCAATCCACCCATTCTTACAACTCCCCAATATCTAAAAATGTATTAAATTGTGTTAAAACCATAGTCAATGTAAAAAAAAAAATTACAATCACATAATGCTTCTGTAGAACTGAAGTATTCTTCAACACGTGTGCCCTGAACTACTTACCTGTAACACCAAGAACATCCTCTAATTATGGGTGAACTTGGGTTTCTTAACATTTTAAGAAACACTCAAACTAGTGCAAGTTTATCTGTCCTTAATTTTTACAAAAGAAGAAAACCCCAATTATCTCTCTCCTCTCCTCCCCCCCAAGCAGTTTATCCTTTTCAGCCTTTCTCCTTCTCACTGTGCTACCCTAACTCTCAAGGTTAGCTGCCATCTTTAGAGAAAAGCCACTCTAGCAAAGGAGGTCTTTACTTTATTTCATCTCAGGTCATTTTACTAGTCTTCGCAGAGGCTGCCTTTATGGGATAATAGAGATGGTTTTGAGGGGTGTAGTAGAGAAGGGAGGCAACCATTTAATCTATGCCACTCGCCAAACTCCTTGCCATGGGAATCTTCATCTAAATTTTGCCACTGCTATGATAAAAGCCATCGACTTTCACACAAGGGGTTTCTATATCAGACCTTCAGTTAGTACAATGTGTGTTAACAATTATGACTTCCTTACAAAAGCAGCAGCAATAGTAAGAAAGACAAATTTGCTATGAAAAGACTACATGGGCTCTAAAGTGAAGCAGGATGCAGAAAGGGTTTTTTTTAATTTGGCATTTTTGACATAACGATAACTTTATGAAAGTCCCTAAAGTTTACAGCCGTGAAGGTTCAAGTTTAGAGTTTACACCTAAACGCAAAGTGAAGCTGGTTTATTGTGACTTTCAAACAGGCCTGAAACTAGTTTAAAGCACTTTGCAGTGTATCCAGCATTGGGCCCTTCAGGCAGGGAGAAAAAGGATCTGGCATCTCTTTATCATCAATTTGCCAAAATTGTTTTATATGCACTTGGCCTCCTGGAAAATTTTGAGATGAAAATGCTACATTAATGTATTGTTTTGGTTCTCAGCTTTATTATTATAAAACAGCTAGGTATGGTGCAGCAAAACCAACAGCATTCTAAGCAGTGGTGAAATGTAAAATTTGTTACTACCGGTTCTGTGGGTGTGGCTTGGTGGTGGTGGTAATGTGATTGGGTGGGTGTGGCCAACTTTTTTTTTTTAACTTTTAAAAGCATTTTTTCTACAACCTTAAGAGGTTGCAGAAAAAATGCTTTTAGAAGCCTCTGATGATCAGGCAACTCAGGTGGGATCGCCAGAGGCTTTTAAAGGCATTTTTTTTCCTACGACCTCTTTGGCCGAAGAGATTGCGGAAAAAAATGCTTTTAGAAGCCTCTGACGATCCCAGCTGAGCTGCGCGATCAACAGAGGCTTTTTTTTTCTTTTAAAAGCATTTTTTCGGCCGAATAGGTTGTAGAAAAAATGCTTTTAAAAGAGGGGGAAAAAAGCCTCTGATGATTGCACGGCTCAGCTGGGCATGGGGAGGGCAGGGATTTTTGCTACCGGTTCTCTGAACCACCCGTCATCCCTACCAGATCAGGTGATCCAATCCGAACCAGGAGCATTTCACCCCTGATTTTAAGACCTCATTGTGCAAGACAATTATTAGCCATAGAAATAAAAATGTCCTCTTTCATGTTGCCCACAAAGCTTTAAATGCTGAGAAAGCAAAGTTGGCTGACTTTATTTAGCATGACTGTTTTGTGTCAAGTAGGTCAGATTCTTGTACTGTCCTGATTTTTCTCATTACTGTAAACTCTTTTGTGCTTCTGGAAAATCCCTCTCTTTTTGCTATAATCAGCTAGATGGGAGGAGCCCTTCACAGATGTTATCAAGACCAATTATCTATAAGAAGCAATCGTCTGCAAGAAAGTGCAGTCTCCTTTGCTTTGACTGCCAAGGTTATCACCATCAAAGGGATGCCCGCTTTTAGAGGTTCCCATAAAGGCTATCTTCATAAACTGCTATTACAAAGAAAAGTATTTCTATTTTTGCCACCAATTTGTTTTTAGAAATATTGGTCAGCTACGTTCAGAACACTGAGGCAGCACAATGGGTAATAATGAGAGTAGTGAACTAGGAAAGTCCCAAATGCTAATTGCTTCTTAGCCATAAATTTAAACTTTTATGTCAGGTAAGCCCTTTTTGCACAGGCTGTGCGAACCTGGTGAGGGTGCAAACCTGCTTGCATAAGTGTATTTTCTCTCCATCACATAACCAAGGGCGAGTCCCACCTTTCTCCTACTGCCCATTCCAACTTCTGCTCCAAGTAGCAACTATCACAGCTGAAATCTATTACTCTGCATGGCTGTGCATTATGCTTTTTGAAGAATGTCTGGTTCACTTGGTCTCTCAACTCCCATTATTCTGATGCAATGGCTGAATAGCAGAATTGCTCAAGGGTCCCACATATGTAAAAGTGCAAGGAGTTTGGTGGTCTCTACCAAACAGGCCAGAATAGCAGCGGTGCTATGTTCTTACAGAGAAGAATGGAGTCTCCCCTTCCTCATGTGAAACGAGGGGGCACATTGAGGCACATATCAGACAAGACCTGACATGTCCACTCTTCTGTTAGTTAGGAAGGGGGTGTACTAATTGGTAGCTGGTTCATTATGAGCACTGTGGCATCCTGGCATCTCTCCTGTCCTGGAAAGAGTCAAAACACTCCAGCACAAATCTGAAAGCTCGGAAGACTAAACCTCTGGTCCCAGTGACCGACCCAGATTGGATCTTCCAACATTATCCTGGGACACCTATATTTGCCTTCATCAGTGAGAGTCAAAACTGCCCAGTCAATCCCTGTTTAATTGTAAAACTTGAAGTGTTGGATACATAAAAACTTATCTTAGCTTCATCCTTCCGTTATTTGGCATAACAGCCTTGGATTGACATAGCTATGTGCTCCCAGGCTGTACGGCCAGTGGTCACACTGACTTGAGAATTGTGAGAATTATAATGCAATATAGTTGGAGGGGCTAGTTGGAGGAAACTTTGCAGGGAACATATTTATTTATTTAATCTAATTTTTATACCGCCCTTCTCCCAAAGGACTCAAGGCGGTGTACAGCCAAAGATAAAACAAACACATATATAAAATTTAAAAGCAATTTAAAAACATATTAAATAATTTGGCCCCGACATCATTAAAAAAACAAAAGCAACCCATTAAAATTAATGTTTAGGCCAGCCCAGCTTGTTGGAACAATAACGTCTTGAGGGCACGGTGAAAGGTGCTTAGGTCAGGGATCATTCATATCTCCGGGGGCAATTCATTCCAGAGGGCGAGTGCCCCCACAGAGAAGGCTCTCCCCCGGGGGTCGCCAGTTGACATTGTTTGACCAACGGTACCCTGAGGAGTCCCTCTCTGTGGGAGCGTACTGGCCGGTGGGAGGCTATCGGTAGCAGAAGGCGATCTCATAAGTACCCAGGTCCTAAGCCATGGAGCGCTCTACAGATGATAACCAATATCTTGAATCGCACCTGGGAGACCACCGGGAGCCAGTGCAGCTCGCGCAGGACAGGTGTTACATGGGAGTGCCGTGTCGCTCCCATAATCACCCGCGCGGCCGCATTCTGGACCAGTTGGAGCCTCTGGGTGCTCTTCAAGAGGAGCCCCATGTAGAGAGCATTACAGTAGTCCAGCCGGGACATGACAAGGGCATGAGTGACCGTGCGCAAGGAGTCCCGATCGAGAAAGGGATGCAACTGGTGAATCAGGCAAACCTGATAAAAAGCCCCCCTGGCCACAGCTGTCACATGATCTTTTAGAGACAGCCGCGCATCCAGGAAGACACCCAAGTTGCGAGCCCTCTCTGAGTGGGCCAAGATCTCACCCCCAAGAGTCAGCGATGGAACCAGCTGGCTATAATGGGACGCCGGAAACCACAGCCACTTGGTCTTGGAGGGGTTGAGTCTGAGCCTGTTTCTCTCCATCCAGATCCACACAGCCTCCAGGCACCGGGACATCACGTCAAGGGCATCATTGGGGTGGTCCGGGGTAGAGATGTACAGCTGAGTATCATCAGCGTATTGATGGAACTTCAACCCAAAACCACGGATGATCTCACCCAGTGGCTTCACATAAATGTTGAACAGGAGGGGCGAGAGGACCGACCCTTGCGGCACCCCACAAACAAGGCGCCTCGAGGTTGACCTCTGCCCCCTGCCAACACAGACTGCGTGCGGTCAGAGAGGAAGGAGGAGAACCACTGCAACACGGTGCCCCCCACTCCTAACCCCTCCAACCGGCGCAGCATGATACCATGGTCGACGGTATCAAAAGCCTCTGAGAGGTCTAATAGGACCAGGACAGAGGAACAACCCCTGTCCCGAGCCCTCCAGAGATCATCAACCAATGCAACCAATGCTGTTTCTGTGCTATACCCAGGCCTGAAGCCCGACTGGTATGGATCTATATCTTGGGTAGGACGCGGCACCCCATTTTCCTTTACTGTAGGTTGAAGATCAGCAAATGGAACCTATTTGAGTTCCTGGGGCTACAAGTAAGGGAAGAAGGCAAATAGCTAGAAAGCAAATAATTGGGGTTGGGGTATTTTGCAAAACTCTTCCCAATCCCACAGGCATTCTCTTATAGCATTTGGGATAAGAAACAGATACATGTTTCTCACCAGGAATTTCGAGACTGGAGCCTTGTATCTATAAACTGGGAATTCTTTGTCCAAAAGTCTTACTGCACCATACATTTGGCATTACTTTATTGTATGGGTATTTGCTAATGTCTTCATGTTTGTTATAGTGAGTCCTTAATATATTCACATGAGTAAGAAGATAATAGAAAAGCTGGGTAAAAGTATATATATATATATAAATAAATGCTGAGCTGTTGGTTCTGATTAATAGGATAACTCTAAACTTTAGCCTTGCACACCTTTCAAATCTGCTGGTATGGAAACTTATCACCTGATCAAGCACCAAAAGCAAACTGATAATTTACATACAACATCCCTTTAGGGACCTTCATGCAGGTCTGTTTTACTTTAAATCACTTATTGGCAAAAGGTATACAGACTGCAGAACAGTAGGGTTGGAAGGGACCTTGGAGGTCTTCTAGTCCAACCCCCTGGCCAAGCAGGAGATCCTATACCATTCCGGACAAATGGTTGTCCAACCTCATCTTTAAAATCTTCCAGTAATGGAGCACCTGCTTCATCAATTTCTGGAGACAAGCCATTTTGCTGGTTAATTGTTCTCACTAACACATGGGTCTGCAACCTTAAACACTCAGAGCCATTTGGACCCATTTCCCACAGAAAAGAAAACACCGGGAGCCACAAAACCCTTCCAATGCCTGACTATTTCTTGAGCAGCCACAAAATTAGCATATGTAGTTGAATTAAACATTCTGTTTTCTTCTGAAACTTTTATTTTCTTGGATTTATCCATGGTTGGCCTACTGGGGGTTGAAAAGCTCAATAAATCGCGAGCCAGCAGGTGTCACACATTGGCAGTTGGGACGCATATTTTGAATGACAGGGAGCTGCAGCAGAGAGGTGAAAGAGCCACATGCGGCTCCAGAGCCGCAGGTTGCTGACCCCTGCACTAACAGGAAATTTCTCCTTAGTTCTAGATTGAATCTTTTATATATGGAAATATAAGGTAGCCATTATACACTCCTAAACAAATGATCTGTGGAATACAAGATGCTGATATTTTAAGGGTGCAGAACTTTTTAATGTCCAAATTGTAAGCAAAAAGCATCCACATGCTCAGGCTCTCGCGTTTCTTCCTGGTTACTGAACATCATACATACTTCATATATGTTGGAGAGAGATCCCTGTGCAAAACAAAGAAGTCGAAGCGCGTCCCGTTGAAAGCCTGTTGCCCCCAACGATGATCAAGCAGACAAGGCGAATGAAAATGCCTCATCTCATTTACCAATTTTCTGATTCCCCCTCTTAACAAGACTGTTATGGGATTCGCCGAATCTTAACTTAGAGAGGGGAGTTTTGGTAAAGATTGGAAACATTTGCAAAGCAACGTTATTTTTTCCTTCTGCCAAAAAAAAGAGAGAAAAAGCTAACCCCCTCCCCCCTCCCTTCCAGATCCTTTTTAACTTTCACTTTCGTTGCCTCAGACGGCTTTCCGCGATCCGGCTCTCTTTCCTAGAAAACACGTGGCTAGGCTGTTCTAGGTAGAGCTCGCCCCTCCCGCCAGCACGATGAAAAAGCCTTGGGAAGGAGGGGAAGCGAAGCTTCTTGGCATCGCCATATTTTGCTTTTTTTCGGAGAAATCCGGTACAGGGAAGATCACGCTACAGTGGATGTCTATGGAGATTCTCAGTCATCCAGGTCATGGTTGTCCCAAAGGTGCTTTTTTCAAGAGGGAATGGACTTTCTGGTTTTCCTTTGAAGACATTTCGCTTCTCATCCAAGAAGCTTCTTCAGTTCAGCTCGATGAGAAACGAAACGTCTTTTTTAAAAAAAAAAAAAAGCCCCAGAAAATCCAGTTGCCTCTTGAAAAAGAGCACCTTTGGGACTACAGAAGATGCCGATAACCTTTCCCCAGCAGGCAAGGGAACTAGGATAACCTTCCATCAGCCTGGCCATGGGAGTTGTAATCCAAGGCGCCAGGCCAGGTGCAGATGACATTGGTAATCCTCGGATCTAGCGATCTTGCTCGAAGAAAATCTACACGGATCACCTTTCCTCTCCTGTTTTTGCGCCGCAATTAGATTCAAAGTTCCAGTTGGATTCTATACACGTTTGCTAGAAGGATGTGTGGGAGAACTTAAACCGCTTGCTGGTCGAAGTGTGAATTAGGATTTTCTGCAAGGGCTTTGGTGTAGTACGAGGCCGATTTCGGTTGATTAAAGAAACCACAGGGTAACATCACTGTTTGTGGCTGAAGATGTTTTTCTTCTGTGACCTAGATGGCACCTTCTCCCTCAACTGAGTATCGGGTTTAAAAATTACCTTACAGCGATGTATTTTCCAAAAGTTGAAACTAAGGTGAACAATCACGTTCGGTTGAACAATTTTTTTTTGTGGTTGAAAACCTGCCTTTTGAAATTAATTTTATTATTTTTTAAAGTAGACAGATTAAAAAACAAGCATAGGAGAAATGAAAAGAGTAAGGAGAAAAGTTTTCATCTGTTTACTTTGAAATGTAATAATTAAAAGAAATAATTTTTAAAAAAAATTACAAAAGGCTTCCGAGCGTAACATAAATATCCCGCCTCAGACACAAAAGTCGGAGAGGAAGCTCCACTCTGTTCAGAATAGAAAACCAAAGCATTTAAAGACATGATTGATGATGATAACTCCTTAGAGGCACCAATGTGTTGATATAGTGGACGTTCATTTTGGAAGCCCTTAGCGCCTCTGAAAATATTCCGGATACTATTTACCATCCAAGTTCGTCCCTGCCTGCCTGCTTGGAACTGTCTTGCATCTGTGCCCGTTTCCTGCGCGCATCTTTCTAAAATCAACATTCACCAAGTCAGTCGTAGAAGGTAATGCCATAGAATTCAATAGGATTTACGCCCAGCTAATGGTGTATATAATAACAATGCAGGCCGAAGACCTTTTCAAATCGAGAATAAACACAGTTAACTTCTCAAACGGAAATGAAAACGATCGCTGGGCTCAAAAGTTAGAACCCCGCGATCTTCTCTCCTCCCCCCACATCTCTCGCTCTTTCCCCCCCTCCTTGTGCCAATTTTTAGAGAACAGGGAGGAGGACACCTCTCCGTAACAGCCATTTTTCCCCCCTCTTCGGTTCTGATTGGCTACTCCCTCAAATAGCTTGTCGCGGATTGGTCCGCGCCCTCCGGTCGTGCTTTGCTACTTCCCGTTTAAAGGTACGGTACTTTCGTTTTAGCAGAAAGCAAGTAGGCGGGAGAGAGTTCGGGATCTCCGGTTCTTTTGAAGGTTCTGGGACGCGCCAGGTAGGTCTGCATTAAGTCGGTGTTCTTAGGTGTGGCCTTCGTGCAGGAAGCTTTGCATGCCTCCCTCCAAGATCTTGCACGGGTTGCCTCTTAAGACCTGGAATCTCAAGACCTCAAAATCCTATTCTCGGTCGCCAGGTGATCGTTTCTTTCTTTTTTTTTTCTTTCCCCGTTAGGATTGCTAAACTTGTTATTTGTCAGATGGGCTGTTGCGAGTTAGGGCCAGGGGCACAGACGGTTGTGTGACGTTTGCACTGGATTTGCAGCCTGGGCTGAAAAATGCTGACTATGAAGAAGAACTGCCTTGTCCACGCCCGAGTTGAGACCCCTCCTTGCCAAACGGGACAGAAGGGTCGCTTTGCCTTGTGACCGATTCTTGGTGATCGATGATCATACCTCGCCCTCCACTGTCTCCTGGAGTTTGCCCAAATATATATCCATTGCGTTGATGAGATCTAACCGTCTCATCCTTCACCCTTCTCCTTTTGCCTTCAATCTTTCCCAACATCAGGGTCTTTTCCAATGAGTCTCTTCTGTCATTTAAGTGACCAAAGTATTTGAGCTTCAGTGTTTAATCCTTCCAAAGGACAGCCAGGGTTGATTTCCTTTAAGATTGACTGATTTGATCTCCTCTCAAGAGTCATCTTCAACTCTGTAATTCAGTTCTTTGGCGCTCAACCTCCCTTTTGGTCCAAATCTCACAGCCGTACATTACCACTGGGGAAAAAGTTTCTATTATATGTACCTTTGTCAACAAGGTGATATCTCTGCTTTTTAATATGCTGTCTAGGTTTTCCATCCCTTTCCTCCCAAGGAGCAAGCTATCTTTTAATTTCATGGATGCAGTCGCAGTCTGAGTGATCTTGAAGCCCAAGAAAATTAAATTAATTTTTTACTCACCTACGTGAAATAACTGGGTCACTCCTGGTGAACTGTTAAAATCCAAAGCTTAGTTGAGACATTTTCATCAGGCTATTCTGCAGCTGAATTTTGCAGGTTATTTTTGAAAGTGGCATTTTGGGGGGAAAGGTGGGGGCATTTAGAATAATTTGGGAGAAAGCATGGTAACATTTAGTGCTCTTTAGCTACTAAGCTACTAAGGGGAATCCAAAACCTGATATTTGACTATAGCCTTTGCATTTAATGACTATTGGACCAACTGGTTCCCATTTGGTAGCTGTAAGGATGGCTTGCAGCTTGTTGGAGTACCAGTATATGGATTTCTTGGTTGTAGGAGGAACAATCAGTACTTGAAGCCTAATAGATTATTGTAGTTTACATTGACATCCATATCTGTAATTCCTGAAATACAGGTACTCCTCAACTAGCCACCATTCAATGTTACAACGGCACTGAAAAAAGTGACTTATGACTGGTCCTCACACTTATAACCATTGCAGCATCCCCCATAATCAAAATTTGAGTGCTTGGCAACCAGCATATATTTATGATGGTTGCAGGATCCTGGGGTCATGTGTTCATCATTTGTGACCTTCCCAGCCAACTTCTGGCCAGCAATGTCAAGGGAGGAAGCCGTATTTGCTTAAAGACTGCACGATTCACTTAACAACCATGATGGAAAAGTTCATAAAATTGAGCTGGACTCATTACCACTGCCTTGCTTAGCAATTGTCCCAATTACGGTCATAAGTTGAGGACAGCCTGTAACTTGATCCATATGGCAGAGACTAATATATGTGGTTTTCATTGCAGGAACAAGCCTTATCTGTATGTAAGCAACAGTGCATGCCACTGTTTAAATGTGTAGTATATATTAAATTAAAATTGATACAGTTTGTATGGTAAATGAAGCAAAGATCCTGGCTGGATCAATATGACATAAGTATAACACAGTTTTGTTTTTGTATGAATGTTGAGAAGCCAACCTTCTTGAATTCTTTCCTCTGGTACTGATGTGTAAAACCAGACAGTTTGATGAACTACAGTTTATATAAACCCTGAAGCAATCATAATCTGGGCTGTAGTATGTGTTCTTCAGATGCATTGGAAGTAGCATATAAACACAAAACTCACAGGGCATGTTTATCATTCATTTATTCGACTTTTATTTCACCATGCGGCTTACAACCATGTTCTTATAACTTTGATTTGGACACATCTTTATCTCACATTAAGTAAAGTTTGTCCTTGGTCCACTGAGAATAACATTAAATTGATTGGATTTTTAATAGTTATTTTTCCTGTATCTTACACTTCTCTTGTATTAATAAGAACTTTCAGAGCTAATTTGCTACCCTGAGTCCTTAGTCTTATTTCCAAATAGGCCAATTCTGGGAACAAATGTGGTAATGTATGCTGACCCACACACACAAATGGTGGTTGACATTAATGAAAGAGAAAGAGAATTTGTGTGTTGGTGTGGTATGGCATTATATAAATAGGAAAGGAGGAAATGTGCTTTCAGATAATGCAGTTTCTTAACTAACTGAAAATTTGACTGATTGCATGGAAGAATAAATAGGACCTACATTTAATTACATAACTGGGCATTTGATTCCACAGGATGAGTCAGTGGTGCAAACTGCAACAGCTGGATTCTAAATTCTTGGAACATGTGCATCAGCTCTACGATGATACTTTTCCTATGGAGATCAGGCAATACTTGGCACAGTGGCTAGAAAGCCAAGATTGGTAAGAGGCTTAATTTGTGTAAGCTATCAAAAAAATAAGACTTTGATTCTAAGCAGGAGTAGGATGCAGTCAGCAATCGTGAGACGTTAAATTATTTCTCTCGAAACTAATGGAATTTTGGCTAAACTGTTTGCTGAGGAAGTAAATTCCACTGGATTATGCAGTCTCATATTGTATTTTATATTCTTAAACCAAATATTGTGAATAAAGAAATGGAAAGCTACATTCTCAATTTCATAACAGCACATAACAAAAATTCGGAACCATGTGCAGGTTGAGGAGACTGCTCAGCTTGAGCAACTGGTATAAATCAGCATTTTGTTTCACGCAAGAACTCTAAGAGCAGCATATTTAAAATAAATTACCGTATATTTAGTTACACTCAGTGGTGGGATTCAGCCAGTTCGCACCTCTTCGGGAGAACTGGTTGTTAAGTTTCTGAGCGGTTTGGCAAACTGGTTGTTGGAAGAAATCATTAGGGCAGAGAACCGGTTGTTAAATTACTTGAATCCCACCACTGGTTACCCTGCAATTCCACTTTAACCCTTGGACTCTTGTGGCTTGTCTGGCATTTTAGAATTTGTCTGGAGTTACAGTTCGCGCATGTAATTCCTCTTCATAGGCAAACCTCCAAATTCATATCTTGAAAATGAAGAAGAATACAGTCATAATAATAGCAAAAACGTAGATGCAACTGAATTGGAAATACTGCCCTTGTCCATCATGATAGTCCATGCCGCTCAACCAGCTGGGTTCTGTTATTGGCACAGTAGCCCGTATTGTTCATGTGTATTTGCTATGGGTTCCCCTGACAGATGTAGAGTACCTTAGGGATTATTGGAAAGTTGGGTCGGTTTGTGACTGCTAATCTAAGCAGAAGGGCAAAGAAAAATAAACTGGGTTTTTCAAGGATGTTGCGGTTTGTGCAGTATAAAGAGATGGAAAGTATGCTAATATCTGTTGTTTGCATGCTTCCTCTTCTAGGGACTATGCTGCTGAAGACTTTTCAATGGCTACATTGCTCTTCCAGAATCTCCTGTCACAGCTGGATGATCAATATAGCCGTTTTACTCAGGAGAACAATTTTTTATTGCAACACAACATCAGAAAGAGTAAACGAAACCTCCAGGTCAGTCTACAACAGCATTTTCTAATTTGCCTTTATGAAAATATCTTAGAATAATTATGTTGATTGTGTGTGGATTATTTCTTTCCTTTCTAATGAAAGGAAGCTTTTAAAAAATTTCTGCTGTGCCATCCTAAACAGATTATAACAATAAGCCTGTGAATGAGTCTTTCCCCCCCCCCCCTTCCCTTCCCACACCCAATTCTTGTTAGCGTTCCCATTGTAGCTACTATCTTTTATCTTCTATCATAATTTTTTCTGGAAGAAGAAAGGGAACACGTGTGTTCATATAGCTTATATTGTTCATTACAGTTGTAAGCTTCTGAGTCTTCAGTGATTTATTCTTTTATGTCATTTTTGTTTGACATCTTTTGCAGTATAACTTCTAATAACGATATCTCCATGTGTGATACACACATATATTATTATTATTATGAAGAAGGAAATTCCAGCTGAATTGGCTGGACAGTGGGAAGATAGATCTTACACAGGCAGGGCTTTTGTCTCTATTAATTTTTTTCTGGTCTGATGGACACACTCCTTTTTCAGCCTTATATTTGAGCAGCTGTTTTTAATAAATGCAGTAACAGAAAGCATTTCTTAGTATGCAGCAGTTGAATATCAAGTATCACTTCTGAAGTTTAAAGGATGTCTTAGCTTAGAAGTGAAAAAAGTGATACTAGGATTTACAAATATGTGATTTGTGATCGAATTTTGACTCCCATTTCTTTAATGGAAATAAATAATGGAGAGTGTAGGATAGAGACGTACTTTCACGGTGTGGTAGTGAGCATATTGAAAAAAATATTGGCAGTCCCCAGGGTGGATTTGATTTAAATCAACTCGATTTAAATCATAATTTTTAAAAGAGCAACTGTCATCTCTGTCCCGCAGCTGCTCCTCTTCTGACCTACTGTTGACTCACCAACAGTCCCATTCACTTTAATGGGACAGCTGGTGATGCAGCAGTGACACAACAAGGTGAGGGACGTGACAGACAGCAGATGAGTGGATGCACACTAACAGGCACTGCCATGATGGATCTGAAATGACAGGTGCTCTTTAATATTATATTTATAAGCTGCTTAGAAGGTTTCACTTTCATTTTTACTGCTTGCCCTTCCTCTTCACACTTAGAGCCTGGTGGTACAGATGCATTTATCTTCAAACAATCATACAGTTTTTAGTGTACATAGATTTGCAAAACAATGGGATATTCCTGAACTTTGTTTTATGATTTATCTTATGGTTACTGCGAAATTGTGTGAATGCATCAATGCAGTGCATGTTATCTCAGCTTGCAGAGCTTGGCTTCATTGAATGAGTTTACCAAAAATGTAAATATTGCAGAATGCTACATAACTAAGCTCCATTTCATGCTGAATAAACTAAATTATTAATGTATCTTAAATAGAAAACTATCTTTAGATCAGGGATGAAATGCTCCCGGTTCAGACTGGATCGCCTGATCCGGTAGCGATGGCGGCGGGTGGTTCGGAGAACCGGTAGCAAAAATCCCTGCGCCCCCACTCCCCCATGCCGAGCTGAGCCACGCGATCATCAGAGGCTGTATTTTTTACTTTTAAAAGCATTTTTTTCTACAACCTCTTTGGCCGAAAAAATGCTTTTAAAAGTAAAAAAAAAAAAAAAAAAAAAGCTTCTGATGATCGTGCAGCTCAGCTGGGATTGTCAGAGGCTTTTAAAAGCATTTTTTCTACAACCTCTTCGGCCGAAGAGGTTGTAGAAAAAAAAAAGCCTTTAAAAGCCTCTGGCAATCCCAGCTGAGTTGCCTGATCGGCAGAGGCTTTTAAAAGCATTTTTTTCTGCAACCTCTTAAGGTTGTAGAAAAAATGCTTTTAAAAGTTAAAAAAAAAAAAAGTTGGCCATGCCCACCCAGTCACATTACCCCCGCCACCAAGCCACGCCCACAGAACCGGTAGTAACAAATTTTAGATTTCACCCCTGCTTTAGATATATTTTTTACTCCAGAAGCATTTTATTAAAATAAATTTGATTAAAAAATTTAAAAATCCAATTTAAATGAAAAAAAAACCCAATTGTTTTTGCTATAATCCAGAATACTTTTGTGGAAGAACCCATGTATATGGCCTTGATGATCTCCAAATGTCTCCAAGAAGAAAGGAAGATCCTTAAATCTGCAGAGTCCACAGATCGGGTAGGTTATCCTCTGTATGTCTGGAAAAGAGCATTCTGTATTGAACATTGTGCAGCCTCAGAATAGATCATGGACTTCACTTTCAAATGTTAACATGTCTACCCAATTTAGCATTTTCTCAGGATGGAAAGAACTAATCCAAGAAAGGTCATGAAATATTCCTGCTGTGGAGATTTTCCTTATTAGGGGGGGATTCTACATCATGATATATTTAATTCTTGAATTTTTTTTTTCTCATTTCAAATTCCAGATGCAAATGGACAATGAGCAAAATACTGCGGTGCTGGGCAAAGTGAAAGAGTTGGATGCAAAAGTCACACATGTGAAGAATCGTGTCATAGTACGTTGGCCCTTGGAAACTTTTTATTTTCTGCCATATCATAAACCAAAGAGGAACACATTGTTGGTTCAGATGCAGACATTGGGGAACGTGCAAAGATAAGCTACATTGGAGGAGGATTGAGTGGCTGTCTGGGAACAATGGACAGATTTTAGTCTCTTAACGCTATTATCAAAATTTTGCTATTACTATTGTCACATGACAAAACTTGTTGAGTAGTCATATTTTTTAGCACCAGTTGAGCACGGGACACTCACATAGGTAAGAAAGGGATACATGTAACATAGCCTTCTCCAGCCTGATGAACTTAGTTGATGCCTATTACAAGATAGCATTTGCCAAATATCTTGAATTAAAATCTATCCAAATCTCAGTGTGATCAGTGGTTGATATTTAGACAGCAGCAGGTTTCTATTCCTGACTATTCCAGTGAATATTCTGGTTTAACTGGGACAAAGGACCCTTTGGTTCATATCTATTACTCTGCTAAGCCTGAAGATTCACTGGTCAGCCTTGCTTTGGTCATATTTTTTGACTGAACCTATCTTAAGACTTTGTCATAAAGATAAAATAGGGAAGCAAAGGCCTGTTTTGATAACACTGTTGTGAAATGAATCATTGAAGTCATTAAATTTCTTTTCATAAATACCACCATTTTGCATTAAGTGATTTTGAATGTCTGATGAGCTTATTTGTTTTGTAGGAAATAGAGCAAATGATAAAAAATCTCGAGGATGTTCAAGATGAATATGATTTCAAATGTAAAACCTTTCAAGTCAGAGGTGAGGAGTTTCTAGCCTTCTGTTGTTTCCTATGATAGACATTGTTCCCTGACAATAAAATCATGTCCAGTCGAAGCTCAGTTGAAATCTTAGTCTGTTAAACATTTATTACAGACTTGATTTCCATTTTGTGAAAGTCCAGATCTTACAAACATCAAGATCTTGTGCTCATATTACCCAAAATCATCCTATCCTCACTTGGTTCCCCTCCATGTCTACTTATGTTATATTGCAACTCCCATCCTCTCCCAGTTGTATGTTACCTGGGGATAGATTGACCGAAGTAGAGTTGATACAAACTCCCAACATTTTCTTTTGAGCTTAGAATAAAACAACTCAAAACATCCCAGTTTTGAGTGTTCTATGTTCAACTGGAATGAAATTTGAATTCTTAATACTCTTCGAAGGAGAATTCCAAACAAGCTTTTCATTTATTTTTCATCCTCAAAGCAAACAACAGAAGCAGTAGCTAAGCTCCTTTTGTCGAAAGTTTTCATTGCCTAAGAAGATCCCAGCAAGCAGTTAGAGGTGCGGTAAAGCAATTTACATATTGGCCAATCCAGGTTATAAAATGGGAGTTCAGTTCAAACAGTTTCACTAGTGCTACTAGAGCTAAGCCAAAGTACCATTCAGAGTTACAGCATCCATTCTCATCAAAGCCCCAAAGGTTTTGATGAAGGATAACCAGGTTTTGGATAACATAAAACAGGCAAAAGAATTTAAGCACAAAGAATGAGCCGTGTCAGACCTGCACCAACTTAGTTCTCTAGGAAAGAAAGACCCTCGACTCCATTTGGTTGAAGTGATAGGTTCTTTTACTAACGTTAAGTGGTTGTAGTGAAAGTAAAGCTAGATCTGAGTATTCCTGTGCAAAGAAATACCCTTTCCCTGGCCCTCCCTCCCTTGACCAGTTCATTGGTGCCCAATGGTATGCCGTTTTGATGTTTTGGGAACTGCTTGGTACTCCTCAATGTAGTTTCATTTTCTGTTCCCAGACCAGGTGTCTTGGCAGCTGACTTATTCCGATTTGGCACCTCTGATATTTGACAATGTGTCTCCTCTCTTGCCATTTGTCGTCTTATTTCCATGCCCGAACTTTACTACCCCAAATTCCTTTTCTCTTCTCCTGCATCTATGGCAGGAGGCCAGCAAAGAGAAGAAGCAGAAGATGGCAGATCTAAGTAACATTGTCATCAAAAGTTAACCCAGCAAGGTGTAACCCTTCTAAACAGTATTGAATCCAGTGGTTTCCTGTATTCCATCTCCCTCCAGTTTCAGTTGATGGTCTGCAGCTTGGATTTTGCTGGGGTCTGACCCTGCAGAGCTTTGGCTCCCATCGTTACCAGGATGGGAGACATTGTATCTAATCCCTGGTTCCAGCTTGTCAGAATCCATGGGATCTTGCCTTTTGTTGCTAATTTTAGGCCCTGGATCTTTAATGTTTGGAATACCATGTTCTAGATCCTCTTGTGAAGAAGATCACATGTCTGGGAGTTGCAGATCATCAGTATCTGAAGTGCTGCAAATTGCCTATACTTGGCCTAGATTTAAGTACGTTTCTCCCCTAATGCATTGCTTTTGTACATAGACATTCCTAGTGTCTTGTCCTTTGGCCAGGTAGCCTTATAAGTAGTCCTTGACTTTCGACCATTTATTTAGTGACCGTTAAAAGTTATGATGATGCTGAAAAAGTGACTTATGACCAGTCCTTGCACTTCATGGTTGAGATCTGGGTGCTTGGCAACCAGCTCAACATGACAATTGCATCATCCTGTGGTCACATGATCATCAGTTGCAACCTTGCCCAGCCAGCTTTCAACAAGCAAAATCAATGGCGAAGTTGGCAGGGAAGGTTACGAGTTGTGATTACACCATGTCTTGCCTAAAGACTCTGGCCAACAAAAGTAAAACTGTGTGTGGTCATGTAATGTCTCACTCCCTTTATACCACTTTGATATTGTTTATTGGATTATTTCCTTTCTTTTTACAGTTCTGCCATTTTATATATAAAAGATATGTAAAGTTCTGGCATACATGATTTCTTTTGCAGAATGTGAACCCAACGGCATGAGCCAGGATGACTATAAAAAGGAAAAAGTACAGCTCCACACCATGTATTTGCAGCTTCACAGTAAGAGACAGGTGATGCAGCTAGTTTCTTTGGAGAGCTGAGGTTGTTCATTGGTCTAAATAGCAGGCACTTTTTTGTTTTTGTTTCCCTTCCCTTTAAAGGATTTGAAGAACAGATGGATGGAGTCCAAAGTGCTTGTGAGACAGGGTTGTAATTATAGTTAGAGGATAGGACCAGGGAAATTATAATTTATCATGAGCTTTGGAAGTTACTGGGTGCCTTTAAAGCAGTCACTGCCTCTCAGTTCAACCTAAGCATTATTTGGAAAAGATGATCTTAGAGCAGGGGTGTCAAATTCAAGGCCCATGAGCTTGTTTCAGCCTGCAGGGTGCTTAAATCTGGCCCACAGGGCCACTCTGGAAACAGGGAAGAACTACCCGCAATGCCTCTGCCAGTGAAAACGGAGCTCAAGAGGGTTGCAGGAGATAGTCGCAGCTAAAAATGGTTCTCCCGAACTCTGTTTTCGCTGGCAGAGGGTGGCAGGAGGCCGTCGCAGCCAGAAACAGAGCTCGGGAGCCCATTTTTGTTCCCAGAGTGCTCAGACCACCACAAGCACCCCCGACATGGGTGACATCGAGCTGGCCATGCCCACCCTGGCCACGCCCCCCAGGACTCCCCAAGGTCAAACAACCCTGATGCGGCCCTCATTGAAATCGAGTTTGACACCCCTGTCTTAGAGAATGTAGACAACTATGATTGTCACCTTCAGCTCAAGGAAAAAGAGAACATACAGACAACGAAATTCATTTAGACGTGGTTGCCACAGTGTAACAGGGTTCTTTTTGAACTGAAGATTAGCTTGTGTTTTAAAAGGCTGACAATTGGCACAGATAAACAAGCCAGTGGAGGCCTTTTTTATTATTACAGTGGGGGCTTTTATCACAAGTATTAACAATATAGTTTTGGTGTTCACCTGATAACCAGTTTTTCTCCTAGGTTTCACTCCCAGAGACTATCTCCCTATAATTCTCCTGCTAGCTGTTTTGTTTTCTTCCCCTTTCATTTCAACTCTCTCCCCCCTCTTCTGAGTTTAACAAGAGAGCAGGTACAAAGAATTGGCTGGAATTTTGCCGTCATGTGCTTGCATTAGTTTGACAGCTTGTCCTGCTCAGTAGAACTTCTACTTGTTCTCCATGGAGGAAAAAACTTCTCTAAGTCTTCTGCCCAATCCTTCCCCAGAGACAGCCAGGTCTCCTTCCCTTCTTGGGTAGAGGTCTTACCCCTCTGGGTCTTCACTTTCCTTTTTGAAGCCACCTGTGAATCTTTTTTTCTCCTTTCCCAACCAGGAACCAAAAACTGCTCCTCACACTTAACTTCTCTCTCCATCTTAATTCTGTAGCCACTTGATTCACTCCATGCAATCCTCTTGTCTCATTCCAATTTTTAGTTAGGCCAACAGCATGCTCCACAGAAACTGAGGAGATGGGTGTTGTCCCCCCCCCCCCACTCCCAAGGATCTAGTCCCCAAGATCTATAGAGCAGGCTTGACTACTGAAACTGCTGTCTTAGCATCTCGCCACAACAGCCCTGCCTAGCAGCAAGGTTGGTTCATCAGCTCTTTGATAGCACAGCTGCCATTCAAAGCCAGCATTGAGCAGCTTCTCCCCTTGTACTCACTCACACCAGCAAAACAACAGCTACATCAGGCCACTAAAATCCATATGCCACCGTAGTGCAATACACCATCATTGCTGTTCTCCAGTTTAGTGTAGAGCAGTGATTGTCAACCTTTACTTCACCATGGACCCCCTTTAAATAAATACCTTTTGTGGCCACAGACCCCAGCCAAGGACCTCCAAGACTTAACTCAAGATTTAAATCATAACATTTCTTCAATCCTTCGCAGACCCCCCTGTGATCACACACACACACACACACTCTGCAGACCACAGGTTGAGAACCACTGGTGTAGAGGGTAAGTTGTCCTTGACTGAGATAAGCCAGATCAAAGCAACAAATGAAAAAACAAGGCTTAAGTCCAAAACAAGCAGAAGGTAATGTGAAAGCAGTTCAGGCTGTTCAGCTCCCTAATTCATTTGAAGATAGGGACGGGGCAATAAAGCTCAATCAAACTTATAGTATTCTATTACCTATAGCCAGTATTTTAAAAAGTAATTTAGCCTTCCTGTGGCATTGATTTCTTGCTTTGCTCTACATGGTAGGGTTGACTAGAAATTTAACAGTCATTCTTTTAGGCTTCCCTCTGATTTCCATTCCTGCCTTGTTTATTGATGTCACTGCACTATCCACTGCTGCTTTTGGCTGCCACAGCTTTAAAAAAAATTGAAAGGTTCCTTACTTTGTAGGCTGACCTCTAGTTCCTCTTAGTTATTTGTTAGCTATGTATTTCACAATTCAATCAAGAACTTAGAAGATATATTATACATGGTGCTTCTTCCTTGTGTTATTTCTACACAACAGTTCTATCAGGTAGGCTGTGGAGGATTGAATCTGCATCCTGCCTTTAGGATGCATTTATTGCAACACAAGTATGTCCCTTGGCTAAAGACTACAACAGGGGTGTCAATCTCAAAGCCCACAGGCCAGATCTGGCCTGCGGGGTGCTTAGATCTGGCCCATGGAGCTGCCCTGGAAACAGCGAAGGACAAGCCCGCAGTGCCTCTGTCAACAAAACCAGAGCTAGCATGCCCCCCCCTCCCCCCGAGCTCAGTTTTCACTGACAGAGGGCTGCAGGAGTCCGTCGCAGCTGAAATCTCAGCTCGGGAGCTTGTTTTCGCTGGCAGAGCGCTTGGGCCACCACAGGTGCCCCTGACACGAGTGACGTCAAGCTGGCCACGCCCACCCCGGCCCCTCAGGTCAAACAACTCTGATGCGACCCTCAATGAAATCAAGTTTGACAATCAATGAAATTGAATGACATGAAATCAAGTTTGACAATCAAGTTGGACTACAACTTCCTCCTGTATTCTAGGAAATTCCCACTGTGCATCATGTGAATGTTAGAGCTCTTTTTTTTTAATTGAAGAGATACATTCCTTGACATTTCAAAAGGATCTTGCCAGGATCGATTTAAAAGTAGGGGGTAATAGCTTGAATATGTTTCTTACTGGATTCTCTCTAGGATGTGCTACGCTTGATATCCTCTTCATTGCCTGTGATTGAAAATACCCAAAATGCTCTGATAACAGAAGAGTTGGTTGAATGGAAGCATCGACAACAGATGGCTTGTATTGGCGGCCCACCCAACGCCTGTCTAGATCAGCTTCAAAACTGGTAGGTCTCTGAAGCATGGCAAGTACAATCAGGAATTTTCAGAATTCATTCAACCAGAAGGGGGAAAGTACCTGAAAATTTTCACAGAAAACTATCTGATCTGAAAACTAATACCTTCCTGAAGTGTTGGAATTCTGCTATTCCTCTCTTCTTGTCATGTTTGTGAGTTTTCCACATTTTTTAAAACATGTGGGTTACCTCCTTCTGTTGATAAAATGCACTGTGTGCTGTTTGAGAATTATGACACTTTGATTCCAACACACCTCCAATGCTACCAGGTCTAAAACTTCTCAGCAAATGTTCCAACAGTTGCATTTCTGCAGCTGGGCAAATTTCCTAAGTGACTCATGTCCCTAAGAAGTGGGCATTACTAATGGTTGGAAGACTTGGGGAATACTACTGATTTAGAAGTGGAATCCGGGGTCCAAACGGTTGCATATGGATTCAAGCATATCATGAATGCTCTGAGACATGTGCCTCAAGAGCCTCGTAAAGTTAGTGTTGCCCCTAAACAATTAAGACTGCTGGTTTCTGTGCTTTTTACCCCAAGGAGAAATGTAGCAATCTTCACATACACTCATTGTAATGATAGGTTTACTACAGTGGCTGAGAGTCTTCAGCAGATTCTTCAACAGCTTAAAAAACTGGAGGAGCTGGAGCAGAAATTCACCTATGAAACCGATCCCATTACCCAACAGAAGAAAGGGCTGTGTGAGCGGACATGGACTCTCTTCAAGCAACTCATTCAAAGGTATTTTTTTTTCTTGTGTTAGATGGGTCAGAATGGGCATTTTCTTGTTTTGTTGTTGTTGTTAGTTTTGAAGTCAGGTTCCACCCATCGCAACCTCATGGACAACATTCCTCCAGGCCTTTCTGTCCTCTACCATCCCCCGGATTCCATTTAAACTCACACTGACTGCTTCAGTGACTTCATCCAGCCACCTCACTCTCTGCCGTCCCATTCTTCTTTTGCCCTTGTTTAGAAAAGCATATTTCATCTTCCCATCTAAGCTGAAGAATCTTTTCTCTTATCTTGCTGATTAAATTATTTGCTTGAACTGTGAGCAGTCGCATTATTACCAGAAGGTCTGCGCAGACCACTCTAGTGAAATAATTTTTGCAGTTTTGTTTAAATTAGATTAGTTTATATTTGAATCACATTTAAAAGAAATGGAAGGGTGTCTCCTACTGTCGGTGATTTCCTCACAAACTACAGAGAGTCTTCAAAATCTCAGAAGGCTAGAAGAAAAATGCCAAAGAGCTGTGATGGGATCGACCAGGCTTCCCCAACCTAGACAAAAATTTGTGGATTTGGAAGATTTGTTTAGAGCAGGGGCACCCAACCACCCCCAGGCCACGGGCCAAATGGGCACAGGCCGGCATGTATGCCCAGCTCAACTCGTGTGAGTGCTGGGCCGGCACACATGTGCATGCACGTCAACATGCCTCTCATGTGAGTCGAGCTATGTGCAGGCCAGCCCCCTGCTTGCAAAGACCGGTTCCCCCCTCTTCCCCCAACACCCAGCAGGGCCACCCAGCTGAAAAAATTGAGAAGAGCTGGTTTAGAGAATGTATTAAATACAATTTGATTTTAAGAAATTTTTAGGAAATGTATTAATACAATTTGATTTTAAATTAGATTTTTATTTTTAACTATTTAGAGATTATTGTGTACAAATTTTGTTCCTAGCATGCCAGATGTTTGTTCCAAATGAATAAATTGAAAAGAAAACCTTTTGCCTGTTATTTTTTTAATGTTCACGTTTGCATTATAGAAGATTAAGGATCTGTTCATTTTTGGCATAATGTTCTATTCCCCCCCTTTTTTTTCACTTTTTTTCCTGTCCAGCTCCTTTGTTGTAGAAAGACAGCCTTGCATGCCTACGCATCCTCAGAGACCATTGGTTCTGAAGACTGGAGTACAATTTACAGTAAAGTTGAGGTAATTTGTTTTATACCTGATGTGATTCGTGTATGGTGGTTTTTTAAAAGAACTTTAAAGGAAGTGATTAATTGAAACTAAAGTAAAAAGAAAGACTCCCTCAAGGCAAATTTGATCCATGCACGTTTACCGGAGTAGTTTGCTACTGCTTTCTTTCATAATATTTTTATGATTTCCTAGTTTGGTCAATTAGGAAGAAAAAATATGCCGCATCTTAACAACATACTGAAGAACAAGGGTTTCTCGGCAGAATATCATTTTAAATCGAATTGCCAATATTTTAGGGCAGTGGGTCTCAACCTTCCTAAACCTTCCCCTTTAATACAGTCCCTCATGTTGTGGTGACCCTCAACCATAAAATTATTCCATTGTCCATTGAAAATATGTGTTTTTGGATGGTCTTAGGCGACCCCTGTGAAAAGGTTGTTCGACCCCCAAAGGGGTCCCGACCCACAGGTTGAGAACCACTGTTTTAGGGCATGTTAACATTTACTTAGATGTAGATTTTGCTGCAGACCTGATTCTGCATTCTGCTGTTTCTTCTATTGAGAATATTGTAACTGAAGTTCCTAGGCTCATTTCATGATTGGCTCCACACCTCAAGCAGAGATAGGTCATAGATCTTAACTTGGAATCACAAAGGCTGGATTTTACAAAACACATGAAACCAAAATGAAACATATTATGGCTTAGTACGATAGGTGAACCTTATCCGGGATACATGGGATACAAATCTTTAATTATATGGGAACAAGACTCAATTGTCTTCCATATGTTTTTAGTAGATGCATGTAGGATTGCATTGAATGAATTTGCGGGCAGAGCTCTTACCCATGCTAGCTCAAACTAGGATTGGCTCCTGCAGTTATCTCATAAGTAAAATATTAGGTTGGTGTGCACGTTATGGTTGGTGGTCCTCCTCTGATGACAGATGCTTCTTTTAATCCTGAGGGGTCCTTGGTGCTCTGAGCTTGTTTTCTTGCATATGTTTCATTACCCAAACTAGGTAACATCCATAAGTGCTAGATATTACCTAGTTTGGGTAATGAAACATCTGCAAGAAAACAAGCTCAGAGCACCAAGGACCCCTCATATCAACCCTGAGCTACAAATAGTCTCCTTTATTAAGTCTTTTAATCTTGAAAGAATTTGAGCAGAAGGGGAGGGGCAATCTTTCTGCAGCCCTCCCCATAATTTACACCATCTGTTTTTTGTTTTGTTTTTTAATTTGATTTATATGCCGCCCTTCTCCGGAGACTCAGGGCGGCTTACAATGCGTTAAGCAATAGCCTTCATTCTTTTGTATATTTATACAAAGTCAGCTTATTGCCCCCACAAACTGGGTCCTCATTTTACCTACCTTAGAAAGGATGGAAGGCTGAGTCAACCTTGAGCCTTGGCAAGATTCGAACCTGCAGTAATTGCAGGCAGCTGTTCTTAATAACAGGGTGCTTTAGAACACTGTACTACCAAGCCTCTTGGTGTTTAACACCCCCAGCCCCAAAAAAGGATAATTTCACTTGCTCCCATTTCTGTTTACTGTGATCTTCAAGAATTACAAAGATCCAAATTTGACCTTATGCTGATATATAAGAAAAATGCTTTTGTTGAAGGGCTTAAGGAAGATAATCAAGACAGAAAAAATATTTTTTCTTTATTCTTACTTTTGTGTTGCTTGAACTTCCAGATTGCTGGTGAAGCTCCAAGAGCTGAATTACAAATTGAAAGTGCAAGTTCAGTTTGATAAGTAAGTGATCTGTTATCACCATTCAGATGAATGATCCCTGATCTTGATTTCCACACTTTCTAAACTTAGACACTACACTCTGTTGCAACCTCTGTCTGGCAGGTAGAGAACTCCCATGATTTCCATGGGTTCTTACAGTTGTACAGTTTTTATGTAGTTAGTTATAGTATCTAAGACTTCTGATTACCTGCTTTCATTGGTTACTCATCAAGGTGAAATATTACTAAATTTATTTTTAAACAAGAGAATCTGAGAAAAGATCTTGAATATAAGGATTTGTAGTGAGCTTTGAGATCATCTAGTACAGAGTTCCCCAATCTTTCTGGGTTGGTGACCTGGAGTGGGGGTGCCTGTGATGTTTGTGATGAGGCTCATGCGAGTGGGCCACAAGTGATTGCAACGAGGCTTGTGCGAGTGGGACCCTGAACGCCCATGACAAGGTTCGCACAAGGGAATGCGAATACCCACAACACTTGTGTAAGTAGGGACATGCAGATGTGCATGCTTTGGCTGGCTGCTTACGTGCCCTTATTTAGTACTTTCCTTGCTCAGTTAAGGAATTCAGTACTATAGCATTCTTGACAGATGGCCCTCTAGCCTCTGTTTAAATACATCCATTTAGGAAGAATCTATTAATTCTCAAGGCATTGCTGAACAGATCTTAACCTTTTTCCTAATGTCCCATAAAAATGTTATTTTCCATTGTTTAAATGAAAATAAAATATTTGCTGCTGAGAGCTCCGGTGTCATGATGACTCCATTGCTTTGAAGAAAAATACCTTTATATATGTTATGTGATTTGGAAACTATAACAGAAATAGCATTTCACCCATCAATGTAACAATCATAGCTATAGACTCTGCGGCTCTTGTTCTGATTGCAGTGAGCTAAGGAACAAAAAATACAACCCAGAGTAAGTAGAAGAAGGTTCAATCGAAGGTCCTAGCCCTTACTTCTACTTCATCTGTCAAAGTATACCTGTTCAGAAACTACAAGTAATTCTTGTTCACATCTACTCATTCAGCAATTGTTCAAAGTTATAATGGCCCTGAATTAGTTGCAGCCTCACAGTTGCAGCTGTTGTAACATCCTGCAATCACATGACGACCATTTGCAACCTTCCCTGTCAATTTTTGACAAGCAAAGTCAATGCAGAAGGAGACAGGAGGTCACAAATGGCCATCTCATGACAAGAGATGCTGCTGCTGGGCCGGATTTGCCTCACTACACAGCTGCACAACTACACAACAACTGGGACTGCTATTACAAATTGGCCAGGTCATGTAACATTGCAGCTTACAAATGCTTTGCTTAGCAATTCTGGTCACAATTATCATTGGTAAGCGGGACTAGTTTTGCTCCATGTGTAAGTTTTTATTTGGTGAAAATAAATAATAAGATAATTGATTTTGGGTGCTTAACAGCAATGCAATCTCTAAATGAAGATTTGATCCACGCTCAAACCAGCATATCATAACTAAAAATGGCTACTCGGTCACTCATCTCAAATTTAAAGCGGTCTTAAAAAGAGAGTCTTCCGATTTTCTGGGACACCAAGAATTGTACTTGGGGTAACAAGTGCCGTAATGTTGGGGAACCCACAGAAAACCCCATTCTCTGTCCCATTCCCATTCCACCTTGCAATGCTAGGATCTTAAGGAAGCCCTTGAGGCTTTCTTTAGAATGGGGGTAAGTCCATCCTAGGTTGGAGAATATATAAATACGTGGGCCATAAATAATGGGCCAGTTTGTTATTTGCATTAATAGCAATTCATGAATTTATTTAAAAGTAACCACACTCCGTACTGGATGCCAAATGTTTCAAAAATGACCCTTGTAGACAAGTGGAAGAAGCTCCATCTTCACAGCAGGCTTTTAAGTGAGAATGATGTGTGAATTGGCTTACAGAAAACTCTTACAACTGCAGAGTTCACAGTGTCCTTAATCTGAGCAGTTGAGTATGAAAGGGAAAAGGTGGAGATTTTTCCAGATTACATAGAGATAACTTGATAAAAAGTTTAATGGAACGTTTTTTGGAAAATGCTGAAGTATAATTGTGAAATCCTATAGAAGGGGTGTCAAATTCAATTTCATTGAGGGTCACATCAGGGTTGTGTTTGACTTTGGCAGGGTGGGAGGGGTGTGGCCAGCTCGATGTCATTTGTATCAGGGGCGCCTGTGATGCCCAGAGCGCTCAGCCAGTGAAAATGGGCTCCCAAGTTCCGTTTTCATCTGCGACGGCCTCCTGCAACTCTGCCAGCAAAAATGGAGCTTGGTAGGGCTCCTGTGCCCCTTGCAAGCTCCATTTTTGGCTGCAACGGCCTCCTGCAACCCTCTGCCAGCGAAAACAGAGCTCGGGAGGGCCGCTCACGGTCCTCCCAAACTCCATTTTTGCTGGCAGAGGCCCCACGGGCCAGTCCTTCACTGTTTCCCCACAGTCCAGATCTAAGCACCCCATGGGCCGGATCTGGCCCCCGGGTCTTGACACCCCTGCTATAGAACAATGGCTGCCTTGTCACTTCATAAACTGACTTTTTTTTTTCCTTTTGCAGAGACGTCAGTGAGAAAGACACAGTGAAAGGGTACGTTCAATCAGTTTGTGCCTGTTCTTGCATTTTTTGTTGAACAACAAATAGGGTTATGTCAGTTGTTTTTACTTGTCTCATTTATAGATTTAGAAAATTCAACATCTTGGGAACAAATACCAAAGTATTGAACATGGAAGAGTCAAATGGGAGCCTATCAGCAGAATTTAGACACCTGGTGAGGTGTTTGTGGTATCTCTGTGTGACTTGATATGCTGAAGTTGTTTTGTCTCCTTGCTAGTTATCTTTTTGCACTTAATGTTGCTTTTTTATACAGCCATTTATGCCTTTTGAAGCCTATCCAATCCTTTAGACTCTGGATAGCACTGAGCAGAGTAATAATACAAATGTAGAGAGAAATGGCAACAAGAAATACAAACCGTAATAAGAAAAATAATAACCTACCATGAACTCAACTTCAGTTGAAAGCACTTTATCCTAGTGATCCCTGACTGAGACAAGGATGTCAGTTTATACTACAAATGGTTTTTGACCATGCTTTCCATTCATGAAGACATGGGGGAGAAGTTCATGATTTAAGATTTTGGCTGTGAAGTAAGAACTATTTCATGCAGTCTCATATAACTTTGAATAGGGATGACAGTTCATCCTTCTTTGAATGGACTCAAAGATTCTTTCAAGTTCGCTCTGCCCTTCTGTCATTCTTCCTTTTGTCGTGCTTTAAGTTTTAGTACTTTTTACCATTTTGTAGAATTAGACCCAGAGCGACCATTTTGCAATGGAATCCAGCTGAGATCTAATAATGGGAATTAATTTGGTTCAGAATTCATTGTTGTTGAATCATATTCACTCTTGTATTATAATCAGTAGTAGTAATATCATTAATGGAGATGTTTTACTTTTTAAAGTAATCAGTTGTAAGTTTCATTAGGTTCAAAAATTTCATAATATGATTCTCTTAGCAATTTATCAGTTATTGGACACATTTACAGTTATTTTTTAAGTACTCTGTCAAACCTTTAGGGAACAGATTTTGCCTGGTATCTGAAATGCATAGTATTTATCTTTAAATCATTCTCTAAATGAAAGTGTCTTTCATTCTTTTTGATAACTTACCAATTTGTTATAATTTAGAGATAGGCTGAAGTAAAACTTAACGGCTGTAAGGGTATTGCAGTGTATGCACAGATAATCAAACTGCTGACATTTTCTATATCGTGACTTTAAAAATACTTAGCAGGTCTAATATTTACAAGCAAAGGGGATAGCTGAGATAATAGATAAAGACTCCTGTAGTTTTTTTAACTGTCATTTGCATAATTCATATCTCATGTGTGACATTTATTTACTTTATATATAGCTGTCCATCTCACTTTTATGTGGCTTGAGGCAGTTTACAATAAAACACAACATACACAATATAAAACAAAGATAAAAACACATAGCAGCCTGGCATCATCTAATCTTTCAGGAGACAGAGTTTAATCCATACCCAAGGCCCCCAGAGTTGAACACATTAATTTTTGAGATAAAGTACAATCTTTTTGAAAAGAATCTGATTTATTAATATTATCTGCCAGTTCAAATAGTGGGAGAGGGAGTTACTGTTAAGATATTTCCCATTCTTCTTTCTGCAGTTTAAAAGGTTTGAAAATCAAAATCTCCACGATACACTTTTAAAATACCAGTAATCAATAGGATCATCTGCAGTTCAGTTTTCTATTAGAAGCCTCTTGGTGAATCTCACCCTGGCGGGTTTATAGGGAAATTGTTAAAAGTTGCCTATATAGTTGGAATGGATTTATGTGGGATACTCCTATATGAAGAAATGGGTTCTTATGTATAAGAAAATGTACATTTTATATTATGCATATAAGAAATAAAACTGAAAAAACTTTTCAAAAAGAAAGAAATGGAGCCATAACATATGGAAGATAGTGAAAGGGGCTACCCTGAGCAAGAAATGTTTGAACCATACATCAAAAAATGTTCATAGGTATGTGGTTTAACCAAATTCTCTTCTTTTCTAGCAATTAAAAGAGCAAAAGAATACTTCAAGATCTAATGAGGTAAAGAAAACATCAGTGAATCTGTATAGCTTATTTAAAAAGTCCTCAATCAGAAATCTGTGTTTTAGACTTCCACGCTGCAGAAACAAAATAACTGCATCACTAATTGTGTAATAGCAACAGGTTCACTGCTTCTTGTTTTTCAACTTGTCACATAGAACAGGGGTCTCGTAAGACTTGTAGACTTTATTTCCCAATTTCAACTCCCAATTTCTCAGCCAGCTATACTGGATGGAGAATTCTGAGAGGCTTAAAGTCCACAAGTCTTAAAGTTGCCAAGTTTGGAAACCCCAATGCAGAATAAGGATTTAAACTATCTGTTTTGAACCTGTAAATAGATTAGAAGAGGAGTGATCAGCAATGAGGTTTGCAGGAATTCTGAGGTCCATCTCAGGAAGGAGATGCAAAATTTTAATACTCCAGTTGGCACAGAGTGAAATTGCTAAGTGGAATTCTCATCTGAATTAAGGCAAACCCAAGTTTTGATGTAGATATAAATTCTTAGCCAAATAGGAATTGGGATTTTTTAAAAATTCCATTTTAAAAGTCATTCAAATTTCTTTATGGGCATCTTGCATTAGTATCAAAATGTTCACACTTTTAGAAACAAAGTGGTTCTTTCTCACTTTCTTTGATACCTAATGCATCAAATGAAAGGGATTTCCTTGTAATGACTCCAGATCTAATAAATTTTAACAAAGTAACTGATTAATGACCCTCCATAGGTGATAGAATGCCTTTACGTGAAATTGATTTGGTGCTATCAGAGCTAGCGCTTAAAGAAAGCCCTAAAAGCCCATGGCATAGGACATAATTATCTTCGAGACCGCCTGCTGCTACCGACGGCCTCCCATCGACCTGTGCGCTCCCACAGAGAGGGCCTCCTTGGGGTGCCATCAGCCAAACAATGTAGGCTGGTGACCCCAGGAGGAGGGCCTTCTCTGTGGGGGCACCTACCCTCTGGAATCAGCTGCCCCCAGAGATAAGGAGAATCCAAGACCTCAGTGCCTTCCGCCGTGCCCTTAAAACCTTTTTCCAGCAAGCCAGGCTGGCCTAACACTTTTTAAAATGTTTTTAATTGTTTGTTATTGTTTTTAATAATGGAGCCAAATTTATATATATCTTTTTAATTGTATTTTAATGTTTGTAGTTTATGTTTTTACCTCGCTGTTCACCGCCCTGAGTCCTCAGGGAAAAGGGCGGTATACAAATTTAAAAATAAATAAATAAATAAATAAATAAATAAATAAATAAATAAATAAATAAATAAATGTCAATTTATTAGCCCAGGTTCCCTCTTAATAAGTCTCATTCTTCTTTCTAAAGTTCCAGATTATAACTGCTGCTTTAATAGTTTAGAAGGGGTTGTTTAATTTCTGTAATTAAATTCATTTGGGGTTGCATTTTTTCTCTTTTTATAGATAAGCTATTTTATAGATATGCTGCAATATTAGAAAGAATAAAATAGAAGGCTGTCAAATCGCTAAAGTTAAATACATTAAACTAAAGTGCCTCTCTTATTTTTTAAGGGCCCTCTGATTGTAACTGAAGAACTCCATTCGCTCTGTTTTGAGACAAAATTGGAACAGAATGGCCTTGTAATTGATTTGGAAGTAAGTAGATTAAAAAATTAAAGGCATAGAGTAGTATATCAATAACTTCATTTCAGAAGAAATGGGTAATCTTTTTGTGGCCAAGGGCCACACTTAACATTTGAAGGAAGATCGAAGATCACAAAGTAAGGATGGTCATTTCACTTGCAGTGACACATCTCTAATAGAATTATTACAACATTTATTAGTTTCTCAGCTCAAAATACCAGGAAGGTGTGCTACCAATTTTCCACAGTCAAAGACTCAAAGGTTTTGACTAACAATCAAAACTTTTGGTCAAAGGAGTTTCCAAGGGCTGCAAAACGCAATGTGCAGGCTTTAGGGCGCAGGTTTGTTCATTTGTTCAATTTGTATAGTTGGCCATCTCACATTTTTGTCTGTGAGTGGCTCATACGGTAAAAATGAAAACGAATAAAAGAATTCAAACAATTTTTTAATTTAAAAGATTAATTAAAATTGTCACCTTTCTCACCTATCATCTTTCCCACAACTTTCTCCTATTGGTATATTATGATTTATCAATTGTTGTTTGCATCTTATGATTTATGATTGGATCTTAACCAATATGATCCATGACTTATCGCTTGGTTGTTTGTATGCACTAGAGACAAATTCTTTGTATGTCCAATCACACTAGGTCAATATAGAATTCTATTCTAAAAAAACATTAAAACATAACCTCATCTGCAGGCGAGGGCAATCCATCTTAAAAACAGTGTTGTAATCATTTCATGGGCTGTATTCCACTACCAGATCCCTAGGCACCATAGCAAACCCATCATCAGACCCTTTCAAAAACCAATAGGATGGGGCCAATGTAACCTCAGAGGGCAAGTGCTGCCCTCCTGGGTCTGAAGTGTCCCAATAAATTCCTTATCAGACAGCACCCATAACATGCCTCTTCTGTTGGACTCGATGGGAGAGGTAAATGTAACTGAGGAGACATCCTCATCTGACCCGGCCCCATGATGTGTAGAGCATTATAGGTCATTTCCAAACAATCCTTTCCACAAAGGTAGCCTAAAAACTTTTATTCCTTTGATGTTGCCCGCAAATACTGGGAATTACCCAGTGAATATTCATGAGTAAAAAGCACCGAAATGTTTGCTGCAGTGTACCATTCAGGGGTGAAATGTTACCAGTTCGCTCTGGTTCGGGCAAATTGGTAGTGATAAAAATTACCAGTTTGGGCGAACCGGTAGTGAAAAAATGCTTTAAAAAGGTTCTGACAATCCTTTTTTCTTTTTTAAAGCATTTTTTTTTTACTACCGGTTCTGGCGAATAGGTAGTTAAAAATGCTTTTTAAAAAGTTAAAAAAAAAAAGGGTTCCAACAATTGTGCGGCACAGCTGTGATCATTGGAACCTCTTTTTTTCACTTTTTTAAAGCATTTTTTACTACCTATTCACCCTAACGGATAGTAAAAAAATGCTTTAAAAAAGTTTTTTTAAAAAAGTTGGCCACACCCACCCAGTCATGATTCTCCACCAAGCCACACCCACCGACCGGTAGCAACAAATTTTACCTTTCACCACTGGTACCATTGGTACCATTGAATGCAATATTTTGGAGGCTGTTTTATTACCGGAAGTGATGGTGTGCATGTCAAGTGTTACCATACAAATGACAGGAGAAGTTATTGTGTCAAATGTCTTAATGTAAATGGTACCAATTAATGATCATGTTTGTGAGATGATGTCGTCATACCTCAAAAGCAATTGGATGATGACTCTTTGCTCACTTGGCTGCTTTCATCCATTGTCCATTTCACTGAATTGATAAATGGAAATTGAAGTGATAGTGGCTATAATCATTGCTTCTGCAATGCACATGTTGCTGTATTCTATGATGCTGATACAAGTCTTAAGTAAAATAAAGAAAAGTTTGGCATGTGGTGATTTAGGAAAAATGGTCCTCAGTGGTTAAAGCAGCCTTACATCTAAAGTCAGATTGTCCTTGCCTGGCTTATTGAATTGATTGGTGTAGGATGTTTTGGAGCTAAAGCCCAAACCTCTGTTTCTACTTTGGGGCTAGACTAAAAGTGCTCAATGTGACCTTCTAATTAGTTTTCATTATTTCATTACCCTATTCTTTGTAGCTGTTGCTCAGATCTTTGGATGATGCGAAGATCTGTGCTTTGTTTAAATCCTGAATCACTCTAATGATAAAATGACACCATTGTATAGTGTGAAGTTAACAGTCTGATGTGAAACTTATACCATTCAATTCTGTTGGTTTAGAGCAGGGGTGTCAAACTCAAGGCTCGTTGGCTGAATCTGGCCCATGTGGTGCTTAGATCTAGCCCACGGAGCCACCCTGAAAACAGCAAAGAACTGGCCTCTGCCAGGGAAAACGGAGCTTGGGTGAGCCACATGCGGCACCCCCAGGCTCCGTTTTTGGCCGCAACAGCCTCCTGCAGGCCTCTGCCAGCAAAAATGGAGCTCAGGGGGACTGTGTGCATTTTCACTAGCAGAAGGCTGCAGGAGGTCGTCGTGGCCGAAAATGGAGCCCAGATGCCCACCCTGGCCACGCCCACCAAACTGCCCCCCCCCCCCCGAGGTCAAACACAACTGTGATGCAGCTCTCAATGAAATTGAGTTTGACACCTCTGGTTTAGAGCCATAACTCATCTTGTCTGCATGGCAGAGGAGGATGGAATTAAAAGTGTAATACTTGGAGAAGGCTGGATTGAAGCTTTGGCTGAATTCACAGTTTACATATAGGGATTATAATTGCATTCCTAGTTTATCCAAAACTATTTAAAAAGCCACGACCATGTGATATGTGACCCTAGCTTCATTTTTTCTGCCTTTAGGTAGAATTCGTCATTTATGAATATTTGCTTAACTTGTCTCTGCAATTTTCCCTTTCCAGACCCCTTCCCTTCCAATTGTTGTGATCTCAAACGTCAGCCAATTACCGAATGGATGGGCTTCCATTTTATGGTACAATATGTTGATGAATGAACCCAAGGTAACTTAACAAGCACCTTTTCTAAGATTGAAATTGCTAAGAATCCCTACCATTCAGACTGGCTCCCTTTAAAGCATCCGTCATAAATGCCTTTACAAGGATGTATACTACTTAAATAGACAAGATAGAAGAAAATTACCGTATTTTTTGGACTATAAGACGCATCTTTCCCCCCCACAAAAGAGGGTGAAAATTTGGGTGCATCTTATACACTGAACGTAGCCCCACGGAAGTTTCAGAGGCTGGGTAAAAAAGCAAGGCGCAGAGCTCACAACCAACGAACCTGTTGCTAAAGCTTTTTTCTTATTTTCCTCCCCATAAACTAAGGTGCGTCTTATACTCCGGTGCGTCTTATAGTCTGAAAAATGCTGTAGTCTTGTTGAACATAAGGGAATTCATGACATTGCACTGGAAGCATTTTATATTATAAAAATGTTTTAATCTTTGGTAGCAAATATGCATTCTCTAATCAGATCAAATAGATGCACTATTGTTATGGTTGCTTTTTTTTCAGTTCACCAAAAGAAATACAGCTTATTACACTCATCTGTTTATTACAAAATGGATGTTTATATGGCTTTTTGAGGAGATATTGAAAAAGTCTTGATTTATAATTATGTAGGTAAAAATGGTTGTTTTCTGGAAGAGGGAAGATAACGCCTATTCCTATCAAATCATTTATATTTTCAAAATTTGAAATGTTTTTGAAAAAAGCCAACACAAATATCCTGGGTTTCTGTTTGAGGGGAAAAAAATGAAAATTAATACAGGAACCTTCAAATCTTTGATACTGCTTAATAAGAATGGAGTTTTCTGATTTTGCAATGGAATACAAGAAATTTTAGAAATTTCTACTGATTTTTTTCCCCCCTACAAGTACAACTGTCTGATTACTGAGTGTTAGTGTCTGTTTTTAAGCTTGTTAATACTGCTTCTTTTGGCATCATGGGTTGGTTTAGACCAGAGGTCCACACCCAATCTTTTCAGCTCTGCGGACCAGTGGTAGTGGGGGGGGGGGACAGGATGGTTCTGCACAAGTGGTGGGCGGGCTCAATGGAGTTTGGGCCTGCCGCTTGCATGGCTCAGTTCCGGGCCATGACTTAGGGGTTGGGGACCCCTGGTTTAGACTTATTGAGTGGCCAACATACTTCTTAGGTTTTTTATGCAATCCTAGACTGTTTTTTGCCAAGTTAACAGTGCTTCTTGTAGCATCTGGGTGCCAGCATTTTGCGTGGCAAAACTTCCTATTTAAACATCAAATCTCAGCCAGTTGCAAGCACCACTGTGTGGTAGTTAAGAGTGCCCTTCACCTGTGTGTTTGTTTGTTTTTTTCAAACAATGGAAGTTAAAAACCAGAGACATTGGAGATTTTCAGTTGGGAGTGCCTCAAAGAATTTCAGAGCAGGATGGTGCTGTTGTAGGTTCAGATCCCATCTCATTCCTGAAGCTCATTGAGTGACCTTCAGGTGTCCCCATTTATTTGTTACTCCTTTCAAGCCTTATATATCCAGCTTACTCTTCATTCAGATCTGTTCAGTTCAAAGCAGTTGCTTTAAAACCTATTAGAAACATAAAACCTATCGACATCTGTTAAAGGCACCATATTTAAATGAGTAATATCTTTCCAAATGACACTCCTAAAAAGTAGCTTCTGGAGGGTGATGGATAAGCAGGTGGGATAGGTCTTTCATGGGCCCAGACACAGCTACCAAAAAAGGCCTTCTCCTTGCCCAGTTATGAAGCATAAGCTCAGTAGACAATCTGTCAACTGTACCACCTCACAGAAGTGCAGGAAAGTGGAGATGTCATCTGAGCTCCTTGAAAGAAAAGTGGGGGATATTTGCTCTACATATCCTAATCTGCTTCCATTTTAGAATTTGTCCTTCTTCCTTAATCCACTGTGTGCAAGATGGTCACAGCTTTCTGAAGTGCTGAGCTGGCAGTTTTCTTCTGTCACAAAAAGGGGACTCAGTACAGACCAGCTGGAAATGATCGGAGAGAAGTTGCTTCGTAAGTGGCATTATAAATTCTCTGTAGGGTGAAAACTGGAAGGGCTCAAATCATTATGTCCAGAAGCCCTCTGAATCTTCACATTTCCTCTGGTTTTAGAGTTAGTGCTTGATTGTTCCTGCCGCCTACCACCTATTTTTCAGTTAGCCTCTCATCTTTTGTCCACTTTTGAGAGATTAAAAGATCAAAATGCAAAAGATGAAAATAATTTCAGTAGTGGAACTTCTTGGCTGTATAGCATAGAGCAGGGGTGTCAAACTCAAGGCCCGTGGGCCGAATCTGGGCCGCGGGGTACTTAGATTTGGCCCATGAGGCTGCCCTGAAAACAGTGAAGGACCTGCCCATGGTGTGTCTGCCAGCAAAAACGGAGCTAGGGAGAGACACACATGGCCCTCCTGAGCTCTGTTTTCGCTGGCAGACCGCTCGGGTCACCACAGTTGCCCCCGACGTTGAGCTGACCACGCCTACCCTGGCCAAGCCCCCGAAGATCAAACACAAGCCTGATGCAGCCCTCAATGAAATTGAGTTTGACACCCCTGGCATAGAGGCATGGTGATGAGAGATTTTAGCTGTCCCTGGCTTCTTAATCATGTGGTTTTAATTTTATTTAATTTTTTTGGATGGAGAATGTAGACCTCCTCTCAGGATAATAACAGAACAAAACACATAAGCCAAGGAAATGCTGAAGTGAAGATTCCAAATGTATGAAACATAAATTTTAAATCCAATTCCATATATCCTTCAAAATCAATCATGAACAATTCACTAATAATTGAACAGACGTCTTATGGCTTTTGGGTATTGGGTAGTCCAGCACATTTGGATGGGAACAATTTGAGAAAAGCGGTCCTTAAGCTGCATGTTCCTCAGACCTTTTCTAGATGGTGATACTTAAAATTCAAAACATAATTTTTGCATGGGATTTAATCTCAGGATTGCATTCCATGTTGGTACAGTATAAATGCATAAATGTCAGTAACCTGATGGAAATGTCTTGGGTTTTTTTTTTTCTTCTTTTAGCAAATGGATGTACTCCAGATGGCCTTATTTCATGGGCAAGATTCTGCAAGGTATGAGTTGCTGTTCCTCAGCTAATGTTATGGGGATCAATGTAATTTAATATAAAGCATTGCTCATTGGATTTTCTTCCTACTATAAAAGAGTGCATCTGAATTATTCTTGGTTCTGGCTGAATCATGCCTGGGGTAAGAACAAAAATGTTGTTCTTGAATAGTTTAACTGTTTACATTCCATCAATGTAGACATGATCATAGGCTGTTCCAGTTTATGTACAGTGCAGTAGTCTCTACGATGGACTTTCCTTTAGGCTTCATGTGATGTATAGATCCACCCATTATGGTTTAGTGTTAACAGCAAGAAATGGGATCCTGACTCTGGAACAAATTAATGGATGACAAAAGAACAGAGCTGAAATTGGGAGGAACACCTACCATAATTCACAGTCCTTACAAGCATCCATATCACCTTGAGCTGATTGGAGATGGGAATCTAATACTATCTGGAGGAGCACTGGTTTCCCAGCCCTTCCATTGGGACTGCTGAATTGTCTTCCACACTAGTGGTTGCTTGCCATGGAAGAAGATACCTAGAACAGAAGTTGGTGTTCCACATGACCTCCAATGTGGCAAATAGATGTTTCCCATGACTTGTTAATAAAGCCTTTACTGGGGATTTCTCAGGAGAAACAACCCCCTCCCAAAAAAACCCAGAGTGTATAGGAGGTGTCTTTTGCAAATAGTAAACAAAGGGTAAGAAAGCTTTTAGCTCCTAGATGCACTCTGGGGTTTGTGTGTGTGTTTGTGGTGGTTTAATTCAATGAAGATGTTATCTATTCAAGTAACAAAAAGTCTACAAAAAACAACAACCAAACTCGAGAGAGCACCAAGGCTCCACAATCTAATATTCATTCTAGGAAGCAGGGTTTGAAAAATGGAAGGACAGGAATTATGGGATAATGGAGGCCTTGAAGCTGCAACTTATCCACTCTAATCATTTAGATACCCCTATTTTAAATATTCAGAAAAATGAATACAGCAAACAAATGTGAAAACACCAAGCAAGTGACAAGAAGTGAAAATTAAATTAAAGACTAACACCTTGAGATGATTGATGCTAGATCAGTGGGCAATTTTTACCATCTCAGTTTTTTGTCTTTTCTTGATTTCAGGAAAACCTGAATGATAAAAATTTTTCCTTTTGGCTGTGGATCGAAGGGATCCTTGAACTGATTAGGAAACACTTGCTCTTCCTCTGGAACGATGGGTAAGCATCTTTTGCTCAGGGCCCAAATAGAATCCAGACAAGTCTAGATTGATTTCAGTTGGACTTCACAGCATATTGAAGTCAAGCAATATTTAAAGTTGGTAATACACCAAAAAAATGACTCTCTTGGACTCTATTAACTTTAGAACCCTAAAAGGAAGAATCCTGTAGTGTGTGAATGAAATCTGTTTTTTCTTTTCTTCTGCACAATGCGATTTCTTTCTCTTTCCCATCATACCCCTGTTAGCTTTGAAAATCTGTACTTCAGACTCAAGGCTTCAAAGCAGATTTAGAGAGCGTCTGCAATGCTGTTGCAAGGAAAGGGAATGTTTCCTCTGCTTTCTTTCCCTTAATAGAAACTGCATCGCTAATGGCAACTTACCGGGTTCTTCCATACTTGGAACCTGTGCAGTTTCAATATGATGTTATGATAGTGTTTAAGAAAGAGCATTGTTCCCTATGCCTGCTGCATGTAAAAAGGCTTAAGAAGGAATAGAGAAACGATATGGGAGTTTCAGACTAATCTGGGATGGATTATAAAGTTAATTTTGCCATGAAAGAACCATTATAGTGTTTTTCCACTGTTCTTTTAAAGTGCTTCTAGTTTTCAGCAAAGCCTAAAAGACCATTTTCTAATCTTTCTCTATTATGAAACCAACAAGCGCTGCTAAATGCTTTTTTAATGGTGCAGCATAAAACCTATTGTCAGGATGTAGGCAGCTGCCTGAAGGAAAAGTAAATTATTTTACCCAGCATTAATCTTGCAGAGTTTCCAGTAGCAAGGTTGGTTAGATGTAAGTCCTCACGTTACGACCACAATCGAGCCCAAAATTTATGTTGTTACGTGAGACGTTTGTTAAGTGAGTTTTGGCCCATTTTACGTCTTTTCTTGCCACATTTGTCAAGTGAATCACTGCAGATGCTGAGTTAGTAACATGGTTGTTAAGCGAATCTGGCTTCCCCATTGACTTGTCAGAAGGTCGCAAAAGGGGATCACATGACCCCGGGACACTGCAACCGTCATAAATATGAGTCAGTTGTCAAGCATCCGAATGTAAATCACGTGCCCATGGGGATGCTGCAATGATCATGTGTAAAACAACGGTCATGTCACTTTTTCCAGTGCTATTGTAACTTTGAATGGTCACTAAGCAAACTGTTGCAAGTCGAGGATTACCTCTAGTTCCCTTGCTGGAATTCTTCTGATTTCCCTTTAAGAACCAAAATCTTTCTGTGTACATGGGGAGAGGGACTTTCTCATAGCTTTATAGTAAGGGGGCTGAGAGGCCTGCCACTGGGGTCATGCAGTCCTTCAATATTTAAAGTCCCACTTTCTCCTTTTGGCAGAAAGACTCTGGAAGATCCTAGTTCTGCACTTAAAAAACAGGGGCCCCTTCTTTGATATGAATGTTCTTCTTCCCCATATTGCAGGCACATCATGGGCTTTGTCAGCAAGGAGCAAGAGCGCATCCTGCTTAAGGATATGGAGCCTGGGACGTTTCTTTTGAGGTTCAGTGAAAGTAGTCGAGAAGGAGCGATCACTTTCACCTGGGTGGAAGGGCCAGAAAATGGTAAGCAAAATCTGGAGGAAAGGCTTTGTGTTGTGACCAGCCTGCCAATGCCCTTTATGCTGGGAGCTCTTGTGCTTTAGAAAGGAGATTCTGTGTCTCCGACTTGGAAAAAAAATCACAGTTTAACGAGCTCGGGTCTGGTTTCTCCCAGTAAGTTAAATCCCTATTAATTTCTGCAATTCTATGGAATATAAGAACCCAGTTGGCTTTGTTTAATAAAATCTCATACTATACAGTATAGGGCACTAATGGTTAACCTTTTCGGCACTGAGTGCCGAAACCAGAGTGTGCGCGTGTGCATGCACACGAACCAGACACTGGAACCCGGAAGAGAGTAGTTGGCCAGTGCACATGTATACAGCGGCCAGTTGCTCTTCCGGGTTCCATCATGCACCAGACATCTGGCTGGCGCACATGCGTGCACCGGAACCCGGAAGAGAGCAGCTGGCTGGTGCACATGTGTGCCGGACCAGCTGGCCAGCATGCATGCACACAACAGAACCCGGAAGAGCAGCTGGCTATGGTGCGGGTGGCCACAGAGAGGGCTCTGCGTGCCACCTCTGGCACATGTGCCATAGGTTTGCCATCACGGGTATAGGGGAATAATGCAATAGCATTCTCTTTATCTACTCAAGGTTGATGAGTGGATTTTCTTTCTATAAAATTGGAGATAACTAAATTTGGTGTCTTTCATCTTTCTCTGTCCCTCAATCGCTCTCTCATATATTTTACTCGTATATAAAAATCGTATCAAATAAGTATTGAGTCAGGCCAGGGCTCGTGAGCTCTCTAGAGTGACTGGCAGAGGTTATGAAAAGGAGCACAACTTTCTTCCAAAAATTCAGTCAGGGATGCTGTCCTGGCCTACTTTGTGCCAACAAGAAAGGCAGGAGCACTAGGAGAGCCCAGCCTTGCTTTTCCAGCAAAGGTTAGGCGCAGGGGTGAAATCCAGCAGGTTCTGACAGGTTCTGGAGGACCGGCAGCGGAAATTTTGAGTACTTCAGAGAACCAGCAAATACCATCTCTAGCTGGCCCCAGAGTGGGGTGGGAATGGAGATTTTGCAGTATCCTTCCCCTGCCATGCCCACCACGCCCACCAAGCCACACCCACAGAACCGATAGTAAAAAAAAATTGGATTTCACCACTGGTTAGGTGGACATTCAAAGGCATTCAGACCAACAAACTGTTTTACATGCCACCATGACAATTTGAGTTCCAGGAGCCCCTCAACAGAAGATAGTGTATTCAGTTTTTTGAAAAATAGCAAGGACCACCTCAGAATACTTACTGAAGGAAAAATAAAAATAAAACTACCGAAGGAAAAACAGCAAATTAAAATCCACAGAGCTACTTAATTAATTATATCGTTTGAATGAAAATACTACTAGGTTCTGAGACTTCCCTAATAGAATATTGTATAGGAGGAAAATCTGTAACAATCCCAAATGCAGTCCTTAATGTATGCTTGTGCATGTAAACTGCATGAATCCAAAATTATTCTCAATTCATGGTTGCCTGAATTGCATAAATATATGTTTAAGCAAATGTTTGAGATTGCAGTAAAATGCTTAGGCCCATAGGGTGAAGGATTGGAGATCTCACAGCTTCTTTGTCAGAAGTCCTCTTGGTCTTCACACTGGCCTCACCTGCACTGAAATACCAACTTTGTTGTTCCTGTTACTGCCAACTTCTGGGAGATTGAGAACCCTACTTACAAGAAAAGAGATTAGATTGATATCCTTCTATGCCTTTCTGTCCATTAAAAAGTCAAAGTGCAGAAGTTTAAATAATGTGCTTAGAGTTATTCCCTGGTTCTATAGCATTGAGGGTTGATGAGTAAATTTCAGCACTTTCTCTACCTTTTCCCCCAGGAAATTGACCACATCTCTCAGAACATAAATTTAATACAACTTTTTCTTTAAAAAATAAAATAAAACTATGTTTAAATATTAACATGCAAACAATTCAGTGCCCAAGGATATAAATATATTCTGCTCAGATCACAGTAATACAATAGATGGCAAATTAATTAAAAAGAAAATACAATTTCTGGACAGGCCACAAGATGGCAGTGGTCTGCTACAGACAAATTGCTCTCTGAAAGAATTTCAGAAAGGATCCTGGAGAGGATTCAAATTATTACAGATTACAAGAAATTCTAAAGAGATTATAAAGTGTAAATCAGGAACTAGAAGGAACAATGGTAATCCTGTAATTTTCCCAGCTTCCATCTATACAAGCTTTCTAGCAACTTCTATACTATTGGGGGGGGGGGGGGGATGTAGTATGGAAATAATACTAGGGGGTGGGTAGGGATATAGTATGGAAATAACAGTAAAGGGGGGAAAAAACCTCCATTGATCCAATTCTGACAAAAGTTTTTGATAAATTTCTACATTTTCAAGCTTCTGTTAAAAGCAGCCCCAAATAAAACAATTGATAAATATTGAGCTGAAGAAGCTTCTTGGATGAAAAGCGAAACGTCTTCAAAGAAAAAGCAAGAAACTCCCGTTGCCTCTTGAAAAAAAGCACCTTTGGGACAATTGAAAAATATGTTTGTTGTATATTGAAAAACTGATAACACTTATCTTCTCCCGTTTCTTTCCGCCACCCCATCTCACCTTGCCCCAGATCGTTCCTTCCACTCTGTGGAGCCCTATACAAGAAAGGAACTCTCTGCAGTCAGCCTGCCAGATATCATTCGCAATTACAAAGTGATGGCGGCAGAGAATTTTCCCGAGAACCCACTGAAGTACCTGTATCCAGCCACTCTCAAAGACAATGCGTTCGGAAAATACTATTCCAGGCACAAAGAGTGTGAGTAGTTTTCTCTCTACAACCTGCTTTGTCACAAGGACAACGTTCTCGTGTCCAGATGTGCATGCTTGTGTGCCTCAATCTTGGCATACCCTCAGAGACTACATTAGAAATCTCAGCTTTCCCTTCTTCTACTCCTGAATGCGACAATAATTCTTTGGAATCTAGAACTAGATTCTAGGGTAGAACTAGAATCTTGGGCAGGGAGTAAGTTTGGTGCCATCTGAAACATGCCACTGGCCTTCATTTGAAAGCATTGCTTACACACAAGCGGCTTCGGTTTTTGTTTTTCAAAAGTGGGTTTGGCTCATGTCTACATTGATAACAGTTTGAAAGATGTTTGCCTCATAACCAGAATTCTTTCTATTAAGATTTTTTTTTTCCTTTTTGCACTCATCTAAATTGATATAAATGGAAGTTGAGAGAGATGTCTAGACCAGGGTTTCTCAATCATTTTGCATCGGTGCCACCTCCACAAATATGGGACAGTAAGAGGTGCATTTTTTGGTGTCAACAAGACACTACTTGCAGTATAATACACGTTGCCTATTTGAGGGTCCCTTGGCACTTGATGTACACACAGATGTTACATGTTTTTCATCAGTGGCCCCTTGAAATATCAACGGATCATATGGCTTCCAGTTGAGAACATCTGGCCTAGAGATTAGCTTAGTCTGGATGTTTTCTGTTTTCCAGATGCAAAAATAAAACTTTTTGTGTGCTTCTTTCTAGCTTCGGAGCCCATGGATGTGGATGGCAAAGGCAAAGGATACATCAGAACTGAACTAATCTCTGTATCTGAAGTGTGAGTTTGCCAAGAAGAGAAGAGAGTACACTTTGAAAGTACTGGGGTGTCATCTTTAGCACTGGCCAATATCACACTGTGACAGAATAGAAGCATTCTTCCCAAGTTTGCTCAAGCAAACCTTCAACGTGGCCTCTGGGAACCACCATAGCCGAATGGTGGTCTTGGTTTATGCCTGTACTGATTCTGAAACCTAAGATTGAACCACCTTCCCTTCCCCTCCCCCACCACCACCACCAGCACCGATAATCAAGTTTGCAGGACACAACTTCTGCTTGCCCACACTTTGTTCTTGCATCGTATGTCAAAATAAAGTTGTAGATTTTGGATAATGATATAATGTGCCTCTTTGGTTTTTAATAGAGTTTTTATCGGAGGGGGGAGGAACCCAGCAGACTTCCTCAGTTTATTGGAGGTGTCTGAGTGTGTGATAAGGTTGGCGGCAGTATTATAATTTATTGGCTGGAAGAGGTGGGTTGGGGGGGGAGGATGAAGAGGAGGAATTGAAATGACAGAAGAGTTGTCCCAGCTCAGGGTCCTTAAAGGGGAGGAGGTTGGTGAACAGAGCATTCACAGTGAAAAGGCTGGCTGATTGCTTTCACATAGCCTTCCTTTCTACTTTCTACTCCTGCTTGACTGCTGCATGCTATTCTCCCATGTTAAGTCTCTATTCTGCTTCCCTCCTAATTCAGTTGTTGGCTTTATGTTTCTTACATGCTGCATCATCCTTGGCTTTTTGCAATGTCCTCTTCACAGCAACCAAATAAAACTTCCCTTCCTGCCAATATTTTTAAACCCTTCCCTAAATTAGATGTTAAGCGTATTGACATGGCTTATGTACAATGCTTATGCATTTGTACCTTGTCCAGTTTGTATTGTAAGTTGGTTTTCTATCATAAAAGACCCTTAAAACAATTGGCCTGCAAATAAACCTGACTAGTATATAGGTAGTCCTCAACTTAAGAGCACAATTGAGCCGAAAATTTACGTGACTAAATGAGAAATACGTTGAGTTTTGCCCCATTTCGTGACCTTCCTTGCCAGATTTGTTAAGTGAATCACTGCAGTTGTTAAATCAGTAACACAGTTGTTAAGTGAATCTGTCTTCCCCATTGACTTTGCTTGTCAGATGTTTGCAAAAGGGGATCCCCAGGACACTGCAATGGTCATAAGTGTGAAAAATGGTCTGAAATCACGTTTTTCTGTGCCATTGTAACTTTGAATGGCCACTAAATGAACTCTTAAGTTGAAGACTACCTGTACAGGAAATTATTTCTCTCAGTATCATGTGCATTGTATAAATTTGGGGAGTAGAAGAAGAACGATATAGCTCTTTACAGGTCTTGGATGATCTTGTTGGCTGTAGGTGGGCAGAGAGATTTCAATTAAGAATGTTCCTTAAATTCCACCACCTCTAAATCTGCCAGGAAAACCAAAAGGAAATTTAATTATCAAATTTGCATATGATTTTAACTGGTTTAGAGAGAAAAGATTAGTTCTCCAATTTGGGAAGGGGTTGTATGAATAATCTACAGTCGGCAATGTTTTAGAAAAAAGGAACCTTTTGCTATTTGACGGTGAAGGAAGAAAACCTAAACAAGTGTATTGAATCATACGTTTAATATGTTTATTTTGCAGCTCCTTTGGAGTAATGCATTCCCATGAGTCCTGGGCAGATTTAGTATTGCAGGGTCTTTAAGCTAGCAGGGAAGAGAAGTTCTATCCCAAATGGAGCAACCTTAGAATCCAGCTGTCTTCACCTGCACGTTTTGTCCATGATGGGCTTTGGGGATAAAATATTTAAACATAGCATTTCATTTTTTCAAAATTGAATTGGCCAAAATAGTGATACCTCTGGAATAAAGGTACTTGTCCTTGCTGCCTCCTTGCTGAATTTATTTGTGAAAATCCTAAAGTGCAAGTTCTGTGTTGCCTCAAGCAGGAAATGCATATGTGCCTGCCCTGCTCCTTTAATAGAAGTTCAATAGATTTCAGTATAAACTTGGGCTGATGTTGACTAACAGGCTGAATAGGCTGTTGGGCTCAAAGCAAGTCATTTGTGTTTCAGTGTGGCGAGAAGGCTCTGTCATTGAATTGAGAATGGTTTGTAGGCAATAGTGATGGTTATCCGCAGGCTAAGCCTAGAAATAGTGATGTGGAGACAATTGTTGTGCCTGGACTAATGGATCATGTCCCAATTCATTAGAAACTAATTGTTTTTGTCCTTTGCTATCCTTCAGCCACCCTTCCAGACTGCCTGGCCCCGAGGCCCTTCTGCCTATGTCCCCGGAAGAATTTGATCAGGTAGTGCAAGAAGTAACTTCTGCAGAAATTATGGTGAGTAATTGACAATTGGATTGCTTTGTGGTCTAACAATGCATTAAGCCGCTTTTGTAACAAGCCTGTCATCTCCAGCCAAGAGATGCATAAGCATTATAGCTATCCTTGATAAATAGTACAGTCTATGATAAAGGTACGTCCTCCTTGCTACAAGGCAATTGATGAATTTTGCAGGTACATTGTTTCAGCCATCTATCTCTTCCTGCCAGTTTGGGCCTTCCATCTGAAGTCAAAATTACAACAACCCAGCTTGTATGTTAAGTGCAGTTGTGATCTAAGTTATCCTGAAAGCTTGTATCTTGCCTGCAACACTGATTGCATGGAGTGGTGCGATTTTTTTAACCTGGTAGCTCATCTATGTTTTCTGTCTTACAGATGTGTACCGAATGTACGCCGTGAACCCTGGCTAGGCCAGCTGGCATAAAATCCGAATGTGTCCTCTTTACCTGCACTTCCTAGAATCCGTAGGAGTCTCATCACTTAAGTCTCTTAAGAGCTCTATATCTTGTAGTATGGTGTTTACTCTGGTTTACAGCAAGGGTGGCTTGAATCTTCAGAAATGCTTACTTGCTGCTAAAAATATTTATCTAGTAATCCTGTACGTAGCTGTTTTGGTGGTGTCGTGTTCAATAATATTTCCAGTTTTTATATATAAGGTTGCTTAGGTTCAGTTGGACCTGTGTGTGAAAAGCTACAGGTCTCCGACTCCTCTGGAGAGCCTCTGGGTCTGAACAATCTAGGATTATCTTTTTATCTTGGGTTAGATGCTTGGTAGTTACTGCTGCCACACCACTGTTAGGGGGAGATTGCTGGTTGGTCAGTACATTTCAACAACCTCTGCTGCCCTTCTGATAAATAAAAGGTAAAAATGAATTGATTTCTATAACACAGTTTCCTTGTGAGACTGTAATAATTTCAACCTTCTTCCCACGTTCCTCTCAAGCATTAAAATCTAAGTTAACATTCCTTTTTACAGTAACTCTCAAATACTGCAATTAATTCCAGTTTACAAAAATGCATGCACTTATTTTGGCAGATCATAGGATGGTGCTGGCTCACTGTAATCAGTGATCTCAGGAGAAAGACTGCTGGTCAAGTTACTCGCTCCCAAGAAATATTAAAAGAGAAAAGCAACTCTTGAAATCTCTGAAATTGCACAGAAAGCCCTATGTTTGCAGAGAATAGGAATAAGAGAATAAGGGTTCTCACATGCACAAAAATAATTATGATTTTAAAGGCAAAGTCTAATCAGAGCAATTACCTGTTCCTTAGAGGTAAAGGAAAGTGTCCCTAGATTTTTGTGGCCTCTTCAGATAATTTTAACCCAGTGATGAAATGTAAAATTTGTTACTACCGGTTCTGTGGGTGTGGCTTGGTGGGGGGTGGGGGTAATGTGACTAGGTGGGCGTGGCCAACTTTTTTTTTTTTTTAACTTTTAAAAGCATTTTTTCTACAACCTCTTCGGCGAAGAGGTTATTAAAAAGTGCTTTTAAAAGGCTCTGACGATCAGGCAACTCAGCTGGGATTGTCCAAGCCTTTTAAAAGCATTTTTTTTTTTTTACAACCTCTTCGGCCAAAGAGGTTGTAGAAAAAATGCTTTTAAAAGGCTCGAACGATCCCAGCTGAGCCGCGCGATCGTCAGAGGCTTTTTTTTTACTTTTAAAAGCATTTTTTTGGCCGAAGAAAAAATGCTTTTAAAAGTAAAAAAAAAAAAAAGCCACTGGTGATTGGGTGGGGTAGGGATTTTTGCTACCAGTTCTCCGAACCACCCGCTGCCATCGCTATCGGATTGGGCGATCTGATCCGAACCGGGAGCATTTCAACCATTTTAACCACATATCAAACGGGTCAGAACTGGTAGGCATAACTTATTTTTCCTAGTCTAGGCACCCCAGCAACTGCTTCCCATGCTGTTACAGAAATTGGCAAAAACAATCCGAGTAAGCACCGCTGGCGTTTGTTATAGTGTTAAATTGCGTGTAATGTGATCTTTGTTATTGAGGGAAAGAAGGTTCTTCCCACAAATGTCATCAGAGTACTAGGAAATTCAAGACAGTATATTTTGTGTCATGTTGCCTGTAATGATCGTAGCTATTGCTAAGTAATTAATAAAGGGCATTTATTGTAGTCTTCTATGGACTTTTTTCATGCTGGTCCCATTAACAGCAACACGGTGCACGTAACTCCCTTCCATATTTACCAACCATATTTAGGAAAACAAACATTGCCCACCTATATATTAAGAACAGAAGAATAAACTTCTAAGTTTTAGGGCAATGGTGCCACAATTGACAACCTTATAACACAGTACGCTTTTCACAGAATGCAGACTGGATATGAAAAAAAAAAAAACCAAGCTTTCTACTTTTATTTATTTAACTTTATTTTATTTGGCCTGTTTATTATTTTAAAATGCAATGCATTTGGATTTGTAATCCTGAAAATAAATCTTACCTTCAGAATGGTTACACTCAAGTTTAAATTATGGGAAAATGGTGACAAGCAAAGAATACATTCATCATGGTTTATTCCCTATAATAAAGCCAAATGTCAAGCCAAATCAGTCACAATTGCTCATCAGGTCAGTAAAGTCACTGATAATCCTGCCCTGAAGCTAAAAATGGTGCCAGTCCACTGCAACACAAACACGCACACCCACGCACACACAAATGAGATAGAATAAAATGACTGTAGTACTAAGGTACAAATAAAGCTCACTTTTAGATGTAATAAATAAAATGTTTAAAGTTCACTGTTGCATTATTTTTGGAATAAAACCATGGAAGGCAACAGCAGAACTGAACTGAAGATAATGTAAATATACACATAAATAAACTAACTCCAGGAGTTACAAAGACTTATGAAATACAACTCATAAGAAGGAAATGCTATACTATACTTGCAAAAGATTTGTAGCTGCTAAGTAAGGGTGGGTTTTTTCAGGGGGGGGGTTGTAATGGCTAAGAGAAAAATAAGCTGTTGGGTAATATGGCCATTTTTTATGTGTTGGTTATTTTGTTCACCATTTTTATTTGGTTTTAAAGCAAAAATAATAAAGTAAAATGCAAAATACTAAAATGTTGACTGGTCAACAAACATTCTAGCACTTTAAAATGGGGCTGTGTGTCTGGAGCAACATTCCCTATATAGACAACATTTTTTAAAATAACTATTTATGTGCTGGCCAGAGGAGGTATGAATTAGTGAGTTTTCCATAATGGCATCTGGGATATGAGGGTTGGCCAATGTTCTGCTCTAGTGAAAAACTGATCAGCTGCAAGTGAACTTTCTAGAGGTTAATCCTACAGGGTCAATATGGCCAAACTTTTAACTGAAAGGACAAATGTGAAGGAGGGTGTCGCTGTGAATGAAATGGTAGGGCAAAAGGCAAAAAAAAAAAAAAAAAAAAGACCTTGTGATGCCATCTACTTAAAAGGTGAATCCCTAGTTGAAAAATCGTCTTAGCATAAATGAATTTTAGCATGTTCACTGAGCAACATCCAGTTTAGCATGTATACATACTGTTTATGACCAAATTAAATGTGGTGTGATCACAATGTTTTGCCGTAGGTCACAGTTCACCATGGGGAAAACGTTCAACCAGTTGAATGAGGGAGGGTGAGATGGGAAGCAGGACAAAGAGTCTACAGGTGCAGTATTCTCTACTTACATTCTCCTACATTGTTTGGTCAAATAAATCTTGGAAGTGATTCCCTGATAAAAACACTTGGAACAAGAGTTAAGCCTAGGCAGCATCCGTCAGTCCATATGTAAGAAATTACATGATGTAAGCAGGTATGGTGGGAAAACATTTTGAGTGCTTTATGTTCCAAGATGCCAGATTGAATCCACAAGAGCAACAGATCTCGAAATCTAGCAAGACGACAACTATGTTGGCTCAGATATACTCGCAGACAGCTTTCTTACAATTATCCATGTATACACAGCAAGCAGGACAAAAAAGCTTCATGAGTTTGACCATAGAGTAAAGCTTCATGGAGATAACCCTTTCCCTTCCCCCTCCCCCCAAATATCCCTGTGCGTATAGCCAACAATAATTTCTATCACTTGCACGTAGCACAAGGTAATATTGCTCACATGAATAGTTGTTTTTTCTGAAAAAGAAACTATTGTCTTTTGTGTGCAACAAACAAAGCTGCTGTAACATTGGAACAAAGCAGTACTCTGGAAAATATATATCACTATCCAACAGAAACACTCACACTCTTCATAATCATTTTCCACAATTAAATAGATCATTAACTTTGAATCTCAGTCAGAAGAGTGTTATAGTAAGCCATCCAGGTTTTTCTGTACAGTTTGGTTTTCTTTTCCATTACTAGAGTTGTCTGGAGGAGTGTACTGAACTTGATATTCTTGAAGAATTTTGAATACATCATGATGTCCAAAATGCAAAGCTTCATCCATAGGTGTATTGTTCCATCTGGAAGAAAATTTAACAAGAGGTGGTAGGTATGTTAAAGACATCACAATCTCTAACAGGCTCTAAATTGACAGATGCATTTATACGAAGATTTCCATCCTCCCTTTCTAATGAACAAACATCTCTCTGTTTAGCTTCTAAAATGAATGCTGCCTCTAGAGAAAACCCCCTCCTGAAAAGTGGGTGCCCACCTGGCTCCCCAAAATGGAGTTTCAGCTGAGCTTGTCTCTCTACATATTAGAGACTGACTGGAAGTTAATGCTGTTTGATGGGCTTCTTTACAGTAGATCTCTTAAAATCTGATGATTCAGCTCCTTCCTTCAGTGAAACACTCTGTAGTCACTTGGCCAGACCAGTCTGGGTAATCAGGGTAAATCATACTTAATTTGTTTTCTCCTACTACCAAGTATCCTGTCTTCATCTTCAGTCTGAATGAATGCATGTCAAGTCCTATTTTAATATGATGGAAGGACAAGCAAACATCATAGGTGTACCATAAGACCCGCTATTACTGTGGTGGTGCAGTGGTTAGAATGTAGTCCCAGTATGCTGGCTGCCAGCAGTTCGGCAGTTTGATTCTGACCGGCTCAAGGTTGACTCAGCCTTCCATCCTTCCGAGGTCGGTAATAAGAGGAGCCAGATTGTTGGGGGCAGTAGGCTGACTCTGTAAACCGCTTAGAGAGGGCTATAAAGCACTGTGAAGTGGTATATAAGTCTAAGTGCTATTGCTACAGTATTTCCCAAAAAATAAGAGCCTGTCTTATATTTTTTTGAACCCCAAAATAAGCGCTTGGCCTTATTTTCAGGGGGGGTCTTATTATTTTGGGGCACGTGGAGCAAGACGGGGCTCCTCTTGCTGTCTTACCTGATTTCCCACTCTGTCACTCTAAACCTAACCAGAGGTAATGGTGGGGACGGGCTGTGCATGTGTTTAAATAGTTTCGGGGAGGGCTTATTTTCAGGGGGGGGCTTATTTTAGTGCATGCACTCAAAAGCCCGACTGGGTTTATTATCAGGGGATGTCTTATTTTCGGAGAAACAGGGTTTTACCAAACAATCCAGGTTGAAGCTAACTGGCGCTTTACTAGGCCTTTGATGTAAGCGACTTCTTACAGTGGGATGATTAATGGATACAATGGTAACAACCAAGAACAACTGGTTTTTCTGCCCTAAAGACAAAGCATGTGCTTTAACATGAGCTTTGTCTGTTGCTTGACTGGATTCCTCTGAATCTTATTCTACTGTCTATTAGTTGGTCCTGCTGCTTTATGGTCTTGACCCCTTGGAAAATCAAAGAAACCATTTGATTTAGCAAGCAGGAGAAATTACTCAGATTATTTCTTTACCCCAGATATCTATCGGGGTTTCAATGATATCATTGACCATGAATGAAAAAGCCCCACAGCAGCCAAGAAAACTATCCGATTCTAATTTTGAGGGCAGCCTATTCTAACAGATTTACTAGCCAACCCCATACTGCCTTTCTAAAGCTAGATCACTGTCTTCCTCTCCTGGACAATGAAGCAAATCAACAATGTGGCCTGTCATTTGACAAGGCCAGATATTGCTACCAGAATTTTAGATTAGATTTGGCATTTTTATCGACCTATCAAATCCTTCCCCAAAACCTGGGATAAAAGTATCATCGCAAGGATGTAAGCTGTTCCAGGTAAAGCTGATTTTGCAATGGACTGATGGGCATTTTGTCAGTGCCAATGGTGTTCAAGTGGTGCTTCAGATGATTTGGGATTGCACCCAAAGTGCCTGTTACTTTTACTACCATCTTTGCTTTCTTTTGCCATAGTCATTCTACTTCTATTTGCAGGTCTTTGTACTTTGGGATTTTCTCCAGTTCTTTCTCTTCTCTTTTGCTGTCGTTTGGTACTGCAACATCCACTATCTAGACTTCTTTTTTTGGGTCTTTCTTACCAACTATTATTAAATCTAGGGTACTTTTATTAATTGTTTTTGTAGCTTCGAATCATTGTCAACTTCTGGCAACTGTCTGGGCAAGTCCCTGCAGTTTTCTTAGCAAGGATTTTCAGAAGAGGTTTGTCATTGCCTGCTTCCTAGGACTGAGCGAGAAGAACTGGCCCAAAGTCACCCAGCTGGCCTTGTGCTTAAGGCAGGACTGGAACATAGTCTCCCAGTTTCTAGCCTACACCACTACACCAAACTGGCTCCAGATATTATTTGGGATAGCTTAATGATTGTCCTCCTATCCAGAAACCTAGGCTGATTGGCTTCATGAAGACTACAATTGCCCAGAATTACTAGTCTTGGAAAATATCTGAGCTGGCATTCACTGTCTTTGCAAAAAAAAAAAAAAAAGTACCTTAATTTATCCATATTTTGTATTTTTTGTAAAGAATAGAGACAGGAAGAATATTCTTAAATAGTAAATAGCAATTGAGCTTAAAATGGAAGCGTCTTAAAATAACTTGCCTTTCTAGGAAAATTATGGTATATAATTTGGAAGCAGGCATTTAAGAAATAGCTCGTGTTCATGGCTAAATAGAGAGACAGATGGGGGTGGGGGGGAAAGTGAACTGCACCAGGCCTGAATATCCCACTGTACAATTCCCACTACTGATTAATTTTTGTTCCATCCAAAGTGGTGTTCTATCACCAACAGAAGTCTTACTATCACTTAATATGACCCAATTCTAAGGTCTTCAAGTTT